TATATATATATGATAATATATATATATGATAATATATATATATGATAATATAAATGTAATATATGATAATACATATAATAATATATATTATCATATATATATATCATCATATATATATTATCATATATATATATATCATCATATATATTATCATATATATATGATAATATATATATATGATAATATATATATATGATAATATATATGATAATATAAATGTAATATATGATAATACATATAATAATATATATATTATCATATATATATATCATCATATATATATTATCATATATATATATATATATATCATCATATATATTATCATATATATATATGATAATATATATGATAATATATATATGATAATATATATGATAATATATATATATATGATAATATATATGATAATATATATGATAATATATATATCATAATATATATGATAATATATATGATAATATATATATATATGATAATATATATATATGATAATATATATGATAGTATATATATATATATGATAATATATATATATGATAATATATATATATATATATGATGATATATGATAATAGCTGCAATGTTGCAGAGTTGGATCCCTGCTCTGAAATTAGACCAAGTCCAAGTTCACCCAGCTTGCGCCTTCAAAGCTTCCTTGAGCTCTTGCCTCATGGATACCCAAAATATGTTTTGGATCGGCCAAGCTGGATCTTGACGGAGGGGAGTGCTGGTCGAAACCTGTACTCAAAAAAGGGCGATTGTGAGTAATCCAAGCAATATTATGGCTGGAAGATGCTCCCTTATGCGCTAGATGTATTGTGGTCAATCTCCAACTGGAAGTGGCGACATCGACTTGCGCCATGGGTCATAAGAATTATTGGTTGGTGGCATCTTCTCTCCATAGGGTCTGGGGTTGATACAATAATTATTAGACGATGGCCGTGGATGTGGGGGGGATGTGCATCCATAACTATCAACTTGTTCAGTGTAACACAAACCATAACAACAATTCTTTTGGCCGTGAACACCCCCTTGAGAAGGGGTGGACGAAAAGTAGAAAGGGGTAACAACAGGAATCGATGAAGGATTTTCAAGGCCACATATGAAGAATTCCAAGTTGACATGGTTTATTTGTTGTCGTTTGGAACAAGGCGTTGCCTCGGCTGTGACATGGGGATAATAGGTAAAATACTGTGGCAAGAGTCGTATGTAAAAATAGCTTGGGTTGCAATAGGTTTGGGTATGGCAAAATAAGGTTTAATGTTGACCTATGATTTATAAATGCCCCTTGAATAAAGCTAATTTTTTCCCAAAATAAATAATAAATGCCCCCTAAATAAAGCTAATTTTTTTTGGTCCTAAACCCAGATTTGCCCAGACGGGGCAGATTTTTTTTTTCCATGCTTTATTTGAGGTGGCTTTCATGTACTAATTCATATTGCCAGCTCATTAGATCTTACCTTGATAACTTCAAATTTTCAAAAATAATGGTTGCTCTTTTCTATTCAAAACCTTTATTCAAAATTATCCAAAATCAATCCCAAATCAACTCGTCAAGGGTACCCCCCATGAGGTGCCTTGGCACTAATTAGAGTTTGACCCTGAATAAAGCTAATTGTTTTTGGCCCTAAACCCAGATTTGCCCAGATCCATGACATGAATACTAAATCAATACTAAATCCATGACATGAATACGAGATCAATAGTAAATCCATGACATGAATACTAAACCAATACTAAATCCATGACATGAATACGAGATCAATACTAAATCCATGACATGAATACTAAACCAATACTAAATCCATGACATGAGTACTAGATCAATACTAAATCCATGACATGAATACTAAATCAATACTAAATCCATGACATGAATACTAAACCAATACTAAATCCATGACATGAGTACTAGATCAATACTAAATCCATGACATGAGTGCTAGATCAATACTAAATCCATGACATGAATACTAAATCAATACTGAATCCATGACATGAATACTAAATCAATACTAAATCCATGAAATGAGTACTAGATCAATACTAAGTCCATGACATGAGTACTAGATCAATACTAAAACAATTGCTGGATTCCTTTTTTTTTTTAAATTGCATTTTATGTATTCGTTTTCAATTGTGGAATACTAAAACCTTTACATACAAACAAGTTTTATGGTGGCCTTAAGTCTATTTAGGGTCAGAGAGGGGGGGGGGCGGGCCCCCCATTTATAAATCAAGGGCAGACATTAGGTGCATGATTGTGTTATTCTATATTTATATTGAAGATGTCCTTCTTAATCCCAAAAACATGACTACGAGTCCCAATGGACCGATATGGACCGCCCTTGTGCACACGTACATTAAGTTAGGTAGCTGACACTATCTTTCGTGGCAAGTACCATGTTTTCTGTCAAAAAGCCATTCCAAGTCATCAGCTACCTTAGCTACTAATCTTCTAATACCTCAAAGCTAGGTTTAAAAACATCATCTACAGTAATACCTGTTAGTTACATTTAATAACCATCTAATACCAAGTCATGACCCAGCAACCCACGTCCGAGTCAGGGCCAAGTTTCTCCTTTGCCACCAGCTGCGACAGCACTGACTGATCTGTGAGCCCAGCCATTGCCTCCATAATGCGGTTATTGAGCCATTATGAATTGTGCATACGTCCACTAAAATCTAATGTGTATATATATATAAGATTATAAATATATAGTATATGTAAATATATTATGAAACTATAATATTATATTGTAATCTGTCATCTATTACATTATATACATATATAATGTATATATATATAATGTATAATATATATATATAAAGTATAAATATATTATATTAATTTATATTACAGTATATATATATAACATACACATATCCAATATCCTGAAAACTGGCCAAACAGACCCTCTACCCGTTTAGGCTTCCACTTCTCCAGTTCTCCTCAGGGCCTCCCATTGCTCCCGCAAATCTGCGAAGTTCCTGTGGCCAGCAGCCATGTGGGAGACATAAATCATCCCAATTGCAAGGGTATACATAAGCCAAGGTGGAACATAAACCATGTTTAAATGTGCGACAAAAACTATTTATCAACATAAATCATCACAATTGTGGGGGACATAAACCATCCCAATACTAAGCCCCACTTGGGGATGGTTTACCACATTGTCTAATCAGGTTGATCATGTTTAGTCAGTGTCTTTAACTTCAAGCCGATATGGGTCCCCGAGTAGAGCTTCTCAATTTCGACTTATTGTTCGCTTTTACCGCTACTTGGAAACGTCTCTCTGATCTGAGATTTTCACCCTTTATGACCCTAAACATATATAATAACAATCATAAGAATGATAATAGTGATAGTATTACTTAGTAAATAATATACGCAATATGTGTTCAAACTCAATATTGATCATACCTTGCCTTACACTCTCTCACTGGCTAGCTGCAACCATCCTCTAACTGCATAAGTTCAGTGAGAGCTTCTGCTCAAATTCCTCATCCTACGAATGGAAAAACATCCCTTCCTTTGATATTGAAACCCCCTCAAACGAAACCCTGGGTTAGTGTTGGATTTGTTCATTTGGGTGGCCCATATGGGGATAATATATACATATATATATATAATAGGTCTGACCCTCCTGTGATAGCGAGGTCTGGGATTAAGTAAACCATAACTGCTGTATGGTGCCAAAAGTGAACATGTATGGAAAGCACTACAACTCTTTGGTCATCTACAGCAAAACAAGCGCAAAGCACCAGCACCAGCAAGCCTCTTAGAGGCGCAGGTGGGCACAAAGGCGGCATATAATATATATATATATGTGCATAATATTAATATTATTTACAGTAATATTATTGTGTTGTTCTGACTACAAGTAAATTATTGTTACTATTCCTGTTCTCAGGGAGATTGGATGGACACAACATTGAAATCACCAAGCCATCAACGTCCTGTCCTGGTAGCAACATCCAACTCTGCAATGGCGGTGGTGTCCTCCCTGGCGAGCCTCAACGTGGCCGTGGGCCATCAAAGATGGATGTCATGGGAAGTAAATGGGATTGACATGATGTTTTTAATGGGGTTTGGATGGGATTTAAATGGTTTTTAGATGGGATTTCATGGGATCCATGAAGATTTGAAGATCTAAGATATTCTAAGATCAAGTCTCAACCCCTCCGACAGCAACGATTCCGCAACATCCAAGTGCCGAACCTTGCAACATGCACCTGGATGCGCTGCTGTTGTAGAGGTGTCAAACGTGAAATCGAGGTTATACAGAAGCATCTGTAATATCCATGCAATGGCCACTGTCCATCATCATCATCATCATCATCATCATCATCATCATCATCCAATCACTCAATTGTCCAATCATCCAAGTAGCAGGGATAGTCCCGGTGGAAATTGCTTGTCCTAGAAGCTTTCAAGCAGCCCAAATGGACATGCAGCTCGTGCATGCCTCCCGCCGATCTCGTGAACCACGACCACGAAGTGCAAAAACCTTGAGGAGAAATAATGGGCAGCTGGTGAAGCAGGTCTCAGGTAGATCATGAATTGTTGAGTACAGCAATCTTACCGCTATGTCCTCTTCATCCACTTCATGATGACATGACACGGCTGAGAATTTGAGACGTGGCACTTAGATACTGGACGATTAAGCACAGATAATTTCATTGCATGAACATTATGTAATATTATGTATAATATATATGTATAGATATCTCATATATGCGCTATAAATATCAGCGTGTGTATATATATATATATTTATACATATGTACCTGTATATATAATTACAGTATATTGTGTATGTGTGTGTTATTGCTCCATGTTGTTCTGTTACCAGTTGGATTCAGGAGTCACAGCTTTCCTCCTACTCATAGCAACCTTGGCTGATGAAATATACCTAGGAAACGTTCTGTTTTTCCCTCTGTGTCGTATATTTGAAGCACTTTGGAACAATCTGTCGCAAATGGCAGCTCCTTTTTTCAGCATCACCATCAAGAGGTTGAAGCATCGAAATTCCGGGAATAATCTCCTGAGTGTCCAACAGAGCACATGGACTGTGACTCTCACTCACACGCTGCATCCACTCTCCTCTCTGTTTCATGCCGTTTCTCATTTTGAGAGGCCAACACGTGACAAACAAAGCACCACTGCTTCACAGCACGTTATATTCAGTGCAAATCAATGGTTTCATTTCACTTTGGATGAAGGCACCCTCAGCCATTCTGCCATTGCATCTGGATTGACAGTCATTATCATGCATGATGAAGGGGGTTCTTGAAACCTGCAAATCCAAAATCATCCAAAACTTTGCATGTTTGAACGGGAAACCAACGGTTTTGGGTTCAACCCTCGTGAAAAATAGTAGTCATTTAGGATCATAGTCCCAAATATGGTTGAACATTGAAAACATGTTTCAAACCACAAACCAGGCAGTGATTATTGCATTTTATTACTGTATATCTCGGCATCTGTCTGGTCAGCTTTCTATTCGTTGAAATGCTGCCCAGTGTCTCGACATTCGTCGTTGGTGCAAGGGCACTTCGATATTTTGAAGCCTTGGGTCCAAGTGACCATTTGCTGTTTTTGTCACGTTCACGTTAACGTGAATCAACCATCTTCAATTGTTGTGACGGTTGATAATTGTATGGTATTAGTATTGATACATTGTATACAAAACTACATCTTAGACCATCTTAGGACAGTAGCTGTTAGTTATAATTATTGACTGCTCATACATAGTATCTCTCTATTCAATATTGTGTGCCCATGCAGATAACGCGACGTTTCACGCTCCAGATCGCTCTGCACCAAGTTGCGAGTCTGCCGACGTCGTGAGGATTATATTGTTGCGGTAGCAAGCCTGCCGGATGGGAATGCCTGGGTCCCGGGGAGGATGTTGAAGCTGTCAAAGCCGCCAACACAAGCTGACGTCAAGATAAAGTCCGGGAAATAAATTGAAAATCGCATATGATGTACAACCAAACTTGATATATAAGATTTCCCAAGCCATTGGGGGTAGCCCCACATCATTGAAAGGATGAGGGACTCAGCCTTGCCTCTGTACAGCAGGAAAAGCCCAGGAGATCCTCGAAGCGATGGCTGCTGTGGCCCATAATCTTGGACCTGGGAACGGCCGGAAGATCGGCATCAGCAGAATGAATGGTACATGATGTGTTGATAAAACACATGACTAAAACATACTAAAACTGTATACTCTGTATAGACATATGATATGTGATATATGGTTGTTGATCAAAATTCCTTTCTCCGGGAACGGCCATTCTTCGCGAATAACAATGTTACTTTCGCGAAACTTTCGCGAACTCCATGTTTATCTTTCGCGGAATCTATGTTGGGCAATCATGAAGTCCAACTTTCGCGAAACTTTCGCGAAACAAAATGTTACTTTCGCGAACTCGAAAACAACTTTCGCGAGGGTTTCCAACATAACATGCACGGCTTTCGCAATTAAAACTCCTTACATGGACCTTTAGATCGACTACCACATACATATTATATAAATTATATAAATTACAAATAATATCATGTGAGGGACAAATAAACGAGAAAGAACCATGGAAAGGACGTACCCTTATATTGGCAACAGTGACAATTCTCAGCAGCAACAAATAGCCTGTGCCCTGCCAGGAAAACCCTGTGTCCCACACCAGCAATCTACAGTTACATCAAACACCTCCTTCCTTGCATTATATCGATGCCAAACGACTATAGCGTTGGCTAATTGCTTAGACTGGGAAGATTCCGAGTGACCCCTGCAGATCCTGATGTCTGCCTAGGGCACATGTTATCCAGGTTCAAAATCCGCACCAAACTGTTGAGTTCAATATGAGCCCCAGTAAGTCTTGGGATATCCTGGGTGAGGTTGGACTGAGGACCCCACAACTCCTCGGATGAAAAATTGATGATCCCTCGTGCGATCTCATTGCCCTCATGACAAATCCGCAGCGCTTCATTCCGCAAGAACCTCGCTATCCAGGGCAGTGCCAGTTTTGTGGCCCCCGAGCTTTAGAAAGGCAGAAGTATCCTGCAGCTATCCATTTGGTTCTTTTGGTTCTAAGAGATTCAGGAGATTCATTCGAATGTCGCAACCGAATCAGCTGTTTGTATCGTAGCTCTTTCTGCCGTTGAACAACATTGACGAGGGCCCCGTGGCCATGCCTAAAACCAAGTGGCGAGCCCTGCACTTCCGTGACGCCAGCAGCCAGCAAGCTCTTTTTGGACCCCAAGGCCTGGACGACGGAGCAGCTTTCAGCATAGCTTTTGGGGAGATCCCTGGTGCTAATGTGCTATCGACTCAGATTGGTATCCGAACCCGAACAACAACCATTTGCCTTCTCAGCAAAGTTTGTGTGACTTCACATCCCAGGTGCGTGTTCCCTCAACATCTTTAACCCTGCGATAGTCACCGCCGTCACCTGTTCAAATGTTTTTCTTGGCAAAATAGAAATTATAGTCTTCTAGTTGCTCAAACTCAGAAATCCATCGCAACGATCCCAAAAGTCCCAAAAAGGTATACCCTCTGGTAATTTAACACAGCTATGGAAGCCATGGCCCACAGAAATAGTTGACTTACGTATTAAAAGTGATGATTTTCCATAGTTAATCCGTCCTGCCTTGGCAGCACCCTTGTCCAACTCCACTTGACCACTGACCTGAAATGAGGATACCGTGATACCCCTAAATCCATACATCATCCATTTCAATAGGATTTTCCATTATAAAGCAACCATTTTGGGGATCCCCCATTTATGGAAACTCCCATATATATATATATATGTATATATATATCATATCATATTAATTATATATCTATAGATTTCTTATGATGTCTTTATTCAGAAAACCTGGAGCGTTACCTTGACCAAGGGACTGGTAAGGACAAAATCCATCTTCTCGTGTCGTGGACTGTCTGTGCTGCATCCTGCCGCAAATGACTAACTCAAAATATGAAAACTGGTTTCGCGTTTCAATGCGATCTAACTTGTAACGCCAATCTCAAAAGCCTTGAACATGATCTTCATGTTTCTTTCTCTATCTTGTTGTCTTCCGAGCCAGAAAAACATGATCATCTCAAGACTTAACAAAAAAGCTATGCCAACTACGAAACCACGAAGCCGCGAGCGCAGTGGCGCTGTCCATGGCCATGAAGTAGGTGGCTTCTTCGGGTAGTGCCTGGTGATCTGATGGGTATAGGACTTACCAAATAGGGATGGAAATAAGACAGGTTTGAAACCACCAGCCAGGTATTTGTTGTATTTTGTTGTGTTTATCCGCTTTATCCTTTGGTCAATATGTTTACTTCGCATGTTTTATGAAAAAAAACCTGCTATGAGTTGCCTTGCATTTATATAGCTGATTCAACGACTTCACAAATTCCGCGACTGTGGGCTATAACATTGGTGTTTTTTTCGCGCAACAAAATGCCGTGATCGTCTTCACTGTGATGGTCACTACAAGGTGGTGCCCCCAAGATAGCTAAGTTGGTTTATAACTCCAATAACTATGGTTTATATTTATAGGTGATATATCTATAGTTAATGGGCTTATAAACCAACTTATAACTGGGGGGCACCACCTTGTAGGGGGATGTTCACCCAATGGAGGGATCCCAGCGATCCAATGGGTCTTTCGATGGAGAATGAATAGCGCCATGGCTAGCCTCCGGATCTTCGTTGGGCACGTAGTCCAACAAAGCCAATATCCGGCGAGGGAAGCTGCTGTTGATCAGCAAACAAGGGATACCTAGGTCAGGCAAAGGTTGGTGCGAAGGATAGAATAGCCGAGAAGGTGCCTGCTGTCACTTGCTTTTGTTATTTTTGTTTGACTCTGAAATTATGGAAAGAGGACGTGTAAGGACACTTGAACAACTGCATGACTAAGTAGTTTCCTAACCCATCAAGCAACCTGTGATAGCTTTTCAAACTGATTTAATGGCAGAAGGAACTTCTGCAATCAGAACCAAAAAGGACCCCACAGCATCTCTCAACGTCTGGTTTATCATTCCGAAAGTTGCAAGATCAACTTTTCACCCACAATTGTAAATCCCCTCTGTCATCACTCTTGCATTTGACTTATGAAGCAATCCTAAAGATAGAATTGATAGAAGACACGAATGGTACAAATGCTCGATATTTATCTGGTGTTCAAGATACCATTTGATCATAGTTGATCAGGATAACTCAGGTATCTTCATCCCGAAACAGAAACAACTCGCCGATGCCGTCCCGCACCTGACACCGAAGCAGTGCGCGCAGCCAGGATTTTCGTAGACATGCCTCCAGTGCCAAGGCCGCTGCCCGCATCCTTTGTTTCCACTTTCAGCGCCTTGGAAACGTCCCAAGAAACACAAGGCATGGGGAATAAGTGAGGCTTGGCCACGATTTTGGGATAACCAACATTTGGGTTGTTTTGAATCATTTTGATCCATTTTGGGATTTTGGGGCAACTCTGGATGTTTGGCGCATAGAGTCCTGATTTGTGTTCCAAAGAATGCATCTTTAGGTGCTAAACCCGCCAGCCCCCGCCGGCCTCTCAAATCCAAGTTGTTTCGAGGGTTCCAACGTTTGGAAGCTGTAAAGCCTTATGCAACATGTCTCCCACTGAAATTCCTCTGTTTCCAGTACCTGATATAGCATGGCATCTTATGATACCCTCTGGTAAACTAACATAACTATGGAAAATCACCATTTTTCATGGGAAAATCCACTATAAATGGTGATTTTCCATAGTTATGTTAAATTACCAGAGGGTATGTATTTCATTACGGTGGAAAATCAATGATCCAAGGAACCCATGGCTCTGGAACCACGAACAGTGGCTTGGCGTCTGGGTTGGTCCGCGGGTTCGCGGTATAGACGCAGGAGACGTCGGTGAAGAGACCTCGGACCGTTTGGGGAATCTGTTGAAATCTGTGGAAATCGGGTACATGGCTTCAACTGCCCCACCTATGCGAAGATAGAAATGAAACAATCAGGAAAATATTTTAGAAAAAAAATAGGAAGAGCATAATAATTTATACGAACTATCAAATTTGAATGTATATCACACGTATATATCATACTGAATTATGTCATATCAGCAATATTGATATGATATGATATGACATGACATGACATGACATGATATGACATGATATGATATGATATGACATATATAGCAATCCTCCAAGTTGGCGATACTAACAAGTACTACCAACCTCTAACAGAACCCCTCTGAAAATTTCCGAGGGGCAGAGTGCATCAGCCTCCAGCTGAACAGCTGTCAGTGCCGCCAAATTGTCCTTAAAGCATCGGAAGGCAAACAGGAATGGCTAAAAAATATCTCGAACTTACAACCAAATGGATGGTACGACCCTAAAATACCCTAAACGTGGCCAATTTTGTGGGTGCATTGGTAAGCCTTATCAAAAACACATTCAGAATCTCCTCGCTGCAACTGCGGCACGTTGTCCCCAAAGCGTAGCTCTGCCGTGTTGGTGGAGTCATTCTCGTTGATGATGGGAACCACGCCCAGCGAAAGGCATTCCATGATGGTGACCTTCCTCAGGTGCCAGGGTGGAGTCCAGCACCATCGACAGGATTGTGGCTACGGAAAGGTAAGTGCTTTGAATATCCTCAAGTGACAAATGTTTAATCAAAGCAAATAACTATTCTGAACTATATATATATAATTATATATATAATCTCTAATTATTTACAACTCTCCCCTATCAGAAATGACTTGCGCCAACCTTAGGTGTGTCTTGGATGGAAACCCATCCTCATCTAGTTTGGCAAGTCGTTGGCAAGTATTCTAGATTCTAAACGTGTATACATTTTCCAAGTTATTCTGCCCGCTTAGAACCGTCAGTCACAGTCTGTTTCCTCGCTTCATCCCAGCTGTCAAGCTTCACATTGCTCCAATGCTCTTTTTGGGCAAAATCTCCCTGGCTCAGTAGCAGCTGTGCAACTTGAATCCGGATTGTTCCAAACAGATCCTGGGACGACACCGGCAACAGGGCATTGGATGGGATCTACACATGCACCTAGAGACCAGCGACAAGTGGCTATTCTATCGAATGCATCCTCATCAGTTCCTACAACAGTATTTGTGCAAAATTTGGCAAACTTGAAAAGCACTAGAGGTAAATCTGGAAACTCAATGACTCAAATGGCGGAAGTTTTGCGAAGTAAATCAACCCTCTTTCCTTCAAACAATCCTGTTTAGAGGATAAAAACCAGCAAACAACAGCACATAACATAGTCCTTCCATGGCAAATAATTTTGCACAAATTGGAGGGCAATTTCAGACATACAGTGCACGTAAACCCTTCGATAACCTGTTCTAATCAAATGGCAATAAACAATGACCTATTTGTAGATCTTCCCATTGAAACCTCCATGTTTATCATTTACACGGGATTGCCCAGCTTGCCATGTCTAATCACCGAGGGGTCAAAGCTTTAAAGCTTGCCCTGCCTCGTACATGCGCATCAGCTGGCTCTGCCCCGCAGCTGCCACGGCTTGCTTCTTCCGCAAATCTTGTGGCTTGGGAATGCCCAGTTTCATGCAGCCCATCCCAACGGCACCTGCGCCATTTCCAGGTCAAGAACTTCAGCAGCAGTAGACCAAGCTGGCAATGGGTTCGATTCAACACCAGGAACATCACCTATGTACCGTAAATTGGGTGATGTTGACCATTGCCAAGCTACAAATCACTAAAGGAATCTAAAGGATATCCATTATTCAGGTGTCTTAGTCCAAGAAACTGGATAGGTATACCCTTGATTTATTGTCCACGGGATGAGAACGGCGTTTCTCAAGTTTGGGATTTCTAATAGGGAAACTGATGATGAACAAACCGACCCATTGCATGAATGAACACCAGAGAAAACATATTTTGATTTATCCCAAAGTCTAGGAACATTGATCAGTGGAACTGACAAACCCAGGTATTCTAACCATTCTCTCTTGCACCAAAATAGGGGACTGTACCCGGAATGTTAGCCTCCCCAAATTGACATAGACCGTGCCAGAAGTAGGGGGGTGGAAGAATAGTTTCCACAGTTTCCACTAAAAATGCAAGTTTCAGGGTGGAACCGTTGATTCGGGAGATGGTAAATGCCAATTTCTAGTGGTAAAATCACAATTACAACACCCGTTAAATTCCAATGGCTACTAATCATTATTGCTAATCCACGAAATACCAAGTAAAAACCCCAAAAAAATACAGATTATATACTGTAAGTTGGTTCATAAAGCCCATTAGCTCTAGAGCTACCATAGATCCAATCGTTCACTTCCTTAGTTCTTAGTTCAACCAACGCGACTACGGTTTGTTTTCCCCGCCTTACATGAGATGATGAACATGGATGGCTAATCCAATGCTAAATCCAAAGCATCCCTTAAGAAATCCCAATAAATTATTGGTGGGATTTAATCCCAAGTATTTCTGATTCATACCACCATTGGTTATTGAATTCTTTATTAGTGGTTTATATTTATTGCTATTACATACTATATTACTATTACATACTATTACTATTACTATTACATATACTATTATTGGTGGTTAATGACCATTAATCATCCCATTAGTGTTTACCCATGTTTAGGGGATGAACCCGGCCTGAAGAGATCAGAACCACTTGGTAATCACGCTGGCGCAGCTCGGCAATCACCTGTTGAGTGTCAAGGCTGGGAAGGTTTGCTGGGGTAGGTTTCACAAGGTCTCTACTAATTAAATGGAAATGAATGGTTATTGAGTTCTTTTAATAGTTGTTGATGGTTTGTTTATCATTTCTACATACTTGTTGATGAAATTTAATGATGTCTACTGAGTCTACTGATTTCTATAGGCCAAGTAACCACAAATGATTTTGGGGTAGAGCCGTCTTGGAATCAACAAAGCCTCGACTCGGCTCGATGGCGCCTCAACGAGTTGAGACACCAGTGCAAGTCGCAAACGATGACCGTTGCTATCCTCGGAGCACAGACGTCCTGATGTCAGAGATCTTTCTGGAACAAGAAACAAATGCATTGAGAAAAAACAGACAACCACCCCCACTTGAGAAAAAACATTGGCACATCATGGCACATCATGACAAGTGAATGTGAGCGCATTTGTTCTCTTCCAGAGGTTCCAAATAAATGATGTCCTTATTATTTAGGTGTTTACCCAAGTCGCTGATACGACCAGGCTGGAAGTCCCTACCTGGCGCGGGGATAGAATCCACTGGATGGGTGAAGCAAAAGGCATGCGGAATTGATTCAACCAAACGGATGGAAAACAAACAAACACAACACGACATAACACCAAAAAAACACATATAGTATACATAGTATTATTTGATATTATTTGATATGATGCGTACACATATATATACATATATATATACACATATGCATCGGTATTTGCATGTACGAGTAAATAGTACATAGATGTACATAGTATACATTATAATCTAAACAACAAAAAAAGCAAATCAAGGAACCATCGGTGAAAGGAGTCTCGTGGAGCTCTGACCCATTGCTTGTAATCCCAGTAACTCCCAGTCTACCGGTTGTGAAGTTACATGTAATGTAGTTGCATTGAATGCATCTCTATGATCAAGTACCAGCGTTTCAGTTGATCCTTCACAAGGCAGGTCTTCCCCTTTCATCAGCCAGGTATGAGGTTGGTACCAACTAGCTTACCAGCTTATGGATTCATACAAGCCACCAATGAATCACCCATCTCTGGGTGGTGGCTTCGCCCAGTTTGATTGGTCAAGAAACAAGACCCTAATGGCGAAAGCCCCATTCTATTGATTTGTTCACCCAACAATCAATCGGTCTGAATCCTATCAAGATCCAAAGCTTGATCGGCTCCCGCATGTTTGGACAAACTACATTACTATATAACACTATTATGTATATAAATATACATATATATATATATACATATAAATATATATATATATAATCCAGCTGACTCCACGTAAAACCCTCCAGATATTTGATGGTTACACCGACATGTTTCATAGTTGAAATCCTGTGTTGAACCCTATATACACTGCATGTTTGATGGGTAAATCCTGTTCAATCCCAATCTATGATCATTTTTCTTATGATTAAAATACATTAAAATCATGTTTGATGGGTAAATCCCAAGTTGATAACCTTTTTTTTGATGTCCATTGTGTTTCTTAATGGTGGATCCCTGGATCCCTGGATCCCCATGGGTCATGACTTGGATGATAACTGGGGGTACCCCCAGCCATTAGGAAACCTACGTGTTATCACCAACTGCGGCGAAAAAATCGTTGGGAAACCTATTGGGAAACCTATCCCCATCTCCATCTCAGCGCCTTCAGCACCAGTAAGGGACGCCCGTGGCGACTGCTGCGTTTCGCGATGCTGCTGAAGCGGTTCGACATGGCGCAAGGCCGCCAGGGCGTGCCACGGTGTCTCCGACAAAATTGGCCAAGCTATGGACCATGTGGTGACCATGACCCAATGCGATGATTTACCTGTTTCTTTTACTGGTGATTTAAAGCGAACTGTTGGTCATTAACAGAAGGTAATTGATGTGAACTGGCCTGTGTCAAGGTGAATTGGGGTTGAATTGGATAGGAAAGTTGATTGATTTAATGTTCAGTATTGTTTAGTTACAGGTGAAGTGTGGTGTGGAAGTTTAGGATTGTTTTTTTGAAACATATTCGATGTCAATATCATTCAATATCCATCCCATTCCGTTCCCTTGCAAAAAACGATTAATCGGCTTGAATCACATCGTCACATCGATCTGGTGGAGAAGATGCTGGTATCTTGCAAGGCCCAGCTATGTCAACTGGAGACCTGTCAGTATTGGATCTTGTTTTGAAGAGATTGATGGCAGTACTGCTAGATACTTCTAGTTTGCAAGTTCTTTAGACACCACACGAATCAACGCAAGTCTCATTGATCCCCATTTCCTGATAAGCCAAGCTCACGAGATGGGAAGAGCTCCGGATCTGTTGGAGATCAGGCATTTCAGTCATGGAGTGGCCAAAAAAACGACAAACACGGGTTTGTCTGCAGGCTATCCCCAATTCCAATGGATCATCACCATTTTCCATTTCATTTTCCCTATTAAAAATGGATAAACATGGCCACATTTTGGAGATTTTCGGAGTACCCAGATTTTCGCTCAACTTTCAGGCACCCCACCGCACTAGCCAACGCAGCTGGCGCAGAACTTGAGGCCGAAGTTCCTGCAGATTGGCTGCATCTGGTTGCGAAGCCCATGAGGACGTCACGAGGATCCAATGATCCACGGCTTTGTCCGAAAACACGGGATGCCATAGAAGTTTCACCATCCAAAATAGCATCATATTTCACCATCCATGGGGGATTGTCGATGGTGGATACCATCCCACATGGCTGGTGGATGATTTCGTCACAGTGGTCCCGAAATTGAGCCTTACCCATTCAACTAACATATTCTAACATGGCCATTAAAAATGACCATGCTTAAGAAGTAAATCATCCATAAATGAGTCATTTTGCATTACCATGTTCAATTCCCAGAAGGTAACCCTCCACCCGCACTGGGCCGCAGACGACTGAAAGTGGGTGCCGGTCGGCCTTGCTATAGGTCAAAACCAAGGATGTGTATCCCCACAAAGAAGGTATATATAGGTTTTGATCCATCCCCCGATCTAATGTAATGTGATGTAATATGTAGACATGTATATCATCCCACAGAAAGTTACAATTGATATTTTGTGCGTATATCATATTATATACATAGGCGAAACATGAATAAACTCTGGACTTTGCTGAAATGTCAGAACATATATTCTCCGATCATGTCCCCCTGGAAAAAACAACACCCCAATTCAGCGCTGTCGAATGCACCTAGCGTGCACACTGCCCTGCGGTGAAGTACCTGTCAGGGTTCCATCATATTCCATCTCCCTAGCTAAGCCCAAACGATTTCATGGGATCTCCTCTCTTAAAACCAGTTGTAATGCTCAACAAATTTGACCCTTTGACCCTCAAGGCAAAAACGGGTTGATCTTTTACTTTAGATGTTGCCAGATTAGCTAAGTGGTTAGTAACATTTAGAAATCAGGTATATCCTAATTCATCCCAGTTATGAGGCGTTATAATTAAGCCAGTGACCACATATAACCACCAAGCTCATTGTGGCCACCAAAAAAAACACATCGCCTTCGGGGCAGTCCAGCCCGGCAACGCAACGGCCATGCGCCTGCGATACGCGGGGTCCAGCAGGGTTTAGGGCCAGCGATGATGACATCCAAAACCATCATAAAACCATCATAAAACATCATAAAACCACAATTAAGTGGAAGAAACACACCATTTTATCTGATTCTATCTCTTTAAGATTCTCCTTGTTGTACTGTAATCCATGCCAGCAAAGCATGATTGTTGGTGAACGCTTCGTACACTAATCGATGATGACACGACGTCTCCTGGCTGCTGGAATGATCCCATCAACCTCTCGGAGATTTCATTGGAAGTTGTAGCCCAGCCATCACTAGCTTCAAGGAAAAATCCTACTATCCTACTATACTTATACACAACTTGTGACGAATTCCCCACCTGAAGAACGTGGTGAAAAACATGTGAACCAACCTTCGCAGGGCCGTGATGCCGTACGATTGCACCACGCTGGGCAAGCCCGGCGCAGTGCGAAGCGAGTTTGAAGCCGTCTGGTCTGTTCATGTTCATTGTAATACACAGGGTTGGTAAATGCCCCATTTAAAATGGGACATTTGGGGATTTTGAACATCACTGTGACATGTATCTGTTGGAGATGAAACAGCCCAATGTAATACATGTCCGTGCGGCCTGTTGAAGCCTCATCTATGTCAAATAATGACATCCAATGATTGTTGTGAGCACGTCCAGCTGCAGAAACCGGGTGAAGGCCCGGCTGGACATGATCTTCCATACCGCGAGCCAATTGCTCATGTTCCGCTGCATAGTTGATTACATACATTTTATGGTTCTTGGTTTAATGTAACAAGCTGAGCCATCAAAGGGCGAATTGTCAATGTGACTTTGTCCATGATCAGCCTATTGACCTGGATCGGACAATCTGATCAGATAGGCAAGAAACTGCAAACATCTGCTTTATGGGTGTGAATTTTCCACATAAAAACTCAACTGATGCAACTGAGCCATAGAGAAAAACAATATTGTAGATGGACTGCACAAAAAAATGGATTCAAATTTCCATGATGTGCCACGATTCGGACCTTGCTTTGGGTAGGTGGCATGATGCCTTGCCCACAATATTAGGAACAACATTCAGTGTCTTACAAGTAGTAACTTAACAACTACATACCTGAAACTCAAGCAAAAACAACTCTTGATTTGTGTAGTGTTTCTCAATTTCCTTGCTGCCTGTCTGTTTTCGGCCTAAAACATGTCAAAATCCCTATATTGTTTCATTACATCCCTATTTTCTCCGGTGTTTGATGATAAAGAATCCATGTGTTATGATCAACATCCCACAATATGTGTACAGTATATTATACATATACATATAATGTATATATATATACATTATATATATATACATACATATCTCGCGGCATTTTTCAACGCTTCGTGGGGCCATAACATCAACGAGGCCCGCCGCTCGAAGGCTTGGCACGAATGTTGTGCGTCCAGGCCCAGGGCTCATTTTTTGGTTCCAGGTATATTAACAGTGGTAATATCATGTAATATCTAACTGGTTTGTGCGTGTGTGTATAATTGTGTATATATATAGCATATATTAAACAATAATAATATATAGTATATAGTATATAGTATATTAAATATTATATATTATATATAATATATAATATATAATATCTAATATCTAATATTAAATTATATTTTACTATCTATTATATGATATTACATTATCTATTATATTATATTATATTATAATATATTATATTATATTATATTATATTAGTTTATATTATATTATGTTATATTATATTAGATTATATTAAATTATCTATTATACTATCTATTATCTATTTTATTATATTATCTATTATAGTATATTATCTATCAAATTATATTATATTATATTATATTATCTATTATATTATATTATCTATTAATTATATTATCTATTTAATTATATTATCTATTATATTATACTATCTATTACATTATATTATCTATTATATTATATTATCTATTATATATTATATTATCTATTATATTATCTAGTATATTATATATTATATTATCTATTATATTATTTATCATATTATCTATTATATTATCAATTATATTATCTGTTATCCTATATTAAATTATATTATATCATATTATATTATATTATTAAATATATGATATATGTCATATGTGCCTTGCTCCTACTTGCAGGTGATATCAGGTGATTTTGGGTAAGTGCTGGTACAACGTACAATGGATGTTGTAGGTAATCATGGATCAACACTTGAGATTTAGCAACCCACACATGTAGACACGTTTCACCATTCAGTCTTTGGATACTGCAATTGTCAACCTTCCCCATGTTGAATGCGTGCCAACATGGCACAGACCACAGCCTCCTGTGGCTTCCACTACAAGAATGATCGACCTTGCAGCATTTTGAGTGGATTTTGCAGAAATGTCAGCCAAGAGCCCTAGGGGAACCGTGGATCTTGGAGCACATTGTGGTCTCCTTCTCCGCTGCCGTGCAGAAATTTTCATTGCGGATGGTGAGTTTCAGTTGTCTCCTTGATTGCTGACATCCCAGCTGCGAATCTCACCCCTCATGAATTCTACCAGTCCAGAAATTTCAGTTTCATTCCCTGGATTGGGATGTTTGCAGCTCTTAAATCATAATCACCCCCACAAGATCCCACAAGTATGAGGATACCAAATCCCAGGGCTCCCTCGACTCTTCTGCACACTTGCCACTGCAAACAGGGGACAAACAGCCACTTATTGTGCCATAGGTTTCACCTGTCTTCTAACTTTATTGATTTAATGACTGTGCTGAGCATGTCAAGTCAGTCAAGGTACACAGCTAGCTGCGCTCACGCAACCACATCATATTGTACGTTAAATCCATGCCAGACGCGAGCAGCATCGAACTACAGCACAGGCCGCATGAAAATGTAGCAAAGCCCATTGATTTACTATGCACAAAGCTAGAACACTTCTTGAAGTATATTGGTTACCCGCTTTGGGCAAACCAAAATGCGCAATTCTGCCCTGCATTGTCATCCATTGTACAGTAAATGTAACATTGAAAGATGCAAAAAACAAACTAGACACCTCAGCCCTCAGAGACTGGAGGAGTTGAGTGAGAATTTTAAGCACCATCCGCAACAAAAAACAAGGATTGTCAACGTCTTATATATATACACTGTTCATCTGACCAGCTTTCAAGTTTGTCAATAGATAAATAGATAGTTTGAACATGGGCTACAGTATATGGGCTGTGCTTTCTCAAGGTCGGTCCCCTGTGCTCTCACATAGATGGCCTGTCAAGGAGCAGTTCCCACTGTGCGCAGGAGATTGCCCCAAAGGCAGATCACTCGTAGCAGATTTGCCATCAAGGTACAACCCTATGAGTTAGGTCAAAACTGGATAATTCTGACGAAAAAAATGGGAATGGGATCGGTTGATGGCAAACGCCAATATATACATACAATATACATTTATATATATATATATACCCGCTGGTAATCAAACGTGGCAATGGAAAATCCACCATTTACAGTTAGATTTTCCAAACTATAAAGCTCCATTTAGTTCGGGGACTTCCCCATGAGGATGCGCTGATGAAGGCCCATCGATGAAGGCCCAGGTTCAAATTACGTCATTTACAATTAGACCAGGTACCAATGGGCCTTCAATGGGCATAATAAGACTATAACTGGTTGGTGGTTTTTACCATCTTGAAAAATATTAGTCAATAGGAAGGATTATCCCATATATTATGGAAAATAAAACATGTTTGAAACCACCAACCAGATAAATATGACAAAACAAACAAGAATGATCCACCTAGTGATCTGAACAAAATCCTCGTTCATCGACTGATGATTGATGATTGATATATCCAACTAAAATAGGTGGGCACCAGTACACCCTAACTACCCCTAACTTCAACATGGAACCTGCAAAAAATGGGGTTGCACCTCAGTCATCTGCTGTTTCCAGATCGCCTCATCATGGCGTCCAAATGTTGGCGGCGGTTGAGCCCTAAATCTCCATAAGAATGAACACATCAATGGCAATAATCTTGCAGCAAGAGGTGGGATGGGAAGATATGTACCGTGAATTAATAAATCAATTCATCAAAAATAAGTATTAGAATATATATAAGGCACATATATATATATAATTATGTAATATATATATATACGTATACTTATATACACATATGAATAAGGTAAATTATATATGTTTATGCATACATATATGATGTGCTAAATACGTGTGCAGTTTGAATACTCGGAAACAGTATGTAGTACATAGTTGGAGCAGGCTTCAACACGCATCATTACGCACAGCAATTACTTGTGATGCATGCTGATGCCATGTTCCCCATTGGGAAGTAGCCAGTGTGCAACTCCTACAATTCCATTTGAAATAGTTAACATAGTAGACATTGCATAAAATAACATATCATCAATAACGTCACCATCAGCAAGATCATCATTGAAACCATCCGTTGTTCATCATGAAAGATATCCATTCGCTACACCGCTACACCTCCACTATTGCTGCCATGCCACACACTGCTGATGCTGGAAGTACCCGTCCTTTTGGGTGTAGCCTGCGAGGAGTGTCATGATTTGGGGTTGGGAAACAGGGTCCAAGCGGAGATGAGAACAACAAACAAATGGGTTGCAAACCAAAGATTTTCTGACTGCTTCTGTCGAGTTTTCGCAATCTTTGGCCGAGCAAAGTCAAGATTGTCCAGACAATTAAGCAAAGACATCATGACTTCTTTGTGTATATGCCATGTGACTCACATCAAGTTTCAAGTTATCCTTTTCCAACCGGAGACTAAAATGCAGCAAAATGGAAATGAGTTCATCATTGTTCAAAAGTTGACAAAAACTAGGAATCTCGAACATGCTCCAGTTGATGACCTTTTCCTTTCGTGGTAGCAGCCAGATTGCTTCGGCCCCTCTCCCCTTTTTCACCCAAAGCCATCCACAGTGGCCCCAGCCTTTGGAGAACCCGACTTGGAAGTCGGGCTTGTAGCACCAGGCTTCTGGACAGCGTAGGATGGCATCAACCAGCTGGAAAAAAAGAAGAGAACCATGGAGAACTACGGAGAACCTGCTACTTAATTGTGGAGAACCGTGGAAAGCCTGTTTCTGCAAACAGCTGCTGGGTTTTGGGCTGGCACGATTGAAAAAAACTTCTGAGATCTTCTGAGTATTGTGTTTTGATGCTCAAAAAACGCTTAGGAGGAAAGAGTCACTGTGATGAAGGTTGGAACGGGATGCCAGCGACATGTCATGGTGGTATGCATCCAACAGTTCAGGTAAGATACAAAGACCATCAAAGAGCAGCAGATTCTTTCTTCTCACCGTCTTGCTTTGGGATATCCTCTGTCCAATTTTTGGGGGGTTCTGCCGTAGCTTGGGAGTCACCAGGGTAGCTTCCAGTATCACAGGCTATGCACAGCTTAACCTCCAGTTGTTGATGCCAATACTGTAGCTGTTGCCTAAAGGCCTAAAGGTTGCAACTTTGGATTGCACCTGAGGTAATAATTCAACAAGAAAGGACACTCCTCTTGTTGGATGTTGGTGTTGATGTTCTAAGTAAAGAAAACACTCCGAACAGCAAGCCAGGGTCGTCCTCCCGTTGGCGGTTTGAAGGCATCTGCATATATAAACTGGTCACGTCTGTTCAAAGCAAACACTCAAGACAACCCGCAGCACCATCCTTCGTTCCTCCTGCAACGCCACTTCCACGCTGTGAGATGGCGCACATCTTGGTACGAATACGTAACATGCAGCAACTTGTTCGCAGCAAAAATAATGCCACAATTTGCTACAAATATTTGAACTGATCTCTGACTGTGCTGCTGTTCCCCCCCAGTAGGGATCGCCCCACGTCACAACGCTGCCATCTGCCAAAATTGCAGCAAACGCGCGCTCTGTAGCATGGATCTGCTGAACATTCCTCAGTTTGTCAGTGACTCTGGCGCTGTTGCCACCGCAGCAGGGATCGCCCCATGTCACAACGCTGCCATCTGCCAAGATTGCAGCAAACGCACGCTCTGTTGTATGGATCTGCTGAATGTTCTTGAGCTGATCTTGGACCATCGCACTGTTGCCTCCTTGATGCTCCTCCCCCATGTGACAATCCTGTTACCTCCAACACACCACAATGCCAATGTGCCCTTTTTTGCAGTTCCTTTGAGCTTCTGTGCCACAGCAGTAGTGCTGTCTCCACTTCGAAGCCCGGAAACTTGAAGAGGTTCCGTTGGATCCAAAAGGCGACCGTTAGGAAAGCATGCCTCAAAGACTGCTGCGCAGCCATTTTCAGATCAAGAACGGTGCCACCTATTTAGCGGAAGCGATAGAGCTGCACACCGTCCACTGGGCAACACCACGTTCAGTTGCAGGGTGCTGTCAGGCTCCCCGACTTCCTTGGTTTCATCCCTACATTTGCGCCTTTTGCTGTCAGGCTGCATGTCCAAAATCTAACTCAGTGAACAATGGTGAAGCAGACTGATGGCTATGCGCTGCTTGAAACACGTCACTTGGAAGGTCCATGGGAATGGGCGAAGTATTGCTGGTGCCAGTTCTGTACAAAGTTTTGCCCAAACCAGTTCAATCAAATTTGCCAGGTCTATCAGGACTCATAGGATTCATAGCAGAAGATTACTTCAATGTGATGACGATGAACGTCACTATGGAATATTGTCAATATAAAAATTGTAAAAAAAAAAGTGAAGTGGTTGTCGACTGCTACAGTACCACCAATCCAACCAGTCCAACCAGTCCAACCAGCTCCACTGCGCCTGGTTCTTGTTGAGAATCTGTGACCGCTGTGCGGGCACACGACGAGATGACCTCACGACAAAACACAGCCCCCCAAGGTGCAGATGCTGAACACGTACGGATTGGAGCCACAAAAAGATTGCCAAAAATATGTTTTCCACATGTTCCCAACTGTGGATCTAGGTGGATCTAGGTAGGAGGGAACTGAGGGAACCATCCCAAATCGTTGATTTGCCACCACCTCGCAGCCTTTTTCCTGTTTTTTCGTGAGGTGCTGCGACGGCAAATGCCTACGTGAAATCCCTCTGTTGCTGCCCGGAGTACGACCAGCGGCTGCGAAAACTGTGGTTCCAATGGCTGAGAACCGTCTCAGGGGTGGTGAAATATACCCAAGCGATCTCATTGAAAACATCTAATCTTTGGGTATTTTAGTATATCATTGACATTGATTTCAACTCATGTACCACAACATCACATGACATAACACACATAACCATCCAAAGGCAAACAGCCATGGGACATTGGCCAAACCCTGACCAAAGAGCTGTGGTTCAGCCCTCAGCACTACATGGCAGGGGCAAGGTCCTGACTCAGCAACAGGGTCTGAAATGGAAAACACATGATGCCGTGATAAAACTCAAGCTGCCTTGGGCAAGTTTGTTCATCAAAAACAACACGGACACCAAAGTCATGGCTGATGCCCCCTCCACCGCACCACCGCACCTGGGGAGATCTCCTTAGGCCATTTGTCAAATTTTGTCCAAGGTGACTCCAGCCATGACCAGAGGCAATCTGAGGTCAGATCTGGACATCCCGAAGAACTCCACCACGATCATCCCAAGAGATCAGATCCTCCTGGCTGGTGAACAAGTGTCACAATCATGTTTTTTTGTTTCTGATCTCATGAGACTTCATCTACTAAACTGATTCCATCTGCAAATATGGAAGGTGGTTTCGAATATGGAGGTTCATCTTTCTTCATTCCAAATGTGGAGGTTGTTTCAACAGCACGCAACCCATCACAAGTGACCCCTCTGATGGTTGGAATTTCATTGGTAAAACGATCCGTTTCATGATGGTTTACAAGTCCTATTTTGGTTTCCCTTCCATGGGTTTATCATTATTTGTCCCTTTGTCTATATATTTGTGAAAATACACATTTCAGACACACCGATGTGCGTTGGTTGTCTGTCATCTCATGTCGATTTTTACATCCTGCCTGCCGTTCCAGGTGCGCTGGAAAGCGGCGCATGCGTGCGCGGCCCGTGAAGATGCGAAGAACCTGCGTGGATTGAGATGGATTGAGTACTGATGGATGTATCAAACAAATGGATGATCTATACGGACATTTATTGAGTTGAAATGGTACAGTATGTGATGAAAAATCCATGGATTGATGATTTTAGGAAAAATCAAGGATGCCTTGTGGACAAATATTAACCATTCAAACACGTGAATTATACATATGGTTGTTTAATGGATATGTGAAATTTGATATTTGTGGAAATGTGGCTGTACAATTTGCCGCGACCCTAATTTACCCATGAAAATTTGTCTTTACCGCATACTTTGAGTGCTCTTACCCTTTATATGAGTCAACTGAGCATCAAGGTATAAATGGTCTATGTAGGACTACTATCCATTCACAGATAAATACCAGTAGTACCGTGCAAGGCGGCGGCCGAAGTTTCAAGGATAGGACACTATAGCAGAGGTGAGTTGTTTTGATGCATGGGTGGCAGAGCGAATCCACTAATGGACCGAAAGGTGGTTAGAGCTGTGCTTTTTGGAAAGGTTGCAATGGTTGCAGTGATCGCCTCACTCACAACTCCTGGATGTAGTCTGGTGTAGTACAGTAGTTGCAGTTGTAGTTGTAGTTGTTGTAGTTGTAGTGGGGTTGGTGTTGTTGAAGTTGTATTGTTGTGGTTGTGCTTGTAGTTGTAGTTGTAGTGTAGTTGTAGTAGAAGTTGTAATTGTAGTTGTAGTTGTAATGTAGTGTCGTGGCAATTGTTGTTGTAGGGTAGTTGAAGTTGTAGTTGAAGTGTAGCTGTAGTTGTAGTGTAGTTGTTGCAGTTGTAGTTGCAGTTGTAGTGGTAATGGCACTTGTAATTGTAGTTGAGGTTGTAGTTGTAGTTGAAGTGTAGTTGAAGTTGTAGTTGTGGTTGTGGCTGTAGTTCTTGTAGTTGAAGTGCAGGTGAAGTGTAGTTGAAGTTGTAGTTGTAGTGGTAGTGTAGTTGAAGTTGTAGTTGTAGTGTGGTGTAGTGCAGTTGCAGTCGTCTATTTATCTGTCTATCTGTATATGTGGTTATCTGTTTGTCTTTCTGTCTATCTATCTATCGATCGATCGATCGATCTATCTAAATCTATCTATATCTATCTATATATGTCTATATCTATCTTTACCTATCTATATCTATCTAGATCTATCTATATCTATCTAAATCTATCTGTATGTATCTATCTATCTATCTATCTATCTAGCTATCTGCAAGTTTGACAACGAGGCTATTCTGCGAGACTTCCTAATTTTTTGAACTTGACAACATCAAAAATGCAGCAATTCTGCGAGACTTCCTCAACTTTTGAGGTTGACAACGTCAAACACGAAGCCATTCTCCGAGATTTCCTTAATTTTCAAGTTGACAACATCAAAAACGAAGCAATTCTGCAAGACTTCCTGCCAAAATGGAAAGTTGAGTGCAGAGCTGACGGCCTCGTACCATTGCGTTTTGCGATTTTTCCACTCCATCTGTCTAAAGTGCTGCGCCTGCCACGAAAAAAGTGGTACCAGGTAATACGAAGTGCTGCACCTGTCACGCAAAATCATCTTAGCAAACCTGAAGCTCTCTGAGGAAATCAGCGCCCTGACCTCCTAACATCTCTGATGAACATGTCTCTTGTACTGTGCCCGCCACGCGAAATGCATCTTTGCAGATCCTCTGCAAATGTCCCACGCCTGCCATCGTTTTTGGAAATGCCACAAAACTCTCACGTTTTGCTCACTTTTGGCAAGGTGCAGAATCCCTTGCGCCTGCCACGCAAAACCACATCTGAACCTTCAAAAGTGGTCCGGGCAAGTGGTGTCTTTACCGTTTGACTTGGAAACGTGCTTCTCGCCACAACGGCGTACACTTTTTCGACATCTCAACTTCCAAAAGTGGTCCGACGCTGGAGGTTTTTGCACATTTTGACTTCGAAATGTGTTTTGCGCTACAACGGCGTGCACTTTTTCAACATCTCAACTTCCAAAAGAAGCGGACGTTGACGCTGGTATGCTTTGTACGTTTTGACTTCGAAATGTGCTTCGCGACACAGCGGCGTTCACTTTCTCGACATCTCAACTTCCAAAAGTGGTCCCAACATGATGTGTTTTGTACATTTTAACTTTCAAATGTGCTTCGCGCCACAACGGCGTGCACTTTTTCATCTCTCATTTGGCCAGATGGCTCCGCACCCGCCGCTTTAGCGAGCCTACTTTTCGACCCTCCGGAACCACAAATCATTGGAAAAAACACAGTGTTTTGCGACTTTCCCACCTTTTTGCGCACCTGCATCTTCTTTCTTCTGGCTCTTTCTCTTCTCTGATCTTCTCTCTTCTCTTCTCTGACTCTTCCCAGCTCTGCTTTTTTTTCCATCTGTCCATATTGTCGGAAGTTTGACTTCTAAACTTCCTTCGATCAATTTATGGTAGATATCCATCTTTAATGGGAAACACATACATCAGAAATGGATTGTTTTATGATGATTTACGGATATGACTGGTTCTCTGTTGAAATTCGAAATGCAACCTCCAAATTGCCATTTCAGGAAGATCATACGCATTCTCATACACAATGTGAGTTGAGGTTGCATCAGAGGCCCCCCCCATCAACTTAGGCACAACAGGCTGAGACAAATGTATGGCACTTTCATCATCCTGGATACGACCACATTGCTTACTTCTTGCCGGCGAACACTGCCTATATATATATATATATATTAATATGCATGTATGCATGTATGCATGCATGCATGCATGCATGTATGTATGTATGTATACATTTCTCTTCACCCCAGAGGCTACTCTAACCGACAGCTCTATTGTCCTCTTAGGCTGCAAGGTTCTTCCAACCTGCTAGCTCGCAGGATTTGCTTTGGGTAGCGGGTCGCTCCAGCCTGACCAGTTCTACCAGGCCCGCCTGGCTGGGATATGTCAGACACTCTGACATGCATCCGATTTCGGATGCACTCCCGGGGTGTACTAACCCCACCTCACCACTTATCCCACATAGACACTCTATGGAGGTAAAAGGGGGTTTCCCGTGAGGGAACTGGCCAGATCGCTAACTAGCGCTAACCCCAGCTCCAGCGGAGCCTTCAAGGGGGATTGCGCGACAACTAGGCCAACCAGAGGGCCGGTATGGTCTAGTGGATAAGGAGCATGAGGGTTCAATACCCGGCCGCAACACTAGGCGGACAGGCGGGCCACTACCCCAACCCTGCAGTTAAGGGGATGAGCTAGGGTGTGGTCCGTAAAACACTCACACAACTAGGCCGACCAGAACTCAGGGCGGGTTATAGGGGGAGAAAATCGAAAAGATGCTACTTTGGATCAAGGCACTTGAGCCAAAATAACATGGTGAGTAGAAATGAATAGTGCAAACCCAAGCCTTCCAAAACCTGATGCACATACATATATATATATATATATACATATGTAAATTATATACATATGTATATTATATATACACACACATGTATATTATACTTGAGAGGAGGAACACGAAAGGTAGGTAAGCAAGAAAGGAACCGAAGAAAAAATGAAGGGGAGAGGGCAGGGAAAAAAAACATAAAGTGGAGTCTGGTAAAAGCGACGCGGCCAGTTTCTTTCCAAAAATATGAAGGGGAGTCTAGTAAAAGTGACTGAAAGGCTTCGGCGATGTGGTTGGGGTTGGTGGCGGTTGTGGTGTTGGTGGTGTTGGTGGTGCTGGTGGTGTTGGTGTTGTTGGTGTTGTTGGTATTGGTGTTGTTGGTGTTGTTGGTGGTGGTAGTGTTTCTGGTGTTGTTAGTGTTGTTTGTGTTGTTGGTGTGGTTGGGTTTGTTGGTGGTGTTGGTGTTGTTGGTCGTGTTGTTGGTGTTGGTATTGTTTGTGTTCGTGTTGTTGTTGTTGTTGTTGCTGTTGTTGTTGCTGCTGCTGCTGATGTTGTTGTTGTTGTTGTTGTTGTTGATGTTGTTGTTATTGTTGTTGTTGTTGTTGTTGTTGTGTGTTGTGTGTTGTGTGTTGTTGTGTGTTATTGTGTGTTGTTGTGTGTTGTGGTGTGTTGTGGTGTGTTGTTGTGTGTTGTTGTGTGTTGTTGTGTGTTGTTGTGTGTTGTTGTGTGTGTGTGTTGTGGTGTGTTGTGGTGTGTTGTTGTGTGTTGTTTGTGTTGTTGTGTGTGTGTGTTGTTGTGTGTTGTTGTGTGTTGTTGTTGTGTTGTTGTGTTGTTGTGTGTTGCGTGTGTTGTTGTGTGTTGTTGTGTTGTTGTGTGTTGTGGTGTGTTGTGGTGTGTTGGTGTGTGTTGTTGTGTGTGTTGTTGTGTGTGTTGTTGTGTGTTGTTGTGTGTTGTTGTGTGTTGTGTGTTATTGTGTGTTGTTGTGTGTTGTTGTGTGTTGTTGTGTGTTGTTGTGTGTTGTTGTTTGTTGTTGTGTGTTGTTGTGTTTTGTTGTGTGTTGTTGTGTGTTGTTGTGTGTTGTTGTTGTTATTGTTGTCATTCGTTGTTGTTGTAGTTGTTGTGGTTGTTGTGGTTGTTGTGGTTGTTGTGGTTGTTGTGTGTTGTGGTGTGTTGTTGTGCGTTGTGGTGTGTTGTTATGTGTTGTTGTGTGTTGTGTGTGTTGTGTGTGTTGTGTGTGTTGTGTGTGTGTATTGTGTGTGTTGTGTGTGTGTGTTGTGTGTGTTGCGTGTGTTGCGTGTGTTGCGTGTGTTGTGTGTGTTGTGTGTGTTGTGTGTGTGTTGTGTGTGTTGTATGTGTGTTGTGTGTGTGTGTTGTGTGTGTTGTGTGTTGTGTGTTGTGTGTTGTGTGTTGTGTGTGTGTGTTGTGTGTGTGTTGTGTGTGTTGTGTGTGTTGTGTGTGTTTTGTGTGTTTTGTGTGTTGTGTGATGTGCGTTGTGCGTTGTGCGTTGTGCGTTGTGCGTTGTGCTTTGTGCTTTGTGCGTTGTGCGTTGTGCGTTGTGCGTTGTGCGTTGTGCGTTGTGCGTTGTGCGTTGTTGTTGTTGTTGTTGTTGTGGTTGTTGTTGTTGTTGTTGTTGTTTTTGTTGTCGTCGTCGTCGTCGTCGTCGTTGTTGTTGCTGTTGCTGTTGCTGTTGGTGTTGTTCTTGTCGGTGTTGGTGTTACCCCTGCAGCGTTTTTGCTCGGTTCCGTAGTGGCCGAAAATCGTCAAATCGGTGGTGTTTTCGCGTGTTTTTGCATCGCTCGGAGCAAAAAACACCGTAAATACCAATGTTTTTGGCGGGTCGGAAGCCCAAAACCACGGTATTTACGATGTTTTTTGCATGGTAGTAAAAAGCACGGTATTTACAGTGTTTTTTGGCCAGCACCTAGCAAAAACACTGGTATTTACGGAGGTTTCACCATGTAGCAAAATGTGGTTTCTTGATCCGAAAAGAACAAAAATACTGTAAATTACAGTATTTTGAGTCTGCTCTTAGGGTGCGTGGGAGGTGTGGAGGAGGGGGGGGGTACTAAAATGACTAGCAATCTCCTGAAGAATCAGGTAACGGGGCTGGCCGCCCTCCCCTTTACTTCGTAAAGTAAAACTCAAGGTAGCCTCTCTGGAGCTACCTTTCGTGATATATATTTACATACATACATGTGTATATTATATAAATAAATAAATATATATATATATACATATGATTATGTATTATATATATATATATATGTATATGTAGCCAACCAATATCTTCAATGGGACACTCCTTGGTGGATACTGTGCAGTGCTCACCTTCGCCATTCTTGCAAAGATGTTCTCTTGCACGTACGGCACTCCATGCTTCTGGCAGATTGCCTTCACATGCCTCAGAGTGGGCCCAAAATGGCCCAAAAGCTTGGTCCTTGATGGGGATCATAAGTATATAATATCTCATATGATTTCATCTAGCATGTTTTCAATCGTTTGCATTGTTTGCCATGATGCACAGACCTCATGACTGCATCTATCTCTAAAGACCGCTGAGCCTTTTGTCAGAATTCACAATGAGGAATGTGCAATCGCCTCACTCGTTGGTGGTTTCAACATCTGTGGCTCACTGGGGATCATCGTCTCCGGTACGCGGGATGGGAAAAAAACACGAAAACATCTTGCAGAATCAATTGTGCGCTGGTAATAACACTGGACAGTGCATGAGCTGCTCGGTTCAGTTCAGAGGTCCAGTACCAAGTCTGTCCTTTGCCACAACTTCATCACCAACGGTCAAAAGGAATTCCAATGGTGTGGTTGTTGCGGCAGTCCAAAGCCACAAACAGCATGCAGCACGCAATGTTTGGGCAAAAAGTATCAAGGCTCCTGAACCAGGGTGAAATTTGGAACAACTGGAAGACATGTCTTATTGGGTCCCCAGCACGAAGTCAACTGCAGCTGCGACAAACTGCAATGAATACGTTGGTCTGCGGCAAGGATTCAGTAGATCTTTCCTAGTTCATTGCTTAATGGTTAATGATTATTTGTATTGATTTGTGTCTTTGTGGTCTCCAATCACATGCCAAAGCGAGGTTGGCTATTTCACTCATCACGTGCTGGAGATTGGCAATATGTCCATAGTCAGGGCATTTGAGTGCTTCAAGGAGTGCTTGTGGGCTGGCAATAACACTGGACAGTGCATGAGCTGCTCGGTTCAGTTCAGAGGTCCAGTACCAAGTCTGTCCTTTGCCACAACTTCATCACCAACGGTCAAAAGGAATTCCAATGGTGTGGTTGTTGCGGCAGTCCAAAGCCACAAACAGCATGCAGCACGCAATGTTTGGGCAAAAAGTATCAAGGCTCCTGAACCAGGGTGAAATTTGGAACAACTGGAAGACATGTCTTATTGGGTCCCCAGCACGAAGTCAACTGCAGCTGCGACAAACTGCAATGAATACGTTGGTCTGAGGCAAGGATTTAGTAGATCTTTCCTAGTTCATTGCTTAATGATTAATGACTATTTGTATTGATTTGTGTCTTTGTGGTCTCCAATCACATGCCAAAGCGAGGTTGGCTATTTCACTCATCACGTGCTGGAGATTGGCAATATGTCCAGTCAGGGCATTTGAATGCTTCAAGGAGTGCTTGTGGGCTGGCAATAACACTGGACAGTGCATGAGCTGCTCGGTTCAGTTCAGAGGTCCAGTACCAAGTCTGTCCTTTGCCACAACTTCATCACCAACGGTCAAAAGGAATTCCAATGGTGTGGTTGTTGCGGCAGTCCAAAGCCACAAACAGCATGCAGCACACAATGTTTGGGCAAAAAGTATCAAGGCTCCTGAACCAGGGTGAAATTTGGTACAACTGGAAGACATGTCTTATTGGGTCCCCAGCACGAAGTCAACTGCAGCTGCGACAAACTGCAATGAATACGTTGGTCTGCGGCAAGGATTCAGTAGATCTTTCCTAGTTCATTGCTTAATGGTTAATGATTATTTGTATTGATTTGTGTCTTTGTGGTCTCCAATCACATGCCAAAGCGAGGTTGGCTATTTCACTCATCACGTGCTGGAGATTGGCAATATGTCCATAGTCAGGGCATTTGAGTGCTTCAAGGAGTGCTTGTGGGCTGGCAATAACACTGGACAGTGCATGAGCTGCTCGGTTCAGTTCAGAGGTCCAGTACCAAGTCTGTCCTTTGCCACAACTTCATCACCAACGGTCAAAAGGAATTCCAATGGTGTGGTTGCAGTGGCCATGGTAAAACCTCCCAACTGGAAATGCCAATTCAGTAAGCATGATGGTTGATTTAATGTCCAAGCTACATGAGAACGAGATACAATTGAATCGGATCATGTGGCAATCATGGTTTACTCACTATTCAATCATAGTACATTAATGATATATCATGATATATTTTCCTTGTCGATCCTTTTCGGCCATTTGTGTATGATATATGGCAGGTTCATCTGTCATTTTCATCTAGGGTAACTTAATCATAATTTTGATAATGGTTGTTTGAGAGTGGGATTCCCCTTTCAGGATAATGATATCCTCCAATATATTAGGTCAGTATAGTCCCCAAACCAATCATCAACCAACCATCATTTATCAATAATATTCCACATGTTCGATAGTAAAAAAAACCCACAAATCCCTTATAAATCCCGAATAAATCATGGTTAAATATGGTTAAACACCAGTTAAAAGCAACTATAGATTCCTAAAAATCCTCAACCAATGTGGGTAGATCGCGGTCACTGCTCAAGTTTCATTTCCCTGTCCATGTGATCCCAGTGGCGGCTGCGCTTTGGCGTAGGACAACATCGACAAGTCAGGCCTCCGATATGGACCATACGGATATACATACTGTGGATGGAAGAAATCCTGCACCAGTTGATAGATGGTTTATCCCATTATCTATGAGATTTCAACCATCCAAGGCGGTGCAGGATTTCTTCCATCCACAGTATGGCATGACATGTACCTATTTATACAATATGGGGGCATATGGAGATGCGAATGCGGATTTCACGATTTTACCTTTATATAAGTATATATATATATTATATATATAGTTTAATGTGTTATGTAGCATTAATATCATAGACATGAATGTGGATTTAATAAGCATTATATGGGGAATGTGGATTTGATGAGGACCCCCTCATTGCCATGTTTCTGTCGTGGCCTACCACCTTGCCTGTTGGCAGTTCACGCCTAAAGCCTGGGTCACTGATAAAACACAATGGATTGTGATAATGTGATATAGTCTACTATAATATGATATTCAGTAGCATAATACAGTATAGTATTATCTAGTTAGTATTATCTAGTCTAGCATTGTATATTAAAACAACAATGCAAAAGGTAGCAGGATCACGTTGGAACACAGTCTGATGCAGCACTTTGGAACACAGCCATTTTCGACTCACTTTGGAACACAAAATGATACATAACATCAAAACATTGCCAACCACACAGATATGAGATTTACTGACAGGCGCAATACTTTGGAAGCCTGGCGCGTTCCAAAGCGAGAACAGGACCAACAAAATACCTCCTATGAGAAATATAGTCGTTGGAACGATGTTACCAAGTGCCACGCCTGCCACGCAACATGACTGTCATTTTCCAGTGGGGTGGGGTGGGGTGGGGTAATAACGTTCATGTTCCTGTGCACACACAGGCACAGCAACCTCATCATCTTTCTTGTTGTCCAGCAGATACAGGCACTGCTCTTTCATGATCAGTTACCGGTGGGTTGGGGTGGTGTGGGGTGGGGTGGGGTAATAACGTTCATGTTCCTGTGCACACACAGGCACAGCAACCTCATCATCTTTCTTGCTGTCCTGCAGACACAGGCACTGCTCTTTCATGATCAGTTACCGGTGGGGTGGGGTGGGGTAATAACGTTCATGTTCCTGTGCACACACAGGCACAGCAACCTCATCATCTTTTCTTGCTGTCCAGCAGACACAGGCACTGCTCATTCATGATCAGTTACCGGTGGGGTGGGGTGGGGTGGGGGGGTAATAACGTTCATGTTCCTGTGCACACACGGCACAGCAACCTCATCATCTTTCTTGCTGTCCTGCAGACACAGGCACTGCTCTTTGATGATGATGATGATGATGATGATGATGATGATGCTGATTATGACGATGATGCTGATGATGATGACGATGACGATGACGATGATGACGATGATGATGATGATTATTATGACGATGATGCTGACGATGATGACGATGATGATGATGATGAAGTTGTGATAGATGTGTGACGGTTGAGAGTTTCTAATACTCTCATTCTGCTAAAAAGTGTTGTCAGCATAGGGGTGTGTAACTATCAGATTATATTGAAAGGACATTGATAAAGCGCCACGTGGTTTTGGTTTAATGCCCGGGCATGCGCGAAAACTGAACCAAGTTTGTATTCCACTATTAAACAATAAAGCGGCTTGACTGTCTTGCAATCACCGTGCTGCAAGTGGTCTCTGGGCGACGGCACGTACGCAGAGCACCCGCGAAATCGCAATACCACATAACATACATGCACACCCACCCAACGCACACACACACACATTACCAACATTTACGCTGCGGGTATACAACCCTTCGCCGAACGTTAAGAAAAAGCAGGATCAGCACGCTGCACCTTTACGTAATGGTGATGATGATGATGATGATGATGGTGATGGTGATGATGATGATGATGGTGATGATGATGATGGTGATGGTGATGATGATGATGGTGATGATGAAGAAGAATTAAGTTCATGACAAAAAGAAGAACACATTATGATTATGATGATGCTGATGATGATGCTGCTGATGATGATGAGGATGAGGAGGAGGAGGAGGATGGCAAAGAAGAAGAAAAAAACAACAAGCATGATGATGATGATGATGTTGATGATGATGATGATGATCAGGCGCGTTCCAAAGCGATGCTTTTGAACGCGTTCCAAAGCGAGTACCTAACCTGAAACAGAGAATGATTGTGATCATCCCCAATATAATATATATATATAGAGATATGCATCATATTGAATAGTATATGTAATAAAATATAACACCTTTATAAATCGTTAATATCTTGTAATCATCAAACAACAGGTTTGATATCCATTGCTCAAAATAATAGCTGAACAGCACTTGCAGCCAAGGGGCCAAATGTGGTGCTCTATCTGGTAATTCAGGTAACCATGCCTGCAGAGCTGAATTCGATGCAAATATCGACATGTTTGACCTGTACAACAAGAAGTCAATATCTGTAATGTGGTGATTTTAAGCACTCAAGCATATATTCCCCATATTTACACACACATGTATGTGTGTATATATATATATAATTATATAACCATAAATGGGACTCAAACCGTGCCCAAATGGCAGATTTCGGAAATAAGCCAACGGTTCCTGAACTTGATTCCACTATAAGATCTTGGCCGGTAGTTCTGGTATGGCTATGGCAATGGGTGAAAACACGTCAAAACCAAACGGTACTTTGGTGAGTCCCAAAAATCGCTACAAAATCATGGATGTTCATCCCCCCAAATATGGTATTTCATGTAATTATTAGCTTTGACCCAGTCCCATTTCATGTTCCATTCATTCCCATTGTAACCAGATCCCACCAAGACACAGGAAGTCGTTGAGGAATCCGCCGGTGCAGCAGTTCACCGAGCCAGTCACCGCGCGGAGGTAAAAGCTTGGCGAATTTACTCGACATCCACCTGGGTGCCATGGAGGTGGAACCTGAAAAAGACAAGATGGGTCAGTGATGGTCAGTGGGAAGATGTTGACCGACTGGATCAACAAAATAGCAATTGAACGGGAAGATAAATGACCAATAAGAAGATATATTGAGAGATATCAATTCTTGTCTGTTCTTTTTTTTGAAGAATTGAATTGAATTGCTGGAAGTGAGACAGTTGGAGATTTTCGGCAGGGAAAGATCAAAAGTCACAAATGAAACTTATCTGAAACATGTTGAAAACAGCATATCTGGACTTATCTGGACTTTCTAGTAGCATTATTCTTCATTAAGATGTTGATCTCTGATAGAACGGACCGAACGTATGAAGGATTTATGAATGTTGCTTGGTATCTTGCTGTGCAGTCATCCCAATGGTCAGTCGCAACACTTTCTGGAAAACGACAGCAGTGGTGTCAGCCATGTGGAAAATGTGTCTGTCCAATGCCACACGCCAAAATCAATACAGTAAAATGATTCACGTATGTTCAGCATTATGTTCACGCTTAGATCTATACTATGTGAATCCATCAGCTAAATCCACCCATGATGAGTTTGATTCACCACAGACCCAGCACACTGAATCCACAAAGGGCTGGGTGTTAGGACTCGAAAAGCAATACACATCCTCCCCGGTGTGGTTGAAAGTGGTCACCTGGTGGCATCGATGGACGGATATATCCAACGCTTGCTGAATTCCTTTGAAAAATTGAAACGCACATAACAAATCTGGGGGGAACATGGATAAACATGAACATGGATAAACTATGATCAGTAACCTGAATTCAGGCCATTTTAGGATACGCAGTTGGCCTTTTTTGGGAATTCCAGTGACGTTCGGAGAAATGCCATCGAGGATATGGAGGGCTACGATGGGCTGGCTTAGGCCCCGGCCATGAATCCATGGATATTTGCCACCTGAGTAGCATGACCATTGGACCATGGTCCAAGACTGCACAACTCCGAAGCAAAACTGACACTAAACAGAAAGTGATGGAGATAATTATGTACCAACTTCATGGGGAAACTTAAAGGTGTGCAAGAATGCCAAGCAGTGAAGTTCGTGAAGTTCTGAATTTCACAGGTCCCGCAAAACGATAATCCCTCAACAGTGATCATGAATCATAACATACAGGTGAAAGATGCATGGCAAGGATCCAACTCTGCCAGAAAGAGATTGGCCACAGCATTCCAGAAAAAGCTTGGTCCAATAAGCAAGAGCCTGAAGTTCGACAAAGAAAAATGTCGGCCTGCTGAGAGACCCCATGTTACGCAAGTCTTGCAGTGTCTGACTGCAAAATGAGCTGCCGTAATGATATTATATATATATTATAGTACAAAACGATGGAATGGAAATAGTATTATTATATTAAATAATAATATAATATTCTATAGTTGTATTATATATAATTACGAACATTATATAATGTATATATATAATTATATGTATATATCATGACATTTCACCCAGTTTCCTTACATCTTCGATGCAAAAGTTGATATGTTGTCAGACCGAGGTGCGGTAGTGGCAGCAGAAAGAAGTGAAGCAGCAAGTAGGGCCCAATCCTCGACCCAGCCCCTGAAAATAGAAGAATGATTGAACATGTTGGAAAATCTATGAGAATGTACTGTCAGTAAGAATCTGTAAATGGTAGGACGACAATCTATGAACATGTCAGCGACTGCTTGCAGTTCTTTTTTGCAGTAATTGTGTCTGAAATCCGGTACCAGGCAAAAGAAAAAACAATGCCAAAGAGAGGTGGAGAATGTGCAGATCGATTTCCCTTTACGAAAGGCTTCTCCGGGCACATCAAACACAGAGGTGGCAAATCAATCAGGGTTCGGCTGATACCGGGACCGTGTATACCGTATACCCCAAATTGGTTGCCGGGATCTGGTGGTTTTAAGCCTCATGTCTCCCATAAACATGGCCATAAATGGGGGAACATTTGGGGTAAATCGTCCATTTTCAGACTTGAACCCATCAGCATTCGAAACATCGGGAGCCAAGGAACACTTTGGTCATGAGCTCACCGGCCTTGGGAACATTGCTGGGTCTCCCCACAAGATTTGGTTGCCAAAAGCTGCAAGTACGGCAGTACTCAGTACATCTCAGTACCCTCCCGAATCACCACAGAACTGCGTGTACGGTATGATGATACTTCAGGTTTGATTTAGCAGTGTAAAAGTATGCCGATGCTTTTTCGCAAGCTTGTTCTGTCATGTTCTGTCCATGGACTCCCCTACGTTTTGAAGCAAGTTGCAGAGAAGATTGCCTGGCCTGAGTTCAACAGGACTTTTCTGCCTATTGACTGAAACTCAGTACCAATCCATCGACCGCCTCTTTCAGACTCGGCGTGTTCAAGCCGGAATGAAGCGAACACAGACGGGCTTGGTTTCGCAGTACAGGAAGCAATGGATGGAGGACATGGATGACATGGACGATATTGGACGATTGCAAACAAATCAGAAACATCAGAAACCAAGTCACCCAAAGACTCCATTCGAAAGACCTGGTAGATGGTCCTAGGAGCGTCCAGGAGTTATCTGGAAGAATGTTGACGCCTCTAGCAGCTGATCTGAACATATATGAACCATGATTGACAAACATAGGCAATGTCTACATATGATGCTGTTTGACATCCATGTCCATGTCACAATGTCTATTTGAACACTCATCCTTGATACCAGTATATACCAGTAATATTATGGAGATCCATGGAGAAATTATTTCTCATCAGCCCCTTTTTATGGTGCGGATTCTTTGCTGACCTTCAACGCTTGCCGCATCTTCGTGCCAAGACACATGGTCAGCCTGGGGCGGTCAGTGGAATTCCATCAACAGCGTTAGGATGCTCGTTAGGCGCTCAACCCCAACTTCAGAAAGCTTGCAGGGCATTAAATCATATTAAATCTATCAAAATCTCAGGTGCGCAATGCTGTAGCAGGCAGAACTTCTTAGTATGCAAACAGTGCAAGCCACCGTAAAAATTACTTTGCTTCGAGTGATCCCCACCATGACATTTCAAAACAGCTTGTTGACACCACTTTTGTCTGAACCTTTTGTCACGGGACTTTTGCCCAACTAACTATCCCAATCATTTGTTTCACCTGGCAGGTCATTGTGCATGTCAGTCTGTCAAACAGGATATAAACATGTCAGTGGGCCATGTGAAGTAAACTCCAGAGCTCTCAACAGGTTTGCTTAAACATGACCAAACAGGCCAGTGGACCACCTGAGCCAAACAAACAAACATGCCCAAAGATGTCAGCACACCGCCTGTCAAACATGTTTGTAAAAACATGACTGAAACAAGCCAGTGGACCACCTGAACCAAAGTCAAAAGCTCGCAAGCTCGTGTGTAAACTAGACAAAACCATGCCAGTGTTACTTCACCAGATCGCTGCAGCTGCAACTCTCTATTCCTCCACCAGACCTGTTCAATCAAAACCGATTAGGTCCCACAGGTAGAGCAACGTGTCAGGCCTATGCCTCCCCCGGACCTCTTCAGTCAAAACCGATTAGGTCCCACTGGCAAAGCACTGTGTCAGGATGCTTGCAATGCATCATAGACAGGCCAGGACTGCAGCCGCTCCAGCGTCGAAGCAGCTTTGGTTTCCAACTTGTCAGTCAGTTCTCGCAAGTAGGTAGGAGGGCCTCTGCGTAAAAGCTCCTCCACTTGCTCCGTGAACCACAGCAAGATAAGATTCTTCAGTTTGCGGGCACGCGTCAGCATGACATAGATGGCTAGCCACCAGTCGGCATCCTCTAGGCCACCACCACGACGCAAATCAACCAGCACACCTCCGTCCAAAGTCAAGCCTTGCGCGCTGTAAGCAGTGCGCAGCATGCCATGCAAAAGAGGAAACTGCCAGCGAATCACTTCAATTTTCTCGGTTTCCTCGCCTAGCTTCAAATCAATTTTGAACTCTGCATGCACCAATTCCACAAAGAACAATGTCTTTGCGTCAGTTGTGTGATCGGCCACATTCTGAAACTTTTCTTCCCACGTCTGCAACAGAGCATCTTCCATGGGCGAATTCTTTCCTTTAAGTAATTTCACCCAGATACCTTTGGCCATGTAGTCCGGAAAAAAAAATGACAGAATCCAGGTTCCCGACGGTCCAGGCGCTTCTGATCTTCATGGTGCAAATCCACTTTCACTACCACTGCCAGTTTGTCTTTAACCAATCCAAGGTGTGGAGCCAAGACATCCGCCAGTTGCACAACCATGTTCTCGTGCACCAGTAGCATGCCTTGCAATTTGCCAGTGCGATGCGGGTTTGGAACAGTGAGCAGCTGATGTGTCAGCTGCTTGTCTATGGCTTTATTTTTTCTGGAATGCCTTTGGTCAGCAGCTTGCAAACAAAATAACGGCACATCCAGGTCTTGCGCATCTCGATTTGCCCGTTCCACCATGCTGCGAGCAATGTTCTCCCAATACATTCCAATGACGTGACCATGCTTGAACAAGTCCGTGGTTAGTTCTTTCTTGCAATTTTCGACTTTGCGAGTGCGCAGCTGAGCCAAGTGATCCTCGGACAAAGGAGCAGCAGGCGTGCACGTGCGCATGGCTGTTGTGATTTCTGGCAGGTGAGCATCCATAAACCGCTTCGACTTCTTCAAATGAATCACTGTATCAATGGTCATCAATGCCGCCTGGGCAGCATGGTGTTCTGTCTGCACTCTGTGCGGCATTTTGCAGATCAGCTCTTCGAGATTGTCAGCTAAGGAGATCTCGTTGGCAGGCTTGATCTGCAAAAAATCACCTGCAATCAGCAAAATTGGTATGTGTCCCATGAGCTCTCCTGGGTGGAAATAGCTGGCTGGATCAAGGCCTTCATCTTGACGGGCGCGCATGCTGCGGTAAAGCATCATGTTTTCCACTGCAACTGGCACCAAACTGATTTCATCTTGAATGACCAAAATTTTAGGCTGCCAGCGTTGTTTCATCTCTTGCTCTTTTGTCTTCAAGGCCAAATGCTTGTTGCGCAAACTGGCTACACGATACGAGCAAGCAGTATGACATGTTCGCGCGCAATAGACATCATTGGAAATGGCATCCGATTGGGCGTGGCTGAAGGTGGCAATCATGTATCGCTCTTCTTCTCCGGGTCTGGCTGGAAAAAAGCGACAAAAAACATCCAGCATGAGCTCTAAAATGATTGTCGTCTTGCCAGTGCCACCGGCGCCAATCAAAAGGCATGCGTGCTGCGCACGGTTTCGCAAAGGTGTTTTGTTCTCTTCTTCCTGATTGCTTCAAACTTTGCCACCTGCAAAGTAAGAAGTGGCATTGCCCCGGTCACTCTACCACACACGCGCGAGTTTGCAAGTACTGTAATCGAAGGAAGTTTAGAAGTCAAACTTCCGACAATATGGACAGATGAAAAGCAGAGTAGGGCAGAGGCAGAGAGAAGAGAAAGATTAGAAGAGAGAAGAGTAGAAGAGAAAGAGTAAGAGGACAGAAGATACAGATGCGCGAAAAGGTAGGAAAGTCGCGATTCACTGTGTTTTTCCAATGATTTGTGGCTCCGGAGAGTCGAAAAGTAGGCTCGCTAAAGCGGCGGGTGCGGAGCGAGCTGGCCAGATGAGAGATGAAAATTGCACGCCGTTGTGGCGCGAAGCACATTTCCAAGTCAAAATGTACAAAACACCTCAGCGTCGGACCACTTTTGGAAGTTGAGATGTCAAAAAAGTGCACGCCGTTGCGGCGCGAAGCACATTTCGAAGTGAAAATGTAGAAAACACCTCAGTGTCGGACGACTTTTGGAAGTTGCGATGTCGAAAAAGTGCACGCCGTTGTGGCGCGAAACACATTTCCAAGTCAAAAGTGTAAAAAACTGACGGTCTCGGACCACTTTTGGAGGTTCCGATGTGGAAAAAGTGTCGAAAAAGTGCACGCCGTTGTGGCGCGAAGCACATTTCGAAGTCAAAAGTGTAAAAAACTGAGGGTTTTGAGCCTTTTTTAACGTGAAGATGTCGAAAAAGTAGACACTGATTAATTTAACTAACTTGACTAACTTAACTAACGTCACTAACTTAACTACCCTAACCTCGACAACAACAACAACAACAACAACAACAACACCAACCACAACAACCAACCACAACAACCAACCACAACAACTACAACTACAACTACAATAGATCGATAGATGGAGAGATAGATAGATAGATAGACAGAAAGAGAGAGAGATAGATAGATAGATAGATAGATAAATAGATAGGTAGGTAGGTAGATAGATAGATAGATAGAGAGAGAGATAGATAGATAGAGAGATAGACAGATAGATAGATAGATAGATAGGTAGGTAGGTAGGTAGATAGATAGATAGATAGAGAGAGATAGAGAGAGAGATAGATAGATAGATAGATAGAAAGATAGATAGATAGATAGATAGATAGATAGATAGATAGGTAGGTAGGTAGGTAGGTAGGTAAGTAGGTAGGTAGGTAGGTAGGTAGGTAGGCAGAGAAAGAGAGAGAAAGAGTGAGAGAGATCAAGCACCTTTCAATCCATCAGTGGATTCGCTTTGCCATCCCTGATTCACAACAACCAACTTCTCCTATAGGTTTCCTATTTTTGAAACTTCCGCCACCGCCTTGTGCGGTACTACTGGTATATAACATACTTGTCTGACATTCTTTCTAACTTTCTTCTGCACATTCTTTGTCCCATATCTTCCTACATGAGGTCCGGCAGGGAACACTTGGCGTGGATACTCGCGGTTGAGGTCCGGCAGGGAACACTGGGCGTGGATGGTCGTGGTTGAGGTCCGGCAGGGAACACTGGGCGGGGATGGTCGTGGTTGAGGTCCGGCAGGGAACACTGGGCGTGGATGGTCGTGGTTGAGGTCCGACAGAGAACACTGTGCGTCGAGGGTCGCGGTTGAGCAGGAGGAGGAGAGGAGAGGAGGAGAGGAGAGGAGGAGAGGAGCAGGCAACTGACATAAAATCTAACAACCCTCACCTGGCAGGTGGGGAAAAAGTGGATGCCACTTAGACAAAAGTGCATGTTCTCTCAGCAAACCTAGCTTCTGGCTGCGAAAGGTTTGCTGACTCTCACTGCTGGCAGGGAGCTTTGGGTCAAAGTTCGCAGGCAGCTCTCCTTTGAACTGCGAAAGCTTCAAAGCTTTGTAGGTGTTCCTCTGCTGCGAGCTATGAGATGTCGCTTGTACCAAGTTTCATGGCTCAAAATGGTTGGCCTACCCTCCATCAAAACAAACGCCCGCCCAAAGATCCACGAGTCCCGTAACTTGGAAACCATCGTTAGATTTTGTTCGCAAAAAAAAAACATATTTGCCCATGCACTTACTATATGACACCATATGACACCACTAAAACTTGGATAAGTGTACAGCGGGTGGGACAGCTAATGCTTGGAGATCTTGGGATATCCCATCGATCATGGCATTGCCTGTCTGCGTGCTGCAAGGTAACGGTGCGGCAAATGCCCACTTGAAGAAGAGCATGGACAGGACAGTCATGAACTCCTCCCAGAGGGCCAGAGGGTCTTGTTGGGAATACATCATGGCAGGGATCATGATTTTTTCAAGATGGTATTTTACTAAACCCTAAACCCTTAACCCAATTGGAGGTATTAACTACCATGCCTTTTCCAGGACAGACATCAACCCTCCCAGGGTATGAAAAAAAAATAAAGGATGAACTCTTGAGATGAAAACAAAGAACTAAACCTAGTTTCGGACCTTCAGGCTAAGCCTGAATAATTCAAAATCAATGCAAACTTCGACCTGAAAACTAAACTGCTCTCAGCAGGTCCATTCAACTATGCTCAACCTATTACCTGTGCCACCTCTGGCGCCCTTCGGTGTGAAGCTGTGGCAAGATTTGGCAAGCGCTCCCTGTTGAGCTTCCAGGTATCAGTGTATTTCTCGAAGTAGTCCTCAGCGGCATTAGCGCTATGCTGCTAATTGTCATGCTAGTGCTTGAGCAGGTCCTCATCCCATTTAGATGTATCTTATCTTCTTTTTGGAACCTGCAAAAAAACTATTCTTCTAGATGTTTTGAAAAATACCGCAACTCTAAGATTAGTTTTGCTATGTAACAGTAACAAAATACATGCAACATCTGGTCACTTATAAACGATTTATATACCCGCTGGTTATTTAATGTGCAGCTATTATGGACAAAAAAACATCTTGTAGCTACGTAAATGATGATAGATCAACACAACATCTATTTCTATGGGCCAATTTTCCATGGCATACATGTCGACCAAGTCTCTGGATCTCCGTCAGGTTCATTCACCCGATAGTGGTGCACTTGGTTGTGATATCGGCTCCATGCCTTCGCCCAAACGTTGGAAGGGGGTATCTATTTTTTTGACAACTCGTTATATGTCAAATTAAGTCATACATTTCCTAGATGTTCATCACATCATATCACATCATATCACATCCATGTGTATGTTTGAACAGTTTGATAGATGGGGATGGATCAAAACCCTGGTACCTAGTGAACCCCAAAATAGCTGGTAAATGGATGTTCATCCCACTAAAAATGTATCTATAGGTATTGACCCATACCCAGATTGAAAGCGGATCTTTTGGACCACACAACACGTGACATGGTGATCTCCAGTGTCACAAGTCACGCCGAACTATGCACCATTTTTCGAAAAACGCCCGTGGGTTCGGCCTCTGGAAGCATCCAATCAAACCTGAGGTTCACTATTTGCTTCCACAAAAATTGAGAACCCAAATACCTGACACAGCCTGACACTGACACAGCTGCAAAGTAGTATCAAGATTAGAGACTCGTCTCATCTGATAAAAATTGCTTGGGATGCAAAGGGATATCGTGGAATCTCAGTGTCAACTGCCCTGAAAACTGGTCTTTTCAAGCCGTTTTCACAGGGCATTTGTAGACAAGAGGCCAATCCACCACACGTCGCCACAGACTACCCATGCCAAAGTTTTTGCTTGAATAGTGGCCGCTAGGGTCCACTTTGTTGTATCCTCGGCCATCGAAACTGGTCCGGTCAAAGACTTTCGCTTCCAATAAAGTTCAGCATGTCAAGTCATGTTCAAGAGGAAACACTGTGGAAAATACAGGCTGTATTGAATATCAGCACCGCACCAAAGGATGGCTACTGGGATGGCCCAAAATCAAGGAAGCCAATGGATCCCAAGGCTTGGTTTAATGGTTCTAAAATGGACTGTGCCATGGCCATGGGATCTGACCCGGTGACCGGCGCCTCCATGGATGGTGTGGTGTGCCACCATGGTCCAGCGACTGTGTGTCCAGAGGCTTAATGCCAAGATCGTGATCGGATTGGGGGTCATCCACAACCTCGTGAACTGCGGTTTGGAAGGCTCCAAAGGCTCGGTTTCAGTTGGTGTCATAGTTCCATGTCGTATTTCCATCAACTGGGGCTCAACCACTAAAGTATTCAAAGGGAGAGGCCATGAATCATCAAAAGGCAAAAGGTAAGGTTCAACCACCCAAAAAATGTAAGGATCCCTATGGAGGAAAAATTGGACTTACCTAGACAACGCACAAAAAAGGGTATGAACACCGTCTGATTTGAGACATGGACACACTTCCATCTGGTCAGAAAGTGTGCTGATTGGCATCCTTCCAAGATGAACAGCCGCCACCAAACAGCGAGTAACCCCGGGCAAATTATACCAAATGTGGAAGAAAACTGAACTATCGCAAACTCTTTCTTCCTTAATGTTTCACAAGTATGGTCAAACACACACATACCCACACGCGTCAAATACACACACATGCACATGATTCTGCCACGGCACGATGCAAGTCCCACCACGGCACAAAGGTCGCTCCAAAATACGACGCGTTTCAGATGTCGCAAATCTTCTTCGCCCTGGGTCCCATGGACAGGTGGTCACTCTTAACAGGACAACATGATGCAGCAGCAGTGCTGTAGCAAATTTCCTGGATTCAACATGAATACCCCATTTGTATCCATTTGTCGTGTTTGTGGCTTGCAGAGATGCCACAACACATTTTATTTATCACTGCAAACTCCTCTGCATTGTGTCCCAACATAGTGCGCTTCGGACGTGTGCTTCCATACATACAAGATTGAAAGGTTGTGAAGTCCATCAAGTGAATGATTGATTGGATGAAAGTTGTCTGCCAAAAGAAGCTGAACTGTGGTTTGGTGGAATAATTGTGCCCATGACTGTTGACTTCTTAGTCCTTGTTACAATCACCTTAACACCTTGTATTCCTAATCAAAGGGATGTACTGAATAGTAACTCCCAAAAAGGATATGATAGAACGGTAATTTGTAACTTTTGGGATTATTCTACAGTAGGGTTTTCCTTTTCCATCTTTTCAATTTTTGGGTCGGTTGCTATACTTCCATTACACATTTCTGGTGCCTTCAACAAGCTTGCAACCACCCCCCTTTTCTGCGCCTGTTCCTCCCTTAGCTTCTGGCCCAGCTCAGTCAGCTCCTTAGCGAAGGCCTGCTTCTCGGTTCAACTGAGGTAAGGTCATTCCATCTCCCGAATACTAAAACACCCCCTAGAAACCATTGGTTTAATAGATTTTAATAGGGGATAAGAAGACATCTTTGGGACCATTTATATCAGGGATGTTTCATGTGAATGGGGGGACAGGAGTATCTTGGGTCCAAGGAAACCCAAACCACCTGCTTGCCGTTGGTGGAGCTTTGAACCCGCAAAATATGAATCCTTTTGGGATACCCAAAAAATCAATTTCAACAGGGGGAAATCAACAAACTCGAAATCACTGAAACCAGGGCTGGCTATGGGGTCAAAAATCAAGAACAATAAATTTCCGTTGAGTTTTGGTGGACCATACCATTTTGGGTACCGAAGTTTGTCCCATACACAATTAGAAATGGAATAGTCAGAAACAACATATATCCCACGGATATCCGTCCCGTTTGGACACGCACGATGTAGGGGATGGGTCAACAAAAACGACCGAAAAAACGCAAGGAGTTCAATCATACAACATAGCGATTAGAAATAGAAGCTACGTGTACACATGTATATCGTTGTGTCTCTATTGTTCTATTTATCTGTCTATATCAATCTATCTGTCTATCAACCTATCTGTTTATCGTTTATCCATCCTACTCCACGAGGCCTCCGTGTCTAAGGACAGAAGCCAGCGATCCTGTCATCATCTGTCATCCCATCAGTGGAGATTGGGCTGGGAATGTCCCTTGAAAAGTTTGAGTCATAAATCGATAAATTAACATCCCAACGTTTAAAAACAGAAAAACTAAACTACCAACCAGTCATTTTTTGGCGTTACCAATCAATTTTGGATCATTTTGGCTGACACTTTGGACCCATATTCACCCAGTCAGTTCAGCAACTGGACACGCAGGGAAGCTGGTCCAATCATCAAGGCCCTCGGACGCTTCAAACATCCAATGGGTGTGTCTGAATACCCATAAATAACCAGTTTAAATGAAGAAAATATATGAAAATGATGATAATCCATTGGAATTGGGGAACTCTATTTTCAAACCCCAAATCCAAATCGGACCCCGATTCAATGGGAAAACTATCCCCATCTATTCCCCTTAGAAGCTTGGATCAGGCGGGGATTTCTGCTTCAAGTGTCGCTGAACGCGCGCCTTTTTCGCCTTGGCAACCCCTTTCAGGAGCCACAGGTATTAACTCGGAGAACTCAGCCCTGGCCCTAGCCACAGGCCCAAACCTACATGGAATGATCTGGATCTCGTTAAAGGCCATGGTAGCACAATGAACGAAAACAAAACAGCAACAACAAATCCACTTGCATGGCCAACATCTTCAAAAAGAGGTTGTTGTGTACTATGTGTACAATTAATAAATGAATATAAATGAATATAATCAATACAAATCTGTTCACTTCTCTCAGACACCCAGATCCATATTGCCAAACGCCTGCAGCGATTGCAGGCACTGCGATTTTCGCTGGTCGACTGGTCCCTGTCAAGAGACGATCAGAGATACGTTGCGTTCCAAACGTGTCTGTGAGACCCTGTGTTCAGTGCCACCTCGAGGTCCTGCTTCACCTTTCTGGGGATTTTGGGGATAGTTGTTCCCCCAAGGCGGGCGAAATGGTCTAACTGCAGGGATATTTTGGACAAAAATGAAAGCCTCGATCAACGGCGACCCTCAGTGGTGTTTCCACTCCCCTTTCTACACCTTCAACTTGGGGACCAGCTCCATCTTGCTTGCTCCTTCTCAATCATGCATGGATAACACATAACATTTCAAAACACAACATTTAACATGTATACATATATACATATATATGTATGTAAACATATTTATGTATATAAATATATGTAAATATATATATATATATATGTATCCATGTACACATATATATATATATACATATATATACATATGAGCAGGGACCCAAACTAAGTGTCACAAAGGCGGTCATAAGCAAAAAATAACGTTTTAGGTAGTTTGCTATATCGCTTCACATGGTTTTGCATCATGTCAAACATTGGCTATTTAGCGGCGAGCCCAGGGTTCACATGGGACACAAAAAGAGACGTGCCAAGATCGGCCGTTGGAAAATCGGGTCCACGACGTGCCCAGCGGAGCTGAAGAGAACAGCACCAGAAAAACAATCAAATGCCACCAGAAGGGAATGGGAGATTCACCCAACTGGCTGGAATTGAAGCTCTAGTTCACAAGAACGCAAAAGTAGAGATTTACTTATTCCAACTCGATAGCTTTGGAGCAATAGTGAGTCATGTTTCTCCGAGCAATTGGCAACATCGCGACAAATGATTTAGCAGTGAGTATAGAAAATCAGCCGGGAATGTCAACTTTCGGTACAAAGTCAAACTGTGATACATCTGACATTCAGGTAATCTATATGGCAACTGCCGCCCTGCTGCGATGCAATACCCTTGGGGTAGCATCGACAAAGCACTGACCCAAAGCGCTGATGACTGACGGATTGTATTTGAACGCAGATTTGTTGAAAAGTCCAACATAATGCATCGAAGCTCTCCTGAAAACTTGCTCTTTCTGCCATTTACCACGCTTGTTCATTGCGAAGATGTGAGGGACACGAGTCAGAATTGCTGATCCCCAAAATGGCATAGTTGAAGACTAAGCTGTAGGGTACAAACAGTGACACCTCAGCATTCCACTGGGTGTGTCTGCAAAATTGGTAACCCTATACTGGCGAATCATCGTTATCCCCATTACAATGGTTATTTGGAGGATATCTGGATACTGCAAATACCAATTTTTCAGACACACCCAAATGGAGGTTTCCTGAAATAGGGGCACCCCTCCTAAATCATCCATTTTAGTAGGATTTCCCATTATAAACCATCCATTTTGGGGTACCCCCACTTATGGAAACCCCCAAATGGGCGTTCCACCTCGCAATTTACAGCCTGGTGTTTGGACCTCAAAGTGCAAGTCCAGAAGTCCAGAACTTTGATGCTGCCAAGCTCAACAATTTTGAGCGTTGCAAACTTTTCCAATACGGAAGAATCACTTTGGTGATTTGCATGTTCACAAGTCATAAACAGTTTTCAATATTCAACAACAAAAAAATAAAAAACATATATGTCAAAGTATCTGTGACACTAATTCCTGCATACCTTTTTTTTGTGATTTCAAAGACTGAAAGTTGCCATGATGGCATCACGGCTCGATGGCATGGCATCCGAGATGCCACATACGCCACATCGTCCAGGAAATCGCGGGTGATATCCCGGGATTTTCCAAGCCGAAAGGGCTGGGTCAACAAACCAAGCAGCAGGATGAACGAATCTTGGATTGAACATCATTAAAAACTGGGATAGACTGAAAATATAGCATTAAAAACAGAGTGAATCAGTTTGCATGGATTTCAACATGTAGAAACTCTGTTCACTGACCCATTCCCATACTTCCTAAGCCTAATCCAGATGGTTCTGTGACATCAACACCGAACATGGAGAACCATCGTCCTGCACGATGAGAGGAATGACTATCCGGTACCAACCGCCACCCATCATCCATCTATGCAGGTCACGTTTACGATATGTTCTAATCACCAACATAGGACATGTTGCACATGAGGTGTATGCCATAATATATATATAATTGTATATACATTATATAATATATATATTATATGTATTTGTGCAATATTTCATCAATCTATGCCAAAATATCCCAAACATGTTCAGCTTAAGCTCTGGCTGCTGGCTAAAACGAACTGCTAACCTGGACTTCCCACTCCTTGACCATGCGGCTGAACCCGCAGTTTAGGAATTCTGAATCCCACTGCCCACTGCAGATCATTCAAGAATATCGAGCATAATTAGAACTCTATAACAATGTCATATATACATTATAAGTACCAATGATCAAAGAATGAATCCTCTCGCACAAGTTGGTCAATTCGAAGCAAAAAGGACCTACACTTATGAAGCCAACATGTTACAGCTATCCCGCCTCATCATCTCCAAGCTTCGATGGTGCAAAGACCTCAGTTTCCCCAGGTGAGATGAAAGATGCCTTGGAATGGAAAGATGGACATGTGAGTTGGTTGTACATGCTTGTCATATCTTACAGATGTGACTTAGCATATATTCTTGTCATGGTTTGTCCCTAAAATAGGATGTGTCCTCATCAATAGTTGACCACCATTCGTTATTTTTATGTTTAAACCGTTTAAACCCCTAAGCCAACTATGTGTCATGGTGTAAACATCTGTAAACCGTGTTTTTCTCATATTTTCCTCCCTTAAAATTGCCAGAACTTTGGGGCCCTCATGGCCACGGCCGATGAAAATGGCCCGGGCACCAAGTGCTGTCCGGAACGACCATGGCGATGTAAATATCCCAGGTTGTCCAGCTTGAGTTCCCCTCCGCACATGCAAACCTGCCGAGGACTTACTTAAAGGGCACCTGCCGAGTTGTGGTTTCGGATATCCAAAAGAGCTAGCAAAGAATAGTCAGCCGTAAATTGTGATATATATATATATATACATACAGTTTATTTTTGGTATTCGTCAATTTCTTGGTAAGACTGTATATATTGTATCTTTCTCCATCACCAGCAAGTTCGAAATCCATATGCTGTATATAAATCCTCAATGTATGGTAGTAGAATCACCAACCAGCAAGCATGAGAGGGAACTGGGGGCCACTTCTGCGAAACTATGCTCTGGAAGTCCCTTGCTGCAGGGAAACCTCAACTGGAGCAAAGGGCATTGTCGATGTTTTAAGTGGACTGGCCAAAATCTCTTGTCTGCTAAGCGTTAACCTTCTTTCCGGCATCAATGAAGGGAGAACACATATCATTAGTTGGGGGATATTGGGGGTTTCTTAAGACAGTACTGTAAATGTACTGGATGTACACTAAAACACTTGGTTCATCTTGGTTCCCCAACCAAACAGACCAGCTGAACTTGGATGATAACTTCGGATCCCCATTTGACGACTGGGATCTGCCACTAGTGGCCTTGATGTCATTGATAAACTCCAGCTGCTGTTTCGTGCCATCCTTCCCGAGATTGCAGTTTTTCGGCCGTCTTTTGGGTCTGTACTGGGAGTATGGTTTCGACTTGAGGGGATGCAAAAAAATGAAAACAACATTGGAACAAGTAAACACACTGATAATGAGGAGGATGAGGATGAGGATGACGATGATGATGGTGATGATGATAATGATGACGACGACGATGATGGCTACCTTTGATTCTACCTTTGAAATTGGCCATGGTCAAATAGTTCCGCAAATGTTGCCATATACATCATATACGTCTACATAGCCACGGAAGAGGTTGCTACTTTGCTGACAAACCTCTGCCACAATGTTGTCTCTTGGTCGGTCATGCTGAGACAGAAACATGGAATTTGTTGACGCAAAATGAATTTGACAAGGGCGGTTCAAAAAACTGGGGTACCCCAAAACCATGGGTTTCAATGGTTTCAAGACTAAAAATCTAATTTTGGATGATTTGGGGGTGCCCCTATTTTAGGAAACCCCCCAGAAGACGGCTCATGTCACCTGGATGATCTGGTCGTTCCAGTCTGGAAGTTCCATTGCCATTTGTTAGGCCTGTTAGGTGCTATTCGCAACACCAACTTGCGGCACTGCAGCGCAGTGAGCACATCTGATTTTGTCCTGGCACAACTCGGTAAAGCTTCATCTTTTTAATGAAACTCACCGGACTACAGAACGCCACAGGGCATCATGCCACAGATTGTCACAGGCTGTCGTCATCCCAGTGCTTGACCGCTGGTGTTGTTGGCCGCTTGCTCCATTGCTAAGTTCATCCCGTGACATGTGGTGGATTTGATGGCACCCATCTTCATACCGACCTGAAGGGCCCAGAAATGTATCAGGAGGGATCACTGCATCCGACCTGAGGATTTTCTTGCGGCCTGCCAATATTAGCCGATGTTAATTGATGGATCTTTCATAATATTATGCACCTATATATATATTATATATATATACATAAGGTGGACGGGTTGTAACCACAAATAACCTCTAGTCATGATGCCCTTACCAACCTGTATGCACATCCAAGTAGTCAACTAAATTGTGAGAAATCAGCGGTTCATGAATGAATGGTGATGAACCATGATAGATCGCAATAAGATGCAATAAGTGATGATAAATCATGATCAACCTAACACTGGGAATATCATAATGTATACATATGGATACATATGGTCTACAATTCCCCAATTCACGGCCATAAACCATCATAAAACGATATAAAAACGTGGGTTTTCAACACCTCTCTGCCTCCATGTCTGCATCCACCGCCATTTGGTACTCCCTCTGTTTCAGGCGATCTGCCAGGTCTCGCCGGGCTGCTAAAGCATCGGTGTCCGTTAGAACCATATCCTGGGGAGAAAATGATCAAAGGATAGATACATATATATATATATAACTTATATAACCATATGGAGTCCTATATCTATAACCATATCTATATAATCATGGTAGAAAATAGATCAAAACAGCAATCCCATCTGTAAGTCTGTAAGATGTGTGATGTTTTTGACTTTGGGATGCGATTCGAGGAAGAACAAATAACATGGGCGGAACCTACACGCTCATAGACTGATCCAATGGGTTGCCGGTTGCCCCCCCAAAAAATCGACGTCCATGCCCCAAAATTGAAACACCCAATGCTGCCCTGAACAAATGAAAGCTTCTGCTTCACTTTGCTTTATTCTCAAAGAGCTGAACCAGCAGGTGGCCTGCCGCAGTGACCAGCGATAGTTTTGGTGCTGGATGACGCCGATTGGACGAGAAAGCATGTCATCTGTTCAGATTTTGGTTGTTTTTTTCAATTGCCCAAATCCACCTCTTCAGGTGTCAGCCTACCAGTCCCCCCAACCCAGCCCCTGCCTGGGTGTCGGTGTTGTAGATGAAGAGTGCTCCAAAGCCCACGCAACTGGCATCTCTGAAAGGCACCGTCTGAATGGCCGGAGCATAGCCCTTCCCTCGTGTATCGACCTGGAAAAAACAACTGTGGTGGGTGAATCCCCATGGAATCCAGCGGCATCTTTAGGCAAAATTCTGGTGATTCACCACCTTAGAAAATAAAACACATGGATAAACAATGAAGATCCTGTAGATCCTGTAGATCCATGAAAAGATGATGGATAAACAATGAAGATTGAAAAGATGGTGTGTTTCCCCTTCTGAATCATGATTCCTGTAGATCCTGCGGCCGAGGATGGCTTGGAAATTGCAAAGCCCAAAGCATCTCCCTCTGTTTCGATACCCATCCACTTCCACAAATGCAAATCAACAAATAATATCATAAGAATTGAATATGTTTGAAATCATTGAAACCCAAGAAATGGATGGTTTAAAAAAGGATTACACACCTTAGGATGCCAGCTTCATAATCAAAAAATCTTCTCAAGAACTCTGCCAGCGACTTGAGCCACTACCACTTTGTCTGCCCAGTCAATCTTCAGCAAGACTTTGTTCCACTTGTCATTTTGGATCTTGCCATCGTTGCCTCTGGAGCCAGACTTAACACATATCACTTTCAGTTGGACAATGATGCGCCTCATGTGCTCTTTATTTTTGGCTATCTATCGTCATGTCAATTTATTTACGAGCAATGGCAATATTTATCAATATTTACTTTTGGAAAGGGAACAACCGTCAAATTAAGTTGATGTCCAATGGAGGCACAGCCTGAAACAAAATCCCTCATAGGCTGAGGCGGCTGAATGAAACTGTAAAAAAACACCACTTCGCCTGAGAAAAAATGCTTGAATTGGGATCATGGTCTCATTTAAGTTTGAATATAGCATCGAAAACATATCGAAAGAGAGTTGAAACATATTGAAACCATCTATGTCAAGACTTCAACGAGTAACGTGGTAATGCAATCATAAACCTTATCTCTGGGGCTGTTCTTCATTCCACCAATAATTATGGTGAGATATGGTAAATCATTGGCAAATTGGGGCTGGTACCACTAATACCCCATCATCAGCCAGTTATGTCGGGGGATATGAGCCGATTGTTCCCCCAAACCCACCTTATATCATAAAATTGTAGTTATACATTCATGTTATTGGCCCTCTTTTTATCATCATAGTAATTATAATTAACTATTATAGTTATTACTACTATTATCATTGCTATTATTATCATTGTTGTTATTATCATTGTTATTATTATCATCATCAATATCATTTCTAGTATTATTACTTTATATTAATATTACTATTCTTACTATTATAGTTCCAATCATATAATATATATTATTATATATTATACTATACTATATAATTACTAATGGATACAATATATTCCCCCAACCATGGCCCATCTTCAGCATTTTGCCACGGCTCTGATGCGCACGAGGTTTCCACCGCCGCCACAGAGCTGCATGCCGCCACGCACCGTGAATTGGAGCCCCACCTTGCAGTCCGGCAGGGCGCCTTCCTGGGAGGCCGGTGTGGTGTGGATGGCTTGGGGAGAGAACTTACCAGGAAAACCCACCAGGGGAAATCATGGGTTGGGGGGAAATATGATGAATTTTGGTGCCAAAGATGTGGAAATCCCGGAAAAAAGTCCCATGGATGATGGGGGTGTTTTTCACATGACGGGGGGAGTGGGGTACCCCAACTGATGGCCATTTTGGAATACGATCCAATGATCCCAATGGATTTCTTCGGGCCAAGCTTCAAAGGGCCGTTCAGTGAAGACCACCGAGGCGTTGGGCATGTCCACCTAAGTGGAGCATTTCTTGAGCCAAAAAAGAATAGGTTAGATCCTCTAGTCAAATGGTAGATTTATGGGAAAAATCATTGATATCATATATGTATCTATCTATCTATATATATATATTTACATACAAATATAATATGCGTATTATATATATATGATATATGAATATGAGGATTTCCAGCAGGCCGAGTTTGATTACTGGACGATAAATATTGAGATTTCGACGGGTAAAACAAAACACCCCATTTTGGGGGAGGAAAAGGATGGAAAAGGGACACAACACACTTGTCCAAAAACAACCAACCATCTATGTATACAAATCACCTATGCACCATTGCACCATCTGTAAACTCCGGTCTTGGTTCAACCCCCTATCTTCGTTGAATCTTCCAAATCTTTCAGGCCACTTTGCCATTCACGGTGAACTCAAATTCCACCTCTGTGGGTCGGATGAGCGGTCGAAAGCTGGTCCAAATCCCCGTGCAGGGCGCATTGGCAGCGCCGCCCATGAGCTGAAGACAGTTCCTGGGGAAATCAATGTGAAATTATTCGGAAATCACAGGGAGGTCGGAAATCACTGGGAAATCACTGGGAATGGTTTAGTTCGCAGGGAACTTCTTTGCAGGTAAAACAAATCTGGGTGGTTCCTGTAAGATTTTCCAGCAAAGCAATTCTGGGAAAAATAGGGGTGGGGTGAACCAACTGAAAGGCGAGACTCATCCACAATCATCCACATATTTTCTATTACCCTTTGTTTACCACAAAGATTCCCATTCGCAAAGCCAAGGCAGCCAAGGTTCTTGGCATCTTTCGGGTTGGAGGGATATTTCCTTAGATCCATGGTCCAGCCATGGTCCAGCCATGGTGGGATGCAGCACGGTGACTGGTTTTCTTTCGTCTTTCTTCGATCTTCTGAAGTTCTTTCGAAATCCGTCGAATACTAAAGTTATACTAAAATGAAGGAGGCACCAAAACGGGAGAACATGTGGGACATGGATTCCAAGCTATTCCAAGTCAAGCTTCACAAGTTTCGCATTGATCAATCCTCTTTTAATTTCCTTCCCGTTCTCATCCAACTCTGCTGGGCCTGAAGCCCATCTCTCTTCCCAGTCGCTGCCAAAGCTCTCCTCATACCTTGATTTCCCAGGGGTTTTGCGGGTAAAACCAGTACCCTCTGGTAATTTGTTACATAGCTATGGAAAATCACCATTTTTAATGGGAAAATCCACTATAAATGGCCATTTTCAATAGCTATGTTAGTTTACCAGAGGGTATTAAGTGCTTCAATGCGGGGTCATGCTGAAATTCCCCAATCCCAAATTGACAAATACTGAATCTGATCCTGCAATAACAATTGGATCTTATTGAGTTTCTGCAGCCAATTCTTGACATGGGGCCCCTGCTACAACAATTGTGTCATCCTGACTGATACATACTCTGTTTGATTAGGATTAATTGATTAAGACACATGCCCATAAACGGTTGCCATGCGTATGGCTCAGTAAACTAGTTAGTGAAACAAGTTTATCTTTTTGGGTTGAACCATCCAACTTAAGGGGTCCAGGTCTTAAACGCTAGGTGGTCCAGTTCATTACAAGATCTGTCCAACCGACCAACCGTGGCTTTTTTTTAACCGTGGCTTGTGAAACCATTTCAACAACCAAAACGCACCGACAAAACAAATCTACAAATAGATAATATCAATCCCCATTTTGTATCATTTTGTAGGGTTGCACAACAATGTTAACATATCCTTTTCTTCTCAGTGGCTGAAAATCTTGCGAGTTAATCTCCGCTTCCTCCACCTCCATTTCCGGCGCCACATCCTCGGCTGGCTTCACATTCGCCGCGGCAGCCAACAGCTTCAACGATGAGCGCAGCGAGGGTCGCTCCAGCCGGGCTCGGGCGGCCTCCAAAATATGGCTCTCAGGGAGTGAGGCTTTGTCGACCACCTGCGATTCAACCGGCGCCGTTGGAGGAACAAAAACATGGAGTGCTTCGCCTCGTCTTTCTTGCGTCAAAATTATGGATATCCCAAACTGGGCGGTTGATTAATGTTATATATACTGAAAAGAAGGCATGCATCTGTGTCCCAAGGTGTTCAATTTTGACCCAGATTGATCATATTACTTTATTATGGGTCCTGGGTCCCCGGGGGATGGGTTTGGACGCATGAAAAAAGACTAACAACAAGCTGTCGCCCCACATCAAAAACAACGTCACAGAAAACTGGTTGGTGGTTTCACCCTGAATATCCCTGAATAATATCAATCATTTTGGATCATCATCCCCATAGACGTCGCTCTTCGGGACTTGCCATGTTGTCCTGCCAAGGTGCCATGACAGCCATCTCGTCAATCGCAGGTACCAGCTGCGGAAGGCTCTTTTCAGCCTTCCCTTTGGACATTTCTGTCAGAAGCAGCAACTGGAAGCCGCGCTTACAGGTCGTTCCCAAAGATTGCGCCACCTCTGAGATCTTCTCAAAGTCGAAGACATCCATGGGAACTTGACTGGCATCACAAAGTCTTCTGAGGTTTGGAGGAGCGGATCCTAACAGCACAACCAATCTGAGTCCCTGAGTCATTGAGCTTTTCAGAATGGAGCCCAGCTCGGCACGAGCAGCCTCAAGAGTCATGGACTTGCACAGATTGATCTTAACCTGCAGTTCCTGGAGATTGAAAATGGCGCAGCCTGCCAGTTGGCAGTACAACAGAGTCGCCGCGGTTGCCAAAGGAGTAGTGCACACCAGGCACAAATGCTGCTGAGCGTACAAGGCTTGCTGCACACTCTGATGGATCTTGTTGTATGACAGCACCGGCCACATCTGTGGGATCTTCTGAGCTGTCTTCTCGGCAGAAAGATAGGCCTCCACCAGTTGTGCCAGTGCGATGGCTGCCGGTGCGCCACCTGTTCAGGACAACGGGATGCAAGTCGACTGATTGGTTTGGCTATGTTGGGATGGTCAACCGGAAAGTTGAAAAGTTCGATCCCAAGACCATCCATCCACCAGGTCCCATTGAAACATATTGAAATCCGTTCCCAAGCCTGAGCACAATTGGTCAAAACCGCTCCCACAAAATGGGTAGGTGAACATCACAATATATTCAATATATCATAATATTATATCAATCTTGTTACCACCCACCAATATCAATCATCCGCTACTCATCCTACCAAGCCCATCCCCCCATCCCACTCCAACCTGGTGGCCCCTTGACCTCCGCCTTCGGCTCCGCCTTCGGCTTCGCCTTGGCGGCGGCCTTGGGCATCAGGCGCCCGAGCTCCGCCGCGGCCAGCGCCAGGGAGGCCTGCTGCAGCTGGAGCTCCGTGGAACCCAAGGGGCCCAGGGCACGGAGCTCTTGCACCAAGGCCTTGGGGCCCAGGGCACTTGGCAGTTGCGAGGTGAAGCGAAACGCCAACAAAAAGGACGAGGTTTCAATATTAAAAGACAGGCAAATTTAAGGAGATTTGTTGATTCATGAGGGTTCAAACAGGATCCAATAAATAATGTAGGTGAATAAGCACTGGAAATCAGAATAACCATGAAACAGCACAAATCACGACACTTTAATTATTCTATTTGGTGACGTAGTGGCAGGTGATTCAAACCATGCCACAGCAAACTCTGCTGTGTTGCTCAGAAATGTTGTGCGATGGTGAGGGATATCTTATATAAATCTGTGAAGCAAAAAAATCTCTGGCAAATGCTTGTAGACCTCAGGTTTCTGCAAGGCAGCCGCAGCATTCTCCCAAGTTGTGTCCGGATCACCCATGAGCAGTAGAACTGCCTCAAGCACCTTCTGGCTGGTATCGTTGGGATGCTCCGCCAGCTGCGCCCAGTCGTCATCTTCCACGAAATTCAAATTGGTTTCAGCATCGAAGACAGATAACTTCTCGGGGCCCGCCACTTTGGGCGGGGGTTCAGGGCTGGCAGCTTTGGCGACAGCCTTGGCCTTCCCCGCAGCCTTGGCAGCACCCTTGACCTTTGGTGCCATGGTGCAACAAGATGCAACACGGCCATCTTCATTTGAGCTGAGAGCAGCGGAAACATGAGCCGCCTGGTTCCTTTCAGAGACGTTTTCGGATGTTTTCGTGCAGGATTTGGGGTAGGAACTGATCCTGTCATGTCATGTGGGTCCAATGAACACAACACACAGGCCAAAGGCAGCTTCAGTAAAATAGACTGGAATTAAGGGCGACACCTACCAACATATACGACATATGGTCTCTGAAAGAGTCCTTGGTACTCCGCACTGTCAATGTTTCCCAACTCAGTCCATCCCAACAAGACCGGTCTCGAAGTCCAATTTCCGCCCTTTTGGCAAGGACTTCTTGGAAAAAAAACAACTACTAGTACGCCGTAACTATGCTCACTGATTTTCATCCCATCTACCTCCATCCTCCCATCCTCTCCCATCCTCTCCCATCCTCTCCCATCCCCCACCTCGCTGGACACCACAGTCTGATCGATCTGGAAGACCTTCAACCAATCTGCCACCTGATCAATGCGGCCTGCTGAGCTACTGCACAGCCGCCATTCTCCTGCCAGGTCTGATGGAAATACAGCGGTGTACCCCCCCAAGAATTGGCTGGCTTCGAACTAAGAACGACCAAAATCTGTGGTTCCCAGTTTCGGATCTGATCGAATTGATTTCTGACTATTGTTTGTCAGTTAAGTGATGTATGATCCCGCGAAATCCTTTTTTTCTAAACCCTCCGGCGATGGAAAATCTGTCATTTAGTTCGATGATTTTCCCACCATTTGGAACCTCCATTTGGTTGGGGGATTTCCCGGCCATGTTTGATGACACCGAAGGGTAGTGGTTTGAACATGTTTTAACCTACTTCGTGTTTGATTGGTTGTAAGTTATACCACTTCGTGTTTGATTGTTTGATATTGTTTGTAAGTTATATCCCACATTATCCCACTATATCCCCATTACCTCCTCATTTTGTTCCATGTTTTCCCCATTCTATCCATTTCTCAAAACACTATCTAACCACACTTTATTGGGTTATAGATTCCTGTTCTATAATGGTTCTTAACCCATCCTATTCAACCATTTCCACGATCTTCCCACAGTTTTCCATCATTTTCCCATCGATGACATCGCCATCTTCGATGACGGAAGCGCCTTGCAGCTGCTCCATGAAGGATAAGGCTCTTCGTTTGCTTTCCTTCGAGAGTTTCGCCTCCAGAGCTCCTGGCGTGAAAAACCAAGGGGAAGGACTAAGAATTTAATAGATATATGATATATATATATATGTGTATGTAATGTTATGTTATGTTATGTTATGTTATGTTATGTATGTATGTGTATATAACTATAGATAGATAAATAGATAGATAGATAGATGGATGGATGGATAGATAAATAGATAGATCTGTTTTAATATGTATATATTAATATATATATATATACATATTATAATATATTATATATATGTATTATAATTTATATTAAATATGATATGTATATATTCTAATATATGTATTATATGATATGTATACGGCCCATATGGTAATATCATTGGGAATTCAATGGGAAATGTGTATGTATATGTGTACGTATATTTGTATGTATAGGCATGTGGTTGTATATATATATATAGACATGTCTATGGTATATGCAAATGTAAATGTAAGTAAGTAGGTACAGTAGGTATGTAGGGGGTATGTACGGATACAGCTATGTATCTATGTATCTATGTACAGTATGTATGCATGCATGCACGCTTGTACGTATGTATGTACTTGTGTGTGTGTGTGTGTTTGTGTACGGATGATTACGTATGTACGTGTCTGTATGTATGTGTGTCTGTATGTATGTGTCTGTCTGTATGTATGATTGTATGTATGTATGTGTCTGTCTTTATGTATAAATGTATGTCTGTATGTCTGGAGTCTGTACGTTTGCATCTCTGTATGTCTGTGTGTATCTATGTATACAATGTAATGTAATGTAATGTACTGTACCAGGTTATTTACCCCTCTGGCAATTTGACATACATATTCAAAATGGCCCATTTATAGACGACTTAGTGTAGTGTAATTTAAAGTGATGACTTTCCAGAACTATGAACTTACTAAATGGTATACACCAAAAACATACCAACAACTGATGACTTAATCGGTTTATCTAGCCAACCACGGGGATACAATGTACAATCAATGGATATATTCACTTTGCAACAACAATTAGAGAAATAATGGACATAGAACCAACCATTTGATATCATTTGAGTTGGATGCGTTAGATGGCGCATCAACCAATGGTTGGTTAACTACTCAATCTTAGAAATGCTCGAAGAGTAGGCTAGCCCCAAATTTGATGGCTTCACATGGCTAGATAAACAATTTCACCAATAAAACTTGTCCATTAAATATCATTAGATGCAGTAATTTCCCAATGTTCAAAGTTAAATCCAAATACTGCATAGTGTTGATCGTCTTGTTTGACCAGCTATACGGGCAAGTACCACTTGCGAAGAAGCGCTTGTACGAGTATGTTCATTTTAGACTCCCAAATGTGCTTTATTGGATTTGTCTATGTTTGTCTGAAACTCGGTTGCCCCTGAATTTGATGGTTGATCATAATTTTCTCCAAATATAGACAATTGCCATACGATGGGGTCCCGTCCCCAATTTTTGCACAACGCCAAATATCATATCAATTTTGGTAATTGGCATGTTCCCATCCCATTATAATGGTTCCTATAAAATCATTAGATAATTGTGGCAAAATCACAATTTCTTCATGGTTAAAGCACCATTTTTCATGATGCCGAGGTCGCACCTTGAAAGGAGCTGCTCTTGGCCGGTGGCAAGGGAGATGTTGGTCCGTCTCGCGGTAATGGAGGTCGTGCACATTGGGTGCAGTGCCAAGAGCTCTCCTGGGACCAAAGCTAATGAAAAGAGGTGGAGGGAAAAATGAAGGTTGAAACCCCCTTATGTCGGGGATAATCACTCATAAATGACCTTTGCTTCCTGTAGGCCTGCCCTTAAACCCAATAACTGATAGAAAAAAATGATTCACATCAACTGCTTTACATCACGGTGCAGCTTTTCCACAAGTTCCTCATCATGGGGTACACCCATATACCACACGATTTTCATGGTTGATCACCATTTTTCCCCATGATATGATGCTCAGGTTTAAAGCCAAATATCATATCAAGTTGACCACGCATAATATATATCATGTAAGGGATATCATACTAATGGGATATTATATGATATTATACTATCATGTATGCTCAAGTATTCCATTAATAATATCATATAATATCACATTAGTATCCCATTGCAGTTTCAGTCGCCGCTACGGTCCCAGCATGTCCCAGCCTTCCAAACCACCATGGTCTGCGTGGAGGATTCCACACAGCTTATCTTCTGAAGACTTGGACTGGAGGAGGGCACGGACACGCCTTGGAGGCTTTGTCAAGGTCCGAGTTCAGGCCGACAGAAAGCGGGGAGTTCATAATAATGAATGCTGGGGGATGTACAGTATGATATGTATAATTAATATAGTATAACAAAATCTACACTATGATAATAAAATATAAGATGATCCAATATAATATTGTATATAGTTATATATATATAGTAAAAAAAAATACTACAATAATATAACAGTAAAATAAAACATAATAATATACTAAAAATATAATTATATTATGTTATATTTAAAAATAAAATATAATAAAGTATAATATGTTTTTTAATAATACACTATAATAAATTAATTGATAATAAAATATAATATATTATAAAATAAAAAAATAAAATACTATAATATGATATAATAAAATAAATAGTAAAAATAACATAATATATAATATACCAAATATTAAACAGTAAATATATAATATAATTTATATAATATAATATATATATAATGTATAATAAAAAAAATATCTTATAAATAAAATATATTATTTATATAAATTATATAATATAATTTATATTCAAACAATCTTATATAGAATATATAAAAAAACATATATCATAAAAAATGTAATATATAAAATGAAATATAACACATAATATCACGTGTATGTATATATATATATATATGTACAATGTAATAAATATAGTATATTATGTAGAATGTAAAATAAATCATGTAGCTGTACATCGAAGAAAACACATATAGTATAATATAATATGATATAATATGAAAAAATATGATATAATATGATATAATATAGTATAATACAATATACTATAATATGATATAGTAGGATATAATATAATAAAATATAATACTGTATAATACATTAAATTACATTAATTATTATATAATATATAGAGTATATACTATAATATATCATAGATCAAATACCATATGCAATAAATAGTATGTAAAATATATTCACAAGTATATAATAAATGAATTTAATATACAATATATAAAATTTAAAAATATATAATTTATAAAATATAATATAGTAAATATAACATATATCATATATTATATATAAATATATTATATAACACATATACTATAATAAATATATATGTGATGTAAAATGTACAATGTATAACAAATCATGTATGTGTACATAAAATTAAACAACAAATATATAATACAATACAATATAATATAATACATTATAATATGATAGAATATAACACAGTAATATATAATATAAAATAATATACAATAATATACAATAATATAATATAATTTAATATAATGTAATGTAATATAATATAAAACATATAATATAGAATAATTTACAATAATATATGTATAAAACAAAATATTTATAATTTATGTAATATAGTATAATGTAATATAATACAATGCAATATAATATACAAAGCTGGTTAGATAGAGCAAGATAAGATACGAACAAATACAGTAAGGCTAGATTTGATAAAGATTATATTCAGTTCGATTAGACTCATTAGACCAGATTAGCTTCGATAGATTAGATAGATTATACAGATAGATAGTGGTAAATATATATAATAGAAATCAATGAGATCTCACCAGTTTGGTATGATATTTGGCTTAAAGTCGCAAAATGGAGAATTCACCTCCAATTTAAATGCATGTTGATCGGAACAATTATGATAAACCATTGTTTTTCCTGGGGTACCCTATTTTCAGAAGAAAGCCACACAAGAACATACAAGAACTATATAAGAATCGCACTTGAACATTGGGTAAGAATGGAACCTGAATTCATCGCCGAAGTGCTGTAGGTCAAAGTATTGTCGGACCAATTCGACCTCTCGCCCTGCACTCGATGACAGAGATGCCAGGCTGTACTCTACAAGGAATTCTGGTGGTTGGAACAATCATGGACTCGCAGTTGTGAAGGGGATACTGGACAAACCTCAAATGGTGTTTGCAAATGACTTGCAACACCATTTTGAGTTTTTTTGACTGACAATGCAGACCAGAAACCTTTCATCCGTCTTTCCAGCAGTTTTCCAGCACGAGACCGGCTTCGATTCTTTTCTACACCATGAGTTTGTGATTCTGCTCTTCATTACTAATGACTTGCTTTCCGACTTCAATTGACCTCTTCTCGCTGAATACATCCCCAGCTTTCGTCCCGAATCCCTACGTGCTCTGCATGGTCCCTAGAATCGTATCGGGCAAGATTCCCATGATTTACCAGCTCAACCCGAAAGAAATACAGAACGGGGCTTAAAATTGCCAAAAGTAATACTCGTATTTACAGCGTCTTGTGACTAGAAAAGGCAAAAAAACACCGTGATTTCTCCGAGCAAAACATCAGACACTCCAGGTGCATCCAACACGGCAATGGGGTCTCCAATCAAAATGGAGGTTTTTTTCACAGGGTCTTGGAAAATCATTGGATCAAAAGGGTGATTTATCGATTTTCCTCCATCTATGAGTTCCATTCAATGGTCTCAACAACATTAATTGGAACCTCCTACCAAGGTAAGTTTTTTAAACCACCTCCACTCGAGGCTAAGTCAAAATCATATTGAGCGCCTGAACAAATTTGTGGCTCGACTGGTGCCTCAATGACTTGACCAATACCGTAATACCCCATGCTTGATGCATGAATAAAGATATGATTGATAGATGAAGTCCCCTGTTTGATGGGCATTAAAAAAATGGTAAAGCACCATAGTTATAATAAGATCTAGTATATAATAAGTATATGTACTGATGTAATTATGCATGTATGATATATGACACGTAGCTGGTTGGAACAGAGATCTCTGCGCACCTCTGACTGCATCCGTGGCCGCGGTTGGGGCCAGCCACTCGTCACGGAGTTTTCGGATCCCACGCGGCTGCGGCCGCCGTTGTTAAAGGGAGATCCTGGATTCGAAGTCAAAGGATGGGGCCCAAGATGGCCCAAGTGATGGCAATTTAAGTGGCGAAAATGATGGCGAAGATCAACAACCACTGGGGATCACGTTTGGGTGTTTTGTTTTGACGCTAGTTTTGGGATGTTTTGGGGCATGTTTTCGGGTAAAAAGTGGATCAGGATGAGCCAGGGTTGCCAAGTTGGAAAATGGATCCGGAAATGAGAAAAGAGTCCAACTTTCTTAAGTTTCATAGCTAGAAAGAAAGACGTGGATCATGTGTGGCAGAGAAAGACTGATGGAATGTTCCATTGCCAAGCGTTCAGCCTGAAAATGCTGGAGAGTTGGAATCTTCGACACAACAGCACAGGGGTGCTGATTGTATTATCCCATGTCAACGCCATCCTGGTTTGTCCACGCCATGATCCCTTTATCTGCACGGCCCGCAGTGGGACACATGTGATAGTTCTGCTTGTTCTCAGGTAAAGTATCCCCGTTTGGGTGAGTCCAAAAAGCTATGCCCCAATTTTTGGCAATCTCATCCGAAGTAAATAATGATAATTGATAAACCATGACAAACCATTAAATTTGGGAGTACCTGCTTTAGGACAAAGCCATTGCGACAGTGGCCTGGGATGCCCATCAGCAAACCATTTGAGGGATCGTCCTGGCGCGACATGTATGAAAAACCTGGAAAAGTGAAATTCAAAATTGAGTTCCAAAAACCGTTCATGATATATTTGGATTCAGGCATGGAAATCCAGCCAAGGCTACGTACTGTAGCACATGTCTGGGGAGAGCAGGAAATGAAAGGTAGCATTCCTCCCCGGTACCGTGCATCAGCACTTCCCCTTGGACCACATCCGCCTGGTAGACCACATCTGCCCGTTCGTCAGCATCCACAGAAGAGCTAGCGATTTTGAACTCTGGCCCCGGCTGATAGAGGGGATCTGGTTGATGAATGGGATCCGGTTGATCAAGAGGAGCGCAATCTCAGTGCCGCACTTTTTGGCAGGGGCCCTCAACAACCCGTCTTGGCATCGAGAATCATACAGCTGAACATGTGCCAAAGCGTCATAGTCATACTATATCTAGATAAATACACAGAGTGTGTTTGCTTTTTCAAGTCAGACTCAAGACCCATCGCAAGATGATATAGACAAACTTCACTATGATGCTCCAACTTAGGCTGTCCTTGAACAGAAAAGGACCCATTCCCCGGGTTACTCTCGGGGAACATGGGGATCTCCATTCCCTGCAGTTGTTCCTGCAGTTTTTCCTTTGAACATTAGGCGTTCTTGATTTCCGATTGTTAAGCATGTTCAATTACAATACCTATCTACATTGGGCATTTAGCTACATTTGGGTCATTTTCTGGGCAAATGGTGAATAATGGGAAATATCAACCGCTGGTGGTGTTCCCATAATTTCGGGCAAAACCATATGGAAGCTTGTGGTGAAAAGTATGATTGTATGATCAAACATTGGCTATTTCGATTATTTTCTCATCAAAGGTGATTGTCATCCCTCCAATTGTCCATAGGGATTAATATACCAATGAATCCCATTCGCAAGTTTTTTTTTCCGACGCAGTACCAGGGGTTAGCATACCCATTTGGGTCAATATATCCACTACACTCTGGTAATTTGTTAGATAGCTATTGAACATGGCCGTAGAAACGGTGGATTTACCCATGAAAAAGGTGATTTTCCATATTTTTCCAAGGAGTTATGTTAGTTTACCAAAGGGTAAATCCCATTGATAGAGGTTCCTATACCCATTGCATGGGCTGCAGGGACCAACACCAAGGGACCGCTCTGCATGAAGCGAGCCGTCCCACTCAGACGGCCTTGGGTACCCGCCTAAGCAAGCGACAATGGACTTACCACGAGGAGTTTTTTGATAGGAACGTACTATATACTGTATATACATATATATATCTCATATATCATGGGATATCATGAATACAATGGGAATATTCATGGGAGTTAACCAGTTAACCAGCAATAACGGGAATAATGGGATATGCATGTATATGTATATATATATATAAATATTATATATATTTATATAACCAACAATATGATATTTGGTTTATGGTGATCCATCCCATGTTCGAATTCTTACCATGAGTTAAATCCCTAGTGCATTGATGACCATGCCCCAATATGGATATCATGGCACATGGGTCAAAATAAAGACCCTTAGGACTATAGCTTTTGGTCATGTTTCTTCTGGTAAACGATCACATTTTTGGGTACCGAATTGTTACCCACAGCCAGCTTAAATAACTTTCCAAGTTTCGTGGGTAAGTGGGGGCCGTGCATCTAAGACACACTCTCACAACACGGTGCACCTACAGTTTTGTCCGATTGTGCTGGTTAAACATGTTTTTTTGGTACGAAATAGGGGATCCAACTTAGATAGCTACAGGAGAATGCAGTGTCTGATATTACCTGATTATGTCGTATCATATCTGATTGTCACATGTTTTTACTTCATGTTTGCACTTCGTGTTCACTTCAAATATCTTCCACAGTGGAATTCAAGGTCCATGGAACAATCAAGGCATCTGACGAAGGGGTAACTTGGGGAGTCACATCAGAGCAAGGTCCTGACAGAACAACAAATGTGAGCTGTGCTGGATTAAAAAGACATTAAATAAACAACACTTGAACTACCCTAGCCTCTGGTAATCAAACATATGTTGCTGGAAAATTCACTCTTAGTTCGATGATTTCCGCGTTTCAATGCCCATTTCGTCCGTGGATTTCCCAACCATTTTGATGACACCGGAGGGTATATTGGGCATGTCTCAGACCCCGGGACCCTGCTGGTTGGTCTTGTTGGGTGAATCCTCCAAATTGGACGTCTCACGTCATGCTCGTCTCAAGCCAGAACTTGGATCTTTCTCCGATCCAATGGGTGGTGCCACAAGTAGCAAACAAATTTTGGGAACTAAGAGCCATACATGCTAAAAATCACTGTATACAACAACGAACATCTACAAAAACTGTTCCACTTTCCACTCTTCAAGTGGGAAATACAGATCCACAGGCTTTCAGGATTTTTCAGGTGATTGACCATAACTTGGGAAAAGTACAGGTCATTGGATTCGTTTGGGCAATTTGTTGCGGAAAAGACATGGTTTCTCACGCTGTTCCAAACATGATCCAAGCGGCATCACCCTCAACAGCACTTTGCATGTAGCTGCTGGTGCATCTGCCCTGGGCGAGATGAGGATTATCGGCCACCGAGAAGTCAGATTTTTTCCGGGTGGTTCCTTTTTTGTGTTCAACCTAATCAAAGGAAGTTGGGAAGCAATCTTCCCAGTTACGGACAAAGTGCAATGCAATAACAATACATCACATCACAGTACATCACTTAACAGTGCATCACATAACAATACGGCAGATGACAATACATCACACAACAAAACATTACATAACAAAACATCACATAATTCTCACATATCAACACATCACATAACAGTGCACATTAGACGGCCAATAATTTAGTACGGCCTTAGGACTTCCAGGGTGTTGTGTGTCAAGTATGACGAACATTGCCGAGTATCTCTTTCGGTTATCTCCGTGGAGTCCTTGACGTTTGAAGTATTCCTTTCCTAAGTGTGAGGAAAACACTCCTGTCCTATGATGGAAAGGAGAGCTTTCAATTTTTTGCAGCTGTTCACGTCAACACTGGGTTTAAATGGTGCAACGAATCACAATTGTGGCACAAGCCAACAAACACGTCATCTACCTCGCTGTTGAGCAAGTGCCAGGTGTCTATATGTTTTACCGAGACACGAGAATTCCAGGTCCTTCCAGCTTGCCAAAATCATCTGCGAAGATGCCTTTGACGCTGTTTTTGGCTGTTTCTTCATCTGGTGCCTGCAACTCGGATTAGATTCGGATCTCCGAAACGGAAAGGGATGCTTCATGCAATTCCAAGTGGGATAGTTAATACATCTTAGTACGAGACATGACTAAATTTGAAGGGGCTTTGATTTTGAACAATTTCTTCCGCGGCGTTTTCGACAGCAGTGCATTGATCGCGGGGTTTGTTTTTGACAAATGCCAGTGGAACACCATGTCACACAGCTGATGGTTTCAGAATGTTTCACATAACACATCTGGAGGTTTCCTAAACTGGGGAATCCCCAAGTCACCATGGGTTTCAATATGTTTCAATATACTAGAATGGTCTATGTATGTCTATGTAATGACTTGGATGATCTGGGGGTAATCTCCACTTTAGGAAACTTCCATCTGGGTCTTTACACGAAATCGGCATCCCAATGGTTTATGCCACCTCCTTCAGCAGGCTTTCTGGAACTGTGCGAATTTTGTCAGTGCTGGCGACAATGGGCATCACAGCAAAAGCCTCCTGGTTTAGAGGCGAGAAAGAGAAAGCTCTCTAAAAATCCGCCGGCCTGCCGGCGTGTCTGATTGGAAGGTGTTGTTCTTGTTTCTGTTCTTGGTTTGTGCTTGTTCCTTTGTTCTCTTGCTGCGCGTTTTTGCTTCGTCTGAATCAAGGTCCCTCCCGACGCCTACTCCGACTCCTCTACGCCTCTACTCCTTCCTCCCTCCTTCCCAAAGTACTACATTGCCGGTAGCTAATGACACTGCCTACAGCATTACCGTCGTCTACAGGTACTTGTCACAGGACGCACACGGTACTGACCGACCAGTACTCATTGGGTATGCGTTCCATTGGCTGTTCAAGCACGCACTTGCTGCTCAAGCCCAAGCTGCTTCTGATCTACGGCTCTGTCTTCATCGCTTCTTCTCTCAGGCTTCCACCTAGCGTGCACGTCAACCTCCCTTGGGGCAATCTCTCTCCGCTTCCACCCTGTCTCCTTCCATGCAGCGGTCTGCTGTCAAGCCAAAGGCTCATACATAGTGACATAGTATATACCTGGCGCTACTCTGCTGGGGGCGGTACTAATTTGGTATACGGTCAATAGGTTGTTACAGCAAACCTTGCTACACAAGCCGCTTCCGTTTTACGGCTTTGTCTTCGTCTTCCTTTCTTATTCTTCTTATTTCTCCTTCTTTTCTCTTCTGCTCTCTCGCGGGCTTCCACCAGAATGCACATCAAACTCTCTTGGGGCCACCTCTCTATGGCCGGCGGGCTTGCCGAAGGCAATTAAATAGGAATATGATGGAATATGTATATGGAAACATAATTAATCAATATTAATTGTAAATGTGGCTGTGTCTGAAAGTGGGGTAGACCATGGTATACCTCAAAATTGCATGTTTGATGGGAACATGAAAATTATCCATTGGGGGTGCTCTGTTTTCAGTCAAATAGATGGATGGTACATTCTGCCCTTTGTCATATCAAGCCTTGAGAAGAGGCATCCAAAGCTCCCTTCCCCAAGAAAGAAAACTAGGCTACCCCAAAACTCAAAATTGTCTGGAAGGTCTTGGAAAAACATGTTCCCATATTTTCTGCAGTATTTGATAGCCATAGGTAGAATTCGCCTCATTTTGGGCTTGCCCATGGTTGGAAAGCAGTTCAGTTCGACATATAGTTATACAACTTAATCTTCTATCCATAGAGATGTATGGGCTTTCCATTCGCTTTAAATATATCAGTGCCAACATGATCTATATCATTCTATGTCTATCTATTGCATTGCTGTAGCATTCACATGGCTTGGTAGGCTCTATGTCAGTTGGATGGCAGGTAAATCACCAAAGTTGCTTGATTTATCATGCTTGATGACAAATCAAAAAAAAACAATTTCTTGGATTTAACATGGGTTATTACTACTATATATTACTATGTCCTGTGATATGTTTTCCAGGCTTCCTTTCCATATTTTGTTTATTAAATCCTGTGGTTTTCACCATTTGTTAATGGTCAAATCAGTTCAACTCCATATTTTCCCGGCTCCTTGGGCGTCCAAGTTGTCTCACCGACACTCAACTGCCTTCGGCTCACGAGCGCCAGGCCTGTATCTCAGGGGATGATCCCAACTCTCCTGGGAGTGATGTTTTAATGGAATAAACTGTTGAAACCATCATTTCATATGGATTGTTCAATGGAAAATCTATGGTGTTTCTTCAATGAAACTGTTGAAACTTGATATGTTGTGAAAATAAAAATTCGATGGATGCTATATGATATCATTTCATATGGATTGTTCTTGGGATTCTATGGATCTATCATGCTTTTACCAGAGCCACACAGCCAGCAAAATGGTCACACAGTTCATGGTTATCCAATAGCATATAATATCATACCATATCATATCTAGATCTGCACTCAATACTTCCGCAGGTTCCAACATCACTTGGACATATTTGGACTATCTTACACTCGCCACCAGATGCCTCTACAAGGAGGCCCTACATCACCTCAAAAACCCTGGAGCCGCCGCAGGGTCGCTTGCCTACAACTAGAAGCACCAAGGCATCTGGGAGAACCAGCCAACAGTAGCTGGCAGCTGCCAAGATCGGCAGAATCCAATTCAACTTCAAGCTCACTGGCCTCAGAAACACACTGGCCTGGCTGGTGTAAAACAAACTGAGAACCAAAATGGAGAAACATTGGAGAAAGAATGATCAACATTATCTTGCAATATTTTGAATATCTTGACCATTGCAAACATCATACCGTAATACCCATGTATACCGTATATATACCCATCATACATCATCATACCCCAATCACTGACAGGACCAAGATTAGAGTCTTTACCGTTCATACCGTACCAGCGTCATGGTTTGATGTCTGAGCCTCTGCATAGGAGTAGGCTCGGCTAAGCCAGAGGAAGATCATGATCAGTCTGTTTCGAAAACCGACATGGATGTCTGCCTAATTGTATATATATATATATCATAATATATATATATATATCATATATATTTATAATATATATATATATTATATATACACACGAGACAAGGTCCAATCGCTAGTCCGCTAGTCTTCAGGAAGAACGCATGTTCCCATCCCATATCACCCATCATCAAACTTGGCATTCCTAGTCAGATAAGATGCACTTGAAGCATGATATCGTGCAGGTAAACAACACTGGCAAAATTCTACCACCAAAAAATCCACAAAACACAATTCCCAAGCATAATCTAAGATTACATATGATTGCATGAGATCATAACCCCAGCTTTGAGTTTTCCTCAGTAGAGTCAGTAGAGGCCTTATTTCACCCCAGTAGTTTTCCAGACCGCCCTACGAAGGCTCAAGCCACAAATCGAAAGATACGAGTGCAGCGAAGAGAACTGTGTTACTCGGCCCAACTTCCTTGATGCCGGAGATGCTGCGATGCTGGATGGGGAGACCCTGGTTCAGTCTGCTTGTTAATGATGATCATAGAAACAAACTGATATATATATATATATCTATAATTATAAATATATATATATATATTAATATATAATATATATGTCTATATCCAATATCTTTCAATCGGCCCCCCAGTGTTGTCTTATTTGCGTGATATGATTTGATCACTCCTAAGTTCTGAAATGATGCAACAAATTGAACGTGCAAGACAGAGGTTCGAAGAAAACCTTAACCCTCAGGATAGTAAGCCAGCTGCTCAACCCACTACTACAAGAACAAGAATCAATGTATATATATATAATATTATACTATATATATATTACAGGTTCACAAAGCATCATAATCTAATATGGGTATGGGTCTGTCTGAAAATGGGGTACCCATTTTAAGTCTATCTATAATTTACTTAAGTCATTCATTCAGTATTTTCAGACACACCCATGACTCATCTCATATCAACATTTGATGATCCCAAGGGCCTTCTAAAGCCTCCTGAGCCCTTTCAGGAAAACTTCACAGGATCTTTCACGCTCAGCTTCGTCTTGATGGGTAAGGAGCAGAGGAATCGACAGCAAATGAGGCGCTAGTAACCATATGTCAGCCTCACAGCTGCAGTGAATTCCTGGTACAGTGGATGGTAGTGGAAATCCATAGGACAACTATTTATAAATATGAATATACCATTTTCTATGTAAAACGCATCATTTTGTATAGCATGCAGGAGTGAACCAGCTCTGCAAGAAACACAGAGAGGAAGAACCGTTTCCAAACATTGACCTACAAAATATCAATCATTTGGTGCCCAACCTGAAAGGAACCCCATGGGACCCCCGTTTCATACCCGGCACACAAAAAATGCGTGCCTTCATCGAAAGTTTCAAACGCTGTGCAAGCAGTGGCACTATAACCGCCAGCAGCGACACCGCACATATGGAGGCATAGCGGAGGGCAGTCAGAATATCAATGTCTGATTTCTCCTCCAGATCTTCAGAAGTATCAACCACCCTAGTTCACCTATCAGCTGAGGTTCCACCAAGACCTGTCTACAAATAATGGTATCCAATGATTTCCAATGATGACAGTCACCACAAGCAACTCGACTGCTCAGCAAAAAGGGACTGTTGCGCTACATCTGCTGAGGACGGTCCTCTTGCCTCACAAAGGACCAAACCTGCGCCGTGGGGATGACCATGGGAGACCCATGGGATCCCAATCTTCCATTGATGGTGGATACATATACTCTCATGGGTACCCTCTGGTAAACTAACATAGCTATGGAAAATCACCATTTTTAATGGGAAAATCCACTATAAATGGCCATTTTCAATGGCTACGTTAAATTACCAGAGGGTAATTACAGGGTTGTGAACAAACCAAGTGCAGCCTCTGAAACGAGCAGTGGAAGATAGAAGCACAGCAGCGGTCTCAGCAATGTCCGTCCTTGGGACCGCGACCGCGACAGGATTCACTGCAGACTGTGAGAACCGGCAAATACAGAAAATGAAACAATGCACACAACTTGGATCAAACTAGCACTGTGAAGTAAAGGTAGACTCTTCGCATCGGACATTTCCCATGACTGGAAACACAACTAAAACTTGCAGAATGATTCTTTCTCCCAATTTGGTTCACACCCTTCGAAGACCTTGGTTTGGTCTTAACCAGAATCTTTCATCCAGTAGTGAAACCACACCCACCAAAGCCAGGACACCCAAGCTGGACGCTACCAGGTTTGTCATTGCGTTCATGTCATTTATGGGCAAAGATGCTGCTCGATAATGCTGTTCTCCAGTAGATCTCTCCATTGTTCTTTGATGTTCTTTGTAAAAATGGTGGGTTTCAAGGATTTGAAAGAGATGGCGAATGGCCTGAGGGGGGTGATGAACCCACCAAAACATGGGTGTTCCTTGGGGTCTGAGCCAAGACCCCCTGCGGCGACCCTTTATCCTTCTGATTGTTCACAACCCTCTGGTGCTCGCTGTAGATTTGTTCAATCCGTTTTGCACTCAACAGGGCTGGTCAAGCGTAAACATCACCCATCCCTTCCAGAAATTGAAATCATCTCCATCGAGCATCTGCCCAGGTGATGTTGATTTCAACTTATGGACCCATCAACCTACTCACTGGGGATGAGTCAAGATTTAAGCCCTATTGGACCACAGATTTTAATATATGATGTACAATGTATATATGTTTAGTATTAAAACTAGTATTAACCATCAAATCTAACTACTGGGGTACCCAATTTGGACTTATACCGCCTATACCCAACTATAGTTACTCTAGTTGGGTGATGCCTAGAAACACTGCAACTGCTGTCGCAACCTGTACCAGCCAGCCCTTTCGAAAAGCCTCAGGAACAACTGAGGGAGCTGCACCTCAAATGGCTGAGGTCAATATGCCGCTTTCAGATGTATCAAAAATGGAGGAGTAAGCAGCAAAATCTATTCATTTAGCTAACTGCTTTAAATTCAGCAATATCTGGGGATGTGACTAAAACTGGAAAAGCATGACGCAAACGAAAATCCTGCTTTTCGTGTGGCACTGGCCAGACCGGAGTTTTCGCATCAGTGCATGCGCATTTCAGGGACTTTTTTACTGCTCTCCCCAAATCAGGCGCATTCCAGTGGCTTTGTGAGGCTCTGAATCTGATTCACCTTCATATCCCTGACCAGTTCGGTACGTACTACCTATAAATCTATAATACATAAATTATCATATTATTATAATTCATTATACACAAAAATGATCAAAAATGTATGTATGTATAATAATTATGCACCACGTACTTACAAAATATTATAAAATATACTAAAATATTATAAAATAGTATTGGTTGTGAAAACAAAGCAACACCGCTGATTCAGCACCCTTACACAACACGACTGAGAGTGCCTCCAGCTGCTTGTCGAAGACGCGCCGCCGAAGTTCGTCGCGGCAAAGATGCTGCAGCGCCAAAGGACACAAGCGCCAGTGATCCTGCAAGTTTCAATGAATTGGGATCATCATCCCAAAATATTCAAAACAGGGATGGGAATTTGACAGAGTTCACGCATGTTGAAACCCAGAAGCAAATAGTAAAGTCAAATACCTCTCGTCTGCAATCATACCCCATAGGATTCCGGATCCATGTATGGTATATATGCTAACATTTGGAGTATATTGATGGTAAATGTTACCATATATGGCATACATGGATCCTATGGGTACAGTTATAGGAGCCGGCGTGGACCTCGCAGCTGTTGACGTCCATCCGCTCGCTGATGGCATTCGCGGCTGGTGCATCCGTGTCTGGAGAGATTGGAGAAGCTGGTGCAATTTCGATGTCGCGTAAATCGCAACGGATGGCGCCCAATTTTCTAGAGAACTCAGAGGCAATTGGGGGGTTCAACATGTTTTCAACATGTTTTCAACATGTTTTAACCATCAAATCTCGGTATTTCAATGGTATTTCCGTGGCACTCATCCCCTCCAGCCCAAGGAAATATCAAGTCTATCCCGCCTGGCCCTCAAGGTCAACTCCTGGCAGCAGAAAAAATTGGTGAATCCCAGGGTTTTGATGGGAAAAACATGTGGGTTTTTTGGGAAATACCTACATTTAGGGGTTAAAAATTGTTAAAAACCAGGGGGTCCTGTAGATTTTCCAGAAATGTGGCAGCACCTGCTGAGAAGGAAACGTACCCGGTATGGAAAGGCCTGAACATCTTGTGGAAATCTTCGAATTTTAGAGACACAGGATGCCCACGCAAACAGTTTTCATGTGGCGTGAAATTGTGGACCCTCGCTGTCCAAAATAGGATGTTAGGTTGTGTTAGGCTACTAGATGGTAGTAGTACCATGTAGTACCCCGAAATCCAACTGTTTTCTTTGTCGTTTTTCCATCACAAGTGCAATTTTGGAAAATTGTGGTGTATTCTGCATTTTGAGACAAAGCCAAATGGTCAAATGCATACTTCCTTTGTTACGCTAGTGAAACATAGTGAAACAGTCACCATGCCCATGTTTTTAGGCGCAGATTATGACATCTGAATGAACAATCTTTTGATATCATCAGTGAATACCGGAAGACCTGGTTGACTTGCGGTTTTTCACTGGCCCTAAAATGTGTGTACGTAAGCAACAAAAGCGAGGATAGAACCAACAATAAATCCTGCTGAGCCAGCCCCGTTTATCCAGCCTGGGCCGGAGGTTGAGCCATCACGAAAGCTGGATGCAGGAGATGTGATGCAGGGAGGGATATGAAATCTTGGCCATAGAAAATCCAACCTGCCAATGGAACATGTCCCAGTTGTAATCTGTGACGATTCTGGATTTCTTGGATGCCACTGCCATGTTCGACTACCAAAGGTATCTCTTGGACAAATAAGGATTGGATCACACCCAACATGCGAAAATCAATGCCACATGAATCATTAGAGTTTCTGGTCTAGTTTTCAAGCAGCCTGTGAAGTCTGCAGCCATCTCTCATTGTTGATCAAATCCACAGTCTTTCAGGGTCACACTGTTTAAAGTCATCGCCATATAGGCTGCAAAATCTGTAAGTTTCCCATGTTGCCCTGGCCTGCAGCTGCCATGGCTGCACTAATGGCGCGTGTTCGAAAAGTGTTCAGAACTTCGGGAGAGGATGGATATCTCAGGTAGATCATCGGGATACTGGTACCATGTGCTAGAGGTGAAAACAGCAAGGCATTGAAACTTGAAACACATGACTGATAAGTCATATAAGGAAATACATGTGAAAGCGTTCAACATATCTATGGAATCGATATAGTCCATCAATGTGAGTGGGAAAAACAACGGTCCTATATGGCCCTAATATTCTGCCCCATCAGTAAGCATTGATGACGTCGATGGACGATGGGTTTTGCTCATGGAAGAGGATTGTTTTGGTCCAGCGATGGCCTCAACGTGGCATTCACAGCAGCTTGAGCAGTGTGCCGGAAACGCTCCAGTTGCGGCCCCGGGATTTCAGCTGCATCTGGCAATTCTTGAAGATCAGGTGAATAGGAAGGTCGTGATAATTCAATAATAATTCATGATTCCTGTTGGCAAGAGGTAGAATAAAGGAAAAAACCACAAACCAACCGGGCATGGCTCAGTTGTTGCCAAACACTGTGTCGCTGGCAGGTGTCGCGGTATTCCTGCTTTGCAGGAATTTATCTTAGCTGTTGCGCAGGAGGTTCCAACCAGGGCTTGAGGGGCTGCCTTAAATTGGAAAATAATGGAAAATCATCGTTCAGTGATTCCCACTGCCATGGTTGATTACTGACAAATACAAACATCGGCTTTGCGAATGCTTCTCATGATAAAACACATGCCCTCTACAGTATGTCACTATCTTGCAGGCACGGCGAGCCAACGTCCGGAATCTCTGCTGCGATCTTACGACCAAATCCTGGATAAATTCACCGAGTTGACTGTTTCTGGAACACTTTCACAGTTGTAGATTCAATCTGATTCAATCAGAAAGGACACATTCTGTTGTATCAACATGCAGCTGAAAAAACACACAGTCAACACGGCGCTTTTTTGGCGAGCCCTTGATGAGCTCATGTTTCGAATGTGGTGTTGCACAATTTGGCACTTTCTTTGAGTACCCGTGCAGAGAGTATCGAGCGATTGACAAAATGTGCTTACTCCCCTTTGTACCTGTAAGATCCTGTAAGATCCTGTAAGCACATCTCTGATTCATTCCACCTTCAACATCTTGTGGAGTTCAGGCATACCATGTCCATCAAGTCCATGGTTGTCCTCTTATCCTCCGACAAGGGAGCATCCACTTTGGTGACTCAGTGACTCAGACCGCATCAGCTCCCCTGAGCCGAAGTGCCGTGGAGTCTCCGTCAGGTCCGAAGGTTTATTTTCTGTACCATTGCTGGAGTGGCAAAAAAAATGTCAATGATATATCGAGATAGTATATTGATGGATTACAACTATGTGCACAAAAGCTTAAAAGATCTTATAAGTCTTATATATAGTACTTACTAGTATTACAGTATAATAGATTACAATGATTGCAATTGCATCATATTGCATCCGTTAATATCAATAGATCAAATCCCAAATTACAGTACATTACATTATTCGAGATTGCATAGTGTTTATCGACAAAAATGCGCAAAGTCTCTGGGTCTGTGCCAGAAGATCCTCCCACCACATAGGTCGATCATGGTCGATCTCCAGCTGTCAACTGTTGGCTGTCCAAGTGTCACCAGCGCACGTGAATCAGCAGATCGAATGTGCAGGCAATCGTCCGGACGGCTGCTGTTCAGCTTGGTATACACAATCTGCCACAATTTCCTGGCTGCAAAGGGGAAGCTGGTGCTGACCTTCCAGGGATTGTACAGTATTTCCTGAAGTTTGCCACATTCCACAAGAGATTTATGGATCTTTACTATTCTTGACTAAATATGTTCTGCTTTGAAGGAGACTTCCAACCATACCTTTCAACCATGACCGTCACAGCTGGCAAGATTCACTCTCCGTCGTTCAAAGGCAGCAGAACAGGCACAGAGATAGTAGACCCACCTAGGGAGAAGCTAGGGGAAAACACATTTTTTCTTCACTCGTCTAGGCCATGCTTCGATCAAGATCGTGACTCATGACGGGAAGGGTGATGATCAAAGTAGTTGTGGCAACGGTGATGACGACAACGATGATGTTGAATACGCCGGATTTTCAGACAGGGACGATACGCAGACTCTGGCGTCCCATCATACTGATTTATAGATGGATTTTCCATGTTTTTCCTAGCTATGTCCAGCTATTCACACCCATTCATCATGAATTTCATGGAATTTCCCTTGATTTTCCCAGGATGTTCCCATGATTTTCCCTCCATTTTGATCGGCAAATTTCCCCATTGCCACGTCCCTGAGCGATCAAGTCACATCCGTCTGAAACGCAGATCAAGTTCGTCCAGGCCCTGGCGCCGGTGATTCCAGGTGCATTACTATAGAACGAAGGATATAGTTCAATGATATGATATATGTGTAATATATTGTAATATCAATTGATGATTGTTCTATAATTGTCTATATTTATATAATGATAATATATGAAAACAATACATTAAAATATAATATAGTATTAATATATATGATACTATATATATTAATTTGTATGACAGAGAATCTACAATTCTGGACTTATAATGTTGATATATATAATCTATATAGGATACTCGAGTGCCACGTTTCTATGTAATTACAAGTGTATTGTATGGTTAGCATGCTTGTTCTCCTGAGAGTGCAGACATCTCCAATTCGGAAGACTTCTTCCATACTCCATCTGCCATTGGATGGTGACTTCCAACAGGTCAGAATAATTTGGGCAAAAGGTGTCAAAATGCGTCCAATAGTTGGATAATCCTCTACAAATCGAATTCATGACAAGTGACAGTCCTATTTGGTCTGGCATTGGCAATGATTTTTGGTCTGAAACCGGTGTATTCCAATTCCAAGACTGGAGATGGAAAAGGCAGGTTCTACCACATCATCCACCTAGGCATGTACCATGCACAAGCGCCTGCAGTACATTGCTATGCCGGATTACTGGAGGGTAAACAGCCCAAATGCTCTCAATATCCCTCAATGATTTTCCATGCAGATAATGCAGATAGCAGTTTTTGTTGGGCTGGTTGGAATTCCAATCTCTGAACATCATGAACATCCCAGCATCAGATCTAGGCCTCCCAATCTCTCACCAAATCCAACCAACACCGCAAGGTCATGACGTAGCTCTTGCCGAAACTTTGCCAGTCTTCCATGTGCCATCCTGGGTCGTGCAAAAAAATCACCGTCGCCGTCGTTCGTGGTAAAACCCAAATGGGCTTGTCTGAAAATCAGTACCAGTACCACAAGATCTCATTTCTGAATATCATTGCAATAGAAAAAAACATAGAAAACAAGCACTCCCATTCTTGGACAAGTCTGAACGACTATTACTTGGCAGTATGGCGACTTTTTGGGAGTCCTGAAATGCAAGTTGAGGGGGTTCGAGGAGACAGTTCTCCTTATCCGCCGGCTATGAGTCAAAACCCTGGTATCCTGCTGTTCACACCAAAACAATAAAACAGCTGGTAAATGGATGTTCATACCCATACCCTCAAGCAGGGTACGAGTACTTTCATGTAATTTCCAGGTTTTGAATCATGCCCATATCATGTATCTTATATGCATTTTAGTGTCATTCTAATAACAGACCCCCATATATCCCCATTATATCCCCAATAAGTTGGTACCACATCCGCAGTGGGTTTTACGAGTTGCCCATCCGAGCTATCTTCTGCCGGGGCTCTGTCACTGAACTCCTGTGTCATGTGCGACATCGTTGGCATCCTTGTTGCGTTGCGTTCACCTTTTAAGGCCTAAAAGTTACCTGGTTTTCACGTAAAAATAACTGGCGATTGATGGATTTTAAATGATTTTAATATATCTTAATTGATTGACTGCCCCAAATTCCAAATATGGTATGATACGGTGTGAATTCCCATGTCGATGGTTTGAAACAATCGAGATGATCGAGATGTGATCCTCCCGAGCACCCATCATTGTCTTGCTAGGGAGGCTTCACCTCGTTACCCTCGTCCGCTACGCTACCTTCCCATCCCTCACCTCACTAGGTTCCACTTCCCTCGCCTTCTGCTCACTCGTTTCATGGACCGTTCCTCTTCATCTGAGATCACAAGTTCTTGCAGTTGCAAGCTTCCTGGACCCTCAAACACAGGTAAATAAACACAGAAATTGAATTACCTTGACACAATGAACATAAGCATCATAAGTTCATAAGTATCATAAGCACAAATAAAAATAAATCCTCTACGTCAAACATATCAAACATATAACAAACATGCTGGTTCCAGCGAGCATATTTGCAATGGAATCCAGGTTCTCACCGAGCGGCTCTCCACCAGGAAAAATGTACTTGTTGACAAACGCCTTAGTAAAACATGTAAAACAACTCATGACAAACCATGACGTTCACATGACGTACCTACTGTTCACATCTGTTCACCATTCGTGTCATCGCAAACTATGACTCAAAATCAGCTGTATTTAACTTTTTTGACTATATTTTACAGAGGTACAATTGTCCCATGTTTTCCCTACAAATCTATCAGGAAACTATCAGGAAACTCCTCTCCTTCAGTATCTCTCAAGGTTTCGTTCGGTTCCGAAGCATCGCCCAGTCCAAGTCACGTTGTGATTCCAGGGCCCACGACGCGCCCAGCCCATGGTGTGGATCATCATGATGCCATCGTCCTGCATTGTCCAAATCCAGTGGTTTATCATGACTTTCCCAGTTCAAATTAATATATTGATATTATGAATTTATGTTATATATATCATATTATCTATACATTAACAATCAATAACATATCTTATTATTTACCACATTTAGGGGTTATCCCCCCATTTTTTGAGACAAGCCCACATTCTCATCTCAAGACTGCGACAAACGAAACGGACGTTTCTTCAGGACGACTGCGTGGCGACCTTCAGCAGCTCGTAGCACTTGTCGAAGAAGGTGCTATAGGAGTTACGCCCCACATGCTCCTGAGCTGGAGCATCTGCAGTCGTGGTTGGTTCGGTTGGTTGCTGGTCCCAAACCATGCGCAAAAAACAAAACTTAAAGGAAACAAACACATCAACCTTCTGCCTGCAGATGTGGCAAGAATTGTTCTCATATTGTTCTCTGGACTCCATTGGGCCCTGCATGGACATGGATCAGATTTGCTAACCAAAAAAGGAAGGGCTTTCCCGGGCTTTCCAATAAAAAACAGTGACCTAGAAGAATCTGTTTTCCGACAAAACAGTTTGATATTCGACATATTCGACACATTCAACATGGTTTCAATCCCACCCCACGCAGAAACCAAGTGACAAACATGCCCACTGAATAGATGCGATCGAATGTTCCAGTGACTTCACCTCGCGCAATGCGCAAGACGAAGATCGCGACCGTACCATGCTCTACCGGATCCATGTCCTCTGAGAAAAGCGAACGTAGATCTTGTAGTATACAAATACAATAATAATACAGTAGTATATAATAGTATATAATAGTATACAGAAAACCAAACGAATATATCGATAGAAGTGACTTTGTGTGTCAAAATGGGGATTCAACTCCTTCAAGCTCGTATGCCAGCATTGGATAGATGAGAAGACCTAGCAGTGCCTATTTTGGTTTTAATCGAGGGTTCCTGTTTCCGCAACCTGCCACAACACCATTTTATACCATTTTTGGATCGAACATCACGGGTTTCTGGTCGATTTTCCTGTAGATTTCCCTTTCATAAACCAAGCTGGCCGGTTGTATCTTTTTACATCAGACTATCTATCACTATATATCACGACAGTTTGAAGATCACAGCGCCCAAGATGCCCATTGTTCACCAAGCCACGATAGTCTTGGTAGCGGTACTCGATGTTCGGATGAGCATTGTGTTTGACAGCCTTGTTGCGGCCCCACAACGTGGGAGAGTTGATGGGGATTCTTCAGGATATCAAGCATCAAAAAAATGTGAGTTTAATTTTACCATCCAAAAATCATCCACAATAGAGTGATATGTATATATATATATATATTATATCTCTATTTCATTTTATCAAGCATATCTTAATTTATCTTATTGATCACGCTGGGTTTGAAGTAGTGGAATGAAAAAACACGAGAATTGGAGGTGCCCAAGTAATTTTCAGACAAACCATGATCAACCCATATGAAATGTGCACTCTGTGTATCTCGGCTCATGAGTTTATCAGAGGCTAGACTCAATTTCATGGTTGTTTAAGCCAGAAGTTAACTCACTCCAGAGCTGTTCATCCCATTTCCAACTTGAAAGCATTTGATCCCGACGACCGTTGGCTGCTGTTGATCGAGTTCGATGTGTGTTTCAACATCTCAAAATTCACCGTGGCTTTGGTATTCTTTGGCGATGTTTGTCCCCACTTCCCTTGGATCTCCCCCGAATTGGCCAGAAATCCCAGGCCATCTGCTCCTTGGACAGGGTCACTCCGGTCACCTCGGAAAAGTGTGGCGAATTGACAACAGAAATCATGGAATTGGTTGCGAAGTCCCTATGTCTAATTGATGAGTAAATATGTAGATATATGTAGTAAATCATGGTAAATCACAATCTGGAAATATCTGGAATAATTGGCTATGTATAATTGGTGAAGCTCATTGTTGATGAGTAAATCGGTAAATCACAATTTTGAATAATTGATCATTAAGGTAAATCACGTTCAAACAAATGCAAAGTTAGTACAGTCATGTAAACTCCGATTCAAAACTAGTGGTATTTCTTTAAAGTTCTGAAACTTTTTTATGGGTTGCCAACTATGGTTAGCATATGAGCCGTATGTTACCATCATAATTACCCAGGGAAGTCGCCGATGGCGCATCGCTGGGCCAAATTATGATCCCCCAGAAATTGTGAATCAGCTCCGTTGCCGTGGCACATGCACACCATACTTGGATGTCAAGTAGTACGCCTGAAGGGCAGGGCAACATGGCCAGGGCCGCTGAAGATTCAAAGAGCTATAAAGAGCTATGGCCTGTATGGGGATCCATCCAATTTCTGATAAGATGTAACTGTGATGTGATAAACCCGAGATGCAATAACTCCCTTTCCTGGATGTGGTCTGCAATACCTGGACATGAACAAAAACTGGCAAATGAGATATGGTCATCTTTAAATTAAATACATTTAAATACCACATGTCAACAACCTTCCGACCCAGACCCCTGGGTGGTGCACACCTGCGCACCAAAGCCGAATCCGAACTCCAAACAGCGCCTGTTGTGAGCAGTGATGGCTGCTGGTGAACCAAACATCTGTTTTTGGTGGTTGGTGGTTGACCACATACTGTATACCCCAACAAAACACAAATAGGGTAAATTGATGTCAATTCCAGGTTGCATTCCGAGGCCAAAACCAGAATCTGGTGGATGGTTTCAATGGTTTTTCACCTCCCAAAAAATTCCAAAAATCATCATTCAATCAGAAACTAATTACAGTAATTAGTTGAAAGATGTTGAAGAACCAGCCATCGGTCAGATTGGTTTTAAATGAGATCGCGTTGGGCAGGGGCTTTTGCATAGCTTCGCCGCTTCGCTGCTTCGCCGCTTCACCCTTCCCAACTCAGAATGCCAGCTGTCAGCCCAGCGGCATGCCAGGTTTGAGATCCAGTTTCTGCGCAATCAAGTCCATCTTGGCCTGTCCGCGGAACATCTGAGATCACCGGAGGTTCCAGGGATTTTTGATGACTTTTGGGGTGCCCAATGTTGGAACATCATATGAAAAAAAGGCATGAAACATGGAGGATCTCCCTATGGCCCTATGGGCTTTGGCCGCCTCCTGTGCTTCATCCAGTGTCATGTCAGGTCGTTTGTAGTAGGCGCAGGTATACCTTAGGCAGTAGCTCACCATGGATGACAAGTATATGGACTGCTAATTTACCTTTTTGGATATTTCTTGGGGTGTCAGTGCTTACCCTTTTTGGATATTTCTTGGGGTGTCAGTGCTGCTAAGGACGATACTGTACTATATCATACAGTAATGTTATGCTATGTTATATGTTTATAATGGATAAATTTGGATATAGCCCTACCCGGAATCAGGAGCGCTTGATGGATGACGGCCGAGTGATGACAGATCGCAGCGGTACCCTCAAGAGTTCTTCCAGAGTATGGGGTTGATTCTCCTTGCGCATTGGATGGATAGCCGCTCCGCTATCCAGACTCATCTCTGTGTCTTTCACGAGTGGTCAGATTGTAGAACTGGTTGGAGACACCCTTCGAATATGCTATCTTTTCTGTTTCGAAGGGTTTGTGGCAATCGAATCATACAGCAGCACCCTTGTTTATCTCGCGGCTGCCATGCGGGTTTTGGTTTTCACGGGCATAACTTAGTTTTAGCCCATCCTTTACTCGCTACACAACACTTTTGAACGCAGCTCAATTGGCAAATGGCAAAGGTCATACATTTAGATTCTTGGAACCTCAAATCTTGGTCATGTTCACTGTTGACCATGCAAATCCATGCAATTTAGGGATATCTAACATTATCTAACGGTGTTTGTTTGTCTGTGCTGTAAACAAGACACACCCATTGGTGGGTCAACCACTATTCTAACAACCAATACTGTGATGTTGGATCCTCAAAGTAACAAAACATGACATGAGGAGCCCTTGTCCGATGATAAAAGCATCGGTTCTTGATCCTGCTGTCAGGCCCAAGCTTTCCAGAATCGTACCAGTACCCTTTTTGGCAAGCGCTCACTGTGTCACTGCGCATGGAGCAGGTCTTCTGCGAAGGCAGGTATCTTGCAGGTGTTGGCACTATCAACGTTTGAACAAACCCTCAATCTACCCTTAAAATAAGTAAACTATATTAATTAGATAAATTCTAAAATTCGGTACTCACCCATTTTTGTGTGTCCTTGCGAGGGTCAAGGTATTTCCAAAAGAATCATCAAGTACACCATCGCGTGATGAATTTTTGGGTTCAAATTCTGGTAGTGACCCATATGGATCAACAGGGTGTTTGACCCTTTCCAATCCTGCGAAGGAAATTGTGGGCTTCAGGGTTTTTGAAGGGTACCCTCTGGTATTGAAAATCACCATTTTTAGTGGGTAAATCAACTATAAATGGCCATTTTCAATAGTTATGTTAGTTTACCAGAGGGTAGCTTTATATAGGTGGATTGGTCTGGAAATGAATGGCGTACCAACATGTACCAACCGTGCATTGACATCTGCTAGAGCCTAGATGCCTGCCCTCGCCGGCACAACGAACTCAGTCTATGTGCAATGCACCCCCCGAGCACTCTCTCGGATCGTGAAGGATCAGGATGTAAGAACTCAACATGGTTTGTTCAACCAGAAAGAATACGCTATGCCGCTATGATACAAAAAATATAGACATATATAGACTAGATATTTAGATAATCTTAGATATCATATGTTAAGAAACATGAGGACCAGGATCCAGTAGACGGATTTGTATGGATTTGTCACTTCCAAGACCACATGGACAAGAGATGACAGGAGGGCTTTACATTCAGCGTGGCAATTTGTGAGCACTTTTCCTGTCCGAGTAGCCGTTGGGATGGCATCTTTCCGACCACTTCAAGATGGCTCCATCAGCAGCCTTCGCCACCGCTGTGCTTTTTGGATCAGGCGGTCTCTAAGGCCCGTCACTCCTTGATTGCCCATGCTGCATGCTATGGAGATTGGCTATGACCAAAAAAAAAAAGGAAACATCGGGCAATTGCTCGTGGTCCGTGATCAAGGAGCGTCTGGCTCAAGTTGAAACCTACATGTTTCCAACTAGTCCTAAGGACTAGCGAAATCACTCTGGGGAATGGGTGGAATCTGAAGCAGGCTGGAAAGAATGTGAGCAAACCTCTACCAGTTTCAGCTCTGTCATAAATAGTTGGCGCGCAGTTTCATCCAAGTATATCCAAGTCTTCTATTTTGTAACTTACACATTTCTGAAATTTTCCCAACCTCCCACTGGTGCTGTCTGCTTGATTCTCTCCGAAATTCTCTCCTCATGAGCACAGTGGTGCTATGGAAAACATCCTCAATCGCTCAGGCTGCAAGGCCATCCCCTGCGATGCAAAGACAACTGGGCGAACTTCACGTCCGTTGGAGCTGATGGTTTCGAAACGGAACCGAAGAAAAGTGTGGGCCCGTGCCTCCTCCATCATTGCTGGAGCCTGGGTTGCCCGAATTGCCATTGTCAGGGCCAGGGCCATACGGGCAAAACCTCAAGCGGGGTCAGATGACAAACTTGCAGGTGTGGTGTGGGTTTGAGTTGTCCATTGGATGCTTCAGTCTTGCTTCCAAAGACTACTGTATACAGAAATCAAGTTAAAATGCTGGTAGTTTTGTCGCGGTAAAACAAAATTGAATGCTCTCCAGTTTCCTGTGGGTGATTCCTACCAATCCTCTACCAAATCCCAACAATGAGGCTATATCGATGTAAACCATGTTATTCTCGTGAACACCAAAATAGCCGGCAAATGGATGTTCATCCCCAAACATGGTATCATATAGATTCTGACCCATTCCCACGCTTGTGTGGATTTGGAAGGGCAGAACGGAACCCTCAAATGGATATAGATCAAAAAGCATTGATCTCCAAAAATCAATGGTTTTACAGTCACAACGGCCAATTTTGTGGGTCCTTGGTAGCCCAATTGGTACCCATGCCCACAACAGAGTTTCAAGCCGTAAAGGTTCAATCCATGCAGTATTTTCCCCAAAAGATTGAGTACCCCCAAAATCGAATGGATTTTTATCTAATTATAATATTACGGCAAGACCCTGAGGTTTGCCCAGACTCGCAACGAGTGTCCAGGCATGATGATGGTGATGATGATGATGATGATGATGACGACCACCAATATGCTTCGCATAGACAATGTATTTACCCCTTATTAAAGATCTTCCAATGAATGGATGAGTTTAACAGGGGGTGGGAGAATTAAGCCCTTATTGAAGAATATTAAACCCTTATTGAAGAATCTTCAATGAATGTAGAAGTCTAACGGGGGTGGGAGAATTAAACCCTTATTGAAGATCTTCAATGAATGTAGAAGTTTGACGGGGGTGGGAGAATTAAACCCTTATTGAAGAATCTTCAATGAATGTAGAAGTTTAACGGGGGTGGGAGAATTAAACCCTTATTGAAAAATCTTCAATGAATGTAGAAGTTTAACGGTGGTGGGAGGATTAAACCCTTATTGAAGATCTTCAATGAATGTAGAAGTTCCACGGGGTGGGAAAATTAAACCCTTATTGAAGATCTTCAATGAATCAGTTTAACGGGGGGGGGAGGATTAAAACCCTTATTGAAGATCTGCAATGAATGTAAGAGTTTAAGGGGGGTGGGAGAAATAAACCCTTATTGAAGAATTTTCAATGAATGTAGAAGTTTAACGGAGGTGGGAGAATTGATATGATATGTATAGTGTGAACAAAATATCCTTGTAATTTACGCTATTCTGGGCTTGGGCAAACCTCGGGGTCGGGTCTGTGTGTATTTTTTTATTATCATGATTTTCCCACAAATTGATACAAATTATGGGTATATCCCGTTCCTGGATAGTCTACAGATGTCCAAAACTATCGGATTCTCCGCCCCGCATGGGCCCCGGCTTGCGCCCCTTGCCCTTGGGTCGTGCTGGTCGTGCTGCGCCATCGTCCTGCAAGAAGGTCAATAGTAATAGGGCAGATGGTTTGGCTGGAAGGAAACCCACACACGCCAATCTTGTGGAGTTGAAATCAAAATACATTTTAAATCCACCTGCCAATGATGTCTGGAACTCCGACTGGATTCCCCAAAACCTGGGATGCTTGCTCCAAAACATAGACAAAACACCAAAATCCACAAGTTTTGCCCAACAATTCCTCCCCTTTCCACCCATCACCCCCACCAGCCATCCCAACTGAGCTCCCAAGCATCCGAACCCTCGCTCTCAGAGGAGCTTTCACCAAAGGCCCGAGGTTTGTTGAAGATGCAGCCTGAGATCCCAGTGATCGGTGAGCTGAGCCATGGACAAACAACAGCTGAAAGTCATCAGTTTTACATAGTTTTACCCTGTAAATTCACATAGACCCTGGCAAATAGGTGTTGGAAGACTAGTTTCCATTAAAAAATTGGTGATTTTCAGGGTCTATGTTACCAGGGTGTAGATCCTGATGGATCCCGATTCCAGAAATGGAATGGAAAGTAACAAGTAAAATTTTCCAACATACGGAAAACATAGGGGAAATTCCATACCAAATGGTGAGGGTGAAGGATTTTCAGGGCCCCGTGGTAGGAATATCAGAAAAAACGGGTTGAGGCCCACCGATCCAAACCAACATGTCGAAAATGCGGTGTCCACATATGACAACATGTCCTGCTACGGAAACTTCAATGGGTTCCAGTAGGTATACTTATATATATATACGTACATATATATATATATATGATTATGAAATATTCTCAATATGTATGTATGATTCTGTATGATTATCAAATATATCAAAACTTGATAGAGATTGGCTACCTGATTTTTTTAGCGGCCCTGGCCGGGGTGGTTCTTTTACCGTCCCTTCACTGATGTCCTGCTTGGCCCCTGACACTTCTTGGACTTCTTTTTGTTCATGTGCTCATTGTCCACCTGGCTTCACCAGAGCGCCGAGATGCTGAGCCTCTCAAGTAACATCAAAATCCAACTAATACAAAAACGTTTTTTGATGCTCAAAATACTTACAGTCCCGCTGACAAATGAACCTCATCATGAAAATCCGCCCACACCGCTTTGGCGGTGAAGGCGTGCTTATTGGGGGGCAAAACAGCAACACTAAATGCTCAATGACATTTGTTAATATAGCAGTCGCTATATCAGCTTTAGCTGGGGGGGGGGGCCAAAAACGGTTTCGCACCGAGACCAGAATACGGTGGTGTTTTCGACATTTTTCGAGGATTTTTGGGTGTCTGAGCGCAAGAGGGTATTGAAATGGAATTTTGGGTCATTTTGGTAGCTTTCCGGCAATGGAAAAACGGCCAAAAATGAAAAAAACATTGTACATAGCAAGATTTTGCAGGGTTTTTGGATGCCAGAGCATTGAAAACACTGCAAAAACAAGTGGTTTGGACTGACGTTATAGCAAAAAACGTGTAAATTACCGTATGCTTGACTGGAAACATTACAAAAACACTGTCAAAAGCAATGTTTTGGAAGGATTTACTGCCTTTATGGCAAAAAACGTGTAAATTACCGTCTGTTTGACTGGAAACATTGGAAAAACACTGTCAAAAACAATGTTTTGGAAGGATTTCTTATATATATGTTGGAGTTGGCTACCGGCATTGGAACATGGAAAAATTGAAGAAAACACTGTAAATAGCGGTATTTTCAACGGTTGGGGAGATAAGGGAATTGGAAGCATTGTCGAACATGATGTTTTCGACCGGTTTTATGGCGACAAAAGTGTAAAGTACCGTGCTTTGAAGGAAACCATTGCAAAAACATGGAAACACATTCAAAGAACACGGGATTTGGGGGACTATCTAGGCGTCGTTGTCTAGCTATTTGAAATTCCGCAGCTTGGAGAGCATCCAAGGGAGGGAAAAGTGAAAATTCCATAGCTTGGGAAGCTGTCACGGCGGGGAAAAGTGAAAATTCCCTAGCTTGGGAAGCCCCCACGGGGGGGAAAAGTGAAAATTCCCTAGCTTGGGGAGCCCCCACGGGGGGGAAAAGTGAAAATTCCCTAGCTTGGGGAGCCCCCACGGGGGGGAAAAGTGAAAATTCCCTAGCTTGGGGAGCCCCCACGGGGGGGAAAAGTGAAAATTCCCTAGCTTGGGGAGCCCCCACGGGGGGGAAAAGTGAAAATTCCCTAGCTTGGGGAGCCCCCAGGGGGGGGAAAGTGAAAATTCTTAGCTTGGGGAGCCCCACGGGGGAAAACCACCCTTAGCCCCTCTCACGGACCGAAATAAACCTGCGGTGTGGGCGGCCACCCCACGCGAAGCGGGGTGAATATATGAACATGTATGAAAATGTAAGCTGTCTGAAGTAAGAAGAAACTGCTTGCTAATGCAAATTAAGTTGGAGACTGTAGCCAGCCGTCTACAGTAGAATCATGTAGAATCACTATTGTTGATCAAACTGTTTATCATTTCCAAAACTGATCGAGGCTTCTTCCAGCTTGCTGGTATGACCTACATCCTGCACCAGGAAACCAACCAAGTTCATCGCCAAGTAGCCGTATCTTCAGCCCATGTGACCTTGCTTATATCCCAGGAAAATGGCATGTTGGTTCCAAAGGCAGCTATCTACAGGTAGCGGTTCATCCCAAGTTGTCATGGTAGAAACTAACATAAACTGACTCGGCCCAGACAGACGAACAGACAGACAAACAAACGAACAAACGAACAAACACGTCGTTGGTCGTCAGCACAGCAAAACAACAAAGACATACAAAAACTACGTGTCTCTTCAATTTTTCCAAGGCACATTGTGCTGCGGCCGTGGCTGCAGCACCAAGTGCAGCGTGCTGGCTGAGGCCTGCTGCGTTTGTACCTTGCCAACAGTGCATCAAAAACAGTGCAGTCCAAACCAGAAACTGATTCAAGGAAGCTGAAGCTTGCAGTTGCTAGGCATGATGTGTGGTAGAGATAGTCAATAGACTCATCCGAAGATTTCATATCCCTGGTGAGAACAACCTTTCAGCCAGCAAGACCCAGCCACTACCCCCGCCACCTGTGTGGTTGTGTTGGAGGAGTTGTAGCCTCCTCCGCCACCGCCATTGTCACCTGACAGAAAAACACCCAAGCGGTTCTACCCACAATATTTATGGCCACTGGGTCGATTGCCTCCATTTACAAGAGATATATCATTAATTATATATATATATCATTATAACTCCCATTATATCATATCCCGTTGATATCCCCTGATAACTTGTATACCCCCGTCTGGTGGCAATTTTCAGTCCAATGTCCATAATTGTCCACCTTAAACTTGGGGCTATAAATGCTAGCACTTTTCACTTTTCGCTGGTAAGCAAGCTATCTATTTCTATATGCTATAACTTTATAACATGCTACAACATTATTTCATATTATTTCTATGTATTTCTATTATCAATTACAAAGACCTTATAAAATCTGATGAACCCCTTTCCTGCAGGACATCTCTGTACATCCAACATGGCCCCGAATTTCACCTGGGCTGGCCATCGTGGCGAAGTTCGGAACTCTGCCGGAACGCGTCGCTTTGTCCAAGCGCGGTGAAGCGCTTGAGCCGCACGGTCCAGGTTGGGGGTCCAGGTTGGATGTCAAAAAAAAATGAGAGGTTGTTCATACTCTACTTGTTTTTGTTTCCATCAGTTTTCCAGAATTGTCCTATGGTTCTATTTCCTTTCATCAGTTTTCCATAATTGTCCCATGCTCCTATAAATACACGTATATGTTGCTTTGTAAAGACATGGTTTCATGTCATCACAGAAACCTTGAACAAATTGAACAAAACAGAAACAACAACTGAACACATCCCAATGTCCGTGTCCATTGTCGTCCAAGATGCTGCATAGTCGGTCCCAACCTCGGATGACTGTGGCGGAAGTCGGTGCCCCCATCATGGTGATGGATAAAGTAGATGTGCATCCCTGAAGCGTGTAGCTGTAGGTCTGCCAGCTGAGAGATGATCTCATTTATGTTCATTTATATCAAAACATATTATACAATATAATATCATGTACATCAAGACCAATCATAACATATCACGGGCATTGGTTCTTGACCAATTCCTAGCCGCCATGTCCATAAACCCCGGCTCGGAACATCTTCTCGTAAAGCTTTGGTGAGTCCAAGACGTCATAGGTATTGGCCTCGCTCCAGGGCTGTTTTGGGAGGCCTGCCTTGTCTATCTCAGAATGTGAGAGAAAAAGGTCATCAGTTGCCTAAACAAAGAATTGGATTAACAAAATCGTGTTCCTGTTGGGTACAACTCCTGTTGGGTACAAAATTGAAATCCTATTCTCTCCTCAAAGCCTCCCCAGCTTCTGGACCGGAAAGGAGGTAGCAGGTAGCAGCATCTCAAAAAGAACTCAGCCCTTTTCTCAGGCGTTGCATGACCTTTGCCAATGGAATGATTAAATAAAACCAATCAACTTCATTGCAAGATATAGCTTTCAACCACTTCCAACTGATTGTTTGTTTGTGTGTGCATGTATATCAGTGAAACTATTATTATTATCATTATTATTATTATTAATTATTATTATATATATATATATACGTATAGCATATATATCTGTTGTATTGCAGGAACATCAATTCCTGAACTCAACAGGGGTGGTGAACTATCTCCGTTGGACATCACCTCAAAGATTCTGATGTATTGCTTCTCCAACCACCATCTGCAGGTTGGTTCCAATTCCCAAAAGGACACCTTTACCAACCCTCGCTCAACGCATGACAAACTTCTGAGATTCGAACGATGTTGTTCTGGGCGCCAGTCAAGGAATTGCCAGGGAAGACTTTCCTCGCAAAATCAAAGCATTCATGTCACACATGAAGGTTAAGGATTCCATTGGGCAGGGTCAAGTCAAGAACCCTCGTTTCATAGCTTTATATAATGGATCGTGGATAGAACGTCCAGCACTCTGGTGACAATCGCATATTACACCCCGTGGTTGCTGTTGGCACTGTTCAACAGAATCATGAAACCCTAGCTTCCCAAGTGGAACACCTAGACGCAGGGAACAGGTTTTGGCCCAGGCTGCACATCGCCAAGGTTCCACTTCAAGGCACCCCAGAAGATCATGCTGACCAGCGGCAGCCTGAGAAAGCCATGGAATCCATTGGAATTTCTTCTCATGGTATTTATAGGTACAATATATATATATAATTATATATATATACAGAATTATATATGTATATATCTCTATATATATATATATTGATCCACCGCGAGATGGCTTGACATTACACATTGATTGTGGACTCTGCAAATGTGAACTTTAGGTGAAATCAACAAATGTTCTGCTGAAGCTAGTTTGGTACCGTGTGGAGGCAAAGTTTGATTGCAGTATTTCAGCAGTCCGGCTATTGTAAACATACAATATCTGAATGCTGCATTGATGCTGTTGCTGTTCAAGCCTGCTCCATGTATATAGTTCCAGTGATTTGGAACGAATGGACCACATTTTATTGTTCATCACATTTATAGCGGGACATGGCATATTTTTTTCGATCCGCTCACCTCCCCGTGCCATCCCTGCTATGGACGAGTTGCACGCGCCATCCCAATTCGCTCCGGACATTTTCCAGCTTCAGCCTGAGGTGATCACCAAATGGATTCCAAATGGCCAGTTGCAAAACAACTTTTTTGGCACGTGGCTGCCATATGCTGCCATCGGCCCGTCTGGTTGCAATCGGCAGCTGGGTGGCATTTCGAAGACCAGTCTCTCCAAGTCATCGCTGTCCCAATCGCCATCCTGGGTTGCGCTCGCTCGGCCATGGGACCCCGTCCGGGAGACCCGTGGACGATGTTCCACATAACTATATCTCATAGGATCCATGTATGGTATATATGCTAACATTTGGGGTATATTGATGGGATCCATGTTACCATATATAGCATACATGGATCCTATGGGATATGGAGAATCACCAGTTCCAGTAGCTAAATCAACGAACGAAATGGCCATGTGGGCCATCAGCAAACGGTCACCCCATGGCAGTACCATATTGATCGACCCTCATAGACATAGCGGGACTGGACTTCAATTTCTGCCAAGCGGAAAAATGCAAAGACTTAAAGAGACTGTTGTTGAGACCATAGCTATGGAAATGGCACATTTCTAGCAGATGCACCTATCACAGAATTGGATGACGGGAAAATTTACAGGAAACCCCTATATTTGATGGTAAAAACCATGGTTTCCTGTAGATTTTCCCTTAAACCAATCCATTGAACCTATTGAAGAGACATCAAAACTGGTGATTTTCCGTGGTAAACCTCCACATGGCTGAGACTCCATGTACGACTCCGCGAAGCCAAGACCTACATGCGCATGGCAAAGACAAGGGAAGGACGCCCGAAGGACGTGCACATGGGTCAAGAGACCTCCAACCATCCCAATCAATCCACAACGTTTGGTCAGATTTGTCATGCATAATAACTGTATATATTATACATATTAGTTATTAGTAGGTATTATAAATAGTAGGATTCAGCCATTGAATTTGTTAGGTACCCAATGTTCACGTAATTTCGACCAGCCGCACGACATCCCCCATGCTCAGCCTCCTTCAAGAAGAACACGCTGCATGACTGATGGTTTCTTGATGATCTCGGCACGAAACAATGCAGCTGGACACTGCGACTCGGGTTGGGGGGGTGCATGGGGGGTGCTTTCACATAGATCACATAGTTAAACACCGTGAATCACTATTGAAACTCCGCTTTGGGTTGTTGTTGTTCTTCCTTTATTGAACCCAATCAGTTGAACTAGATAAATTGGACATAATTGGACCACATTATTCAAACCCAATTAGTTCAACCCATATCGTTGAGTTTGTAGTAAAGCCCAAGATGGTTCTTTGAATGGGGAAACTGAACCCATGGGAATTTGCTAGTAAAAACCATTTGAAAATCCGTTCTCTGCGTACTGTCCTTAAATTGTCCCAATGAACACGACAAAATCCCGCATGAATCTGAATAAATCATGCCATCTTGCATCATTCTCCAACCTGAAACACCCTCTGGAAATCTAACCAGGGCTATTTAAAACATATCCCAATGGGAAACACATTAAAAAAAACTGGTGGTTTTCCATAGCAAAAGTGATCAGCTTACCGGGTAACCAATGGTAACCATCAAACATCAAACATCCTGAGGTCCAGGCCCATCGCACCTTGGGCAACGTTTCTGTGGCTCCTCCCACGTACCAATGAAGCTCCTCTCCTGTGGCCTGGGACCGAGAAACCGAACTGAGGGGGGTTCACTGATTGATTGAACATGAGGCAAAAACTCGGTAAAGAGTTTTCTAAATATGGATATAAATGGTCTTAACATGGCTTAAGTGGCAAAATTGGAAAATCTGAATGTGACTTTAGCAAAAATGAATTGTTGAAGAGTAAACATGATCGAAGGTCATCCAAATAATATCCACCAAAAGCTTTACGCGTTGATAGAAGAGAGGTCCAAAACGCATATTACACATATTACCAACGGATTCCCAAACCTAACCAGAACCATTATCCTGGTGGCGCCACGGTGAAGCAAATATGCAGAAATTCCTGCAGCAATCTCGATCAGTAAAGATTGGACAGCCACATATATCCACATATATCCACTGACGTAGCCAAAGTTGCAGCGCTGCACACGGGCTTCGGAACAAATGGCGAGGCCTTTTGCGAGGTTCTGGTGAGTGAGACCAACTACAAAACAGTCATCCGTTGGTAAGTAGATGTAAGCAGTATGTTTCCTAGGCAGAGAAAGCAACATTTGGCAATTTGTTTTATTAGTGACTACAGGTGACTACAGTATGAAAAGGTACTTGCGCACAATTGATGGATATTAAAGATCTTTCGAAGATCTCCCGAAAGCCTCTGATGGTGGCGAGTTGTAGTCCTCGACGATCTCTATCTCGGTGGTTTGACCAGCATCTGTGGGCCCCGGTGTCTTAAAGCTGCTGGGATTCTGTGATGCATGTCTTCATCATTGTTTAAGCACATATTCTCCACATCCAGCCACTATCAAACTACGACCTCTCCACTGATCATGACTTGTATGCGCCATATACAATCAGTATCAATCAGTTAATTGCGGGGGTCAACTGCTGCCAGGTCGCATTGGTGTGTCGGGCAATCAAATCACGAAGGGCAGAGTCGTTGCCTTAAGTGTGAGATTTCAATCTCTTAGGAGGTCTTTAATGTTGGGTGCAGAAGCAAAAAACATTCCACAAAGCCGCAAGCCTCTGTCAACCCAAGGCATGCCAAATTTCATGCCAAATTTCACTGGAAAAACTGAAGTCATGATGACAATTGCGGTTCATTCGAAACAAAATTACACTTCAAACACAGCCACTGAGATGGCGAATGCTATTGGATTGGGAAAATCTACAGGAAACCATGGTTTCAACCATGCGGCTGCCGAAGCGTTGTGCAGCCTCGCAGGACCAAAATTCATGAGGACCCCCGTAGTTGTTTTGGTGCTTGTACGTATGTAAGTATGTACGTATGGTATGGTATTGCATTGCATTGCATTGTATTGTATTATTCTATATTATAGTAAAATATATAATATTATATTGGAGATATAATTATATGTCACGTGTATTCATGCATAGTATTGAAAATGGTCTTAGATTTTATATACGATATATCCAATATACAACCACACACAACCATTCTATATAAAATACTATGAATCCAAACAACAATATGGTTGCCAGGACCTTCCCGATCTGTACCCAATTCGATCTACTTGGGTGTCTTGTCACTCCCTAATGTTGATGCTAATAAAATATTGTTAACTCCTATTCCAACCATCAAATCTGTCCAACATTGCTTAGGATGAAACCATCAGATACCATTTTTGTGTCTACAGAAAAGAAACACATTTATGGTTTAACAATAGACAAACAATAGTTCACACACATTTAATGGGATCCCATAAAACACACATTTATATAATGGATTTTTATGGGATTGAAACCATCCCCAAATGATTCAGCTTTCCGGCAGGTTGCGGCAGGCGCCTGGCGCAGGAGCAGTGCACTGAAGGCGCCAGCCGCCAGCAGTGGCAGCGCGTGGCAGCTGGTGGAGAAAACCTCTAGCGTCGGTAGACTTGGGACACATGGACTGTTGGGTAAATCTATATGGCTATGATATGTTATATATGGACTAATTACTCAATATGACGATATGGCTTTTTTTATGGCTAATCCATGATGATATAGACTGTTGCTACTTATAATCATATACTTAGCATTCTTGGGGGATGAACATCCGTAAACCCCGGCTATTTTGATGTCGAATCATATATTCACATTTCATGGTCCGGAGAGTTAGTAAATGTGGTGAATGTTGGTAAATAAATTTTGGCAAATATACCACAGGACAATCACATATAATATGCAATGGGAAATTGTGTTTTTGATGGTTAAATGGTCAGGAGCTTCAATTTCATTCGTGAATATCTGGTGCATATCTTAAAGTAAAATAAACATATATAAACCCAATAAGCCAATTTCTATCAATTTATTGCATTATTGGTTTCCTATCATGAATATATGTTTTTGAGGGTTTGTCGGTACCACCCACTGATTGTCATCCCAGGAAAAGAACAACAATTGAGGAACACTCTGGTCCTATACTATATATAATAGATATAATAGCTATTTTGGGGGATTTAAAATCCCAAGAAAAAAAACCGGGGCTGATTGCAGATTTGACAGCACTTTCATGTACAACTCAATACACGCTTCGATCACCTGCCCAACATCCAAGTTCCGCCTGCTTGGAAGAAGGCTTAAAGTGCAGCTCCGGGTGTGCCCCGTTCACCAAAGGTTGTGAGTGTGTTGGCCTGGAGTTATCCAACGATCAGGGAGGATGAAGGCAAACTGGAATGGGGTGACATCAGATCAAAATACTTTGTCCGGATTTCTCATAAATTCTCATTTTATTATGGTCGTTCATTCTTCTGTACTGACTGGAAGTCCTTATTTTGTGCAAATTTAAAGTCACAGACCACCTTTTCAGAACCGATCAACGCGACAACAAAAAGGTAGCCAATAGCCGCATCGGCCCCACAGCAAGTGGTTGAGATTCTCAGTTTGCAGATCAGTCCATCAGTCCATCAGTCCATCATCTCCATTTTAAACCCAATCAGTACGTCCTGTGATAGAAATAGAATCGAAGAACTGAGCATCCATTCTTGCCCAAAGGATATAATCAAGGAACCGCCAGGTTTGATACGTTCTCCAGACAGGCTGAACGAATGCCTCGATTCAGCATCGAGCGTTCGCGGCCAAAAGGAATCGAGATATCTGAGAGATCCCGGATATGATGGATATGCAGCACCCACCCACGATTGTATCTACCAAGTCATCCACATTTACCTTTGTCTGGTCAGAATAAATCAGGAATATCGTACCAGGAAGAAACATTGAGATGGGTCCTGATACCCTGATACCCTAGTGATCTCCCAACAAAGTGGCCAGAGGATTTCATTATGATTTTGTGCAAAAAAAGGCCAAGTTGGCGATGGCTGAATCTGTTTCACAAACGCTGAGGAAGCTGCGACTGGTGCGCAAATCAGCAGTAAAAATCCCAGCAGTCGCATGGCGGGTGATGAGTCCAAAGCAGCTGCGCAACTGTTGGATGAACCCTTGCTGCTTCACATGTACACCTGAACTTTAACTCGAAAATCCCCCTGCGAACTTGAACCATACTATACTCGTTGCATGTTGCCTCTGATAAGCGGCTGCAACTTGCATCTTTGAAGCTGGCAACATGCTTGAATTGGAAGCAGCAGAATGTCATCAAACACTCCATAATTTCTCAGATCTTCAATCACGACAACTTGAAAATAAAGAATTATGTAGCACCACAATACTATGCGAAACAACTACAAATCAGCAGAAACGAAGACCATAAGAGTTTGGCTAGAAAAGGTCGAGCAAGGCGTTGCGTCACATATGATTCGGGTTGTTTCTTTGAAAGTGCATGTCATTGCATAGATAGATCCCTGACTCCATGACATGAGAAGTCGAATCGATGCTCCTTTTAAAAAAATAAAAACATATTGTAGACTTATAAGCCAATTATAGAACCACTTGCAATTAACAGCATTAATTATATTGAACAATTTCATACAAAATATACAACATTACACAACCATTATGTATATCACTATAATATATATATATGTGTATATATATATATATATTATATCACTTATATACAAGACTTCCCAAATCCCCTTGAGTAGCTTCCCCGGCTTAGCCTTTGAGCACCCCTGCCGAGTGCCGTTCACTCCTCTGCTCGTTGCAGGGGCGGCTGCCTGACACATCTCCATGTGGCATCATGTGGCTCCATTGCAGGGGATCCGGGATCCGGGCTTGGGCAATCTGTCAACAAAAGGATACGGTACCCCAAAATGGGATGTCTAAATATGATCAGAATTTAGAATTGATAACATATATGATCATATATATATAATTATATATATATAATTATATATATATATATTATGTTAATATATATATATGTTAATATATATATATATATGTATAGAATGGGTAAACGAAAAATCTGCTGCCCCCTGGGTCTTACGATCCGTCTCCACCTTCTGCGGTTGAGCTCGAGGGGCAGCACTGAGCAAATCTGCAAACATCAGCGGCTGGAAATATAAATCATTGGTTCTGAGATAATCATTAGATTAATTGTGAACAATAATATGATCTCAGAACCAATAGTTTATGAATGTTTATGATTAATAAGTAATTGATAATTATTAAATCACATCATTGGTTCATCACGGTCAATAATGGTGATTAATTAATGGTGACTGTTGGTGATCAATGGTAATTTATGGTGATTAGTGGTTGATACTCATGGAACTTACCCACCGGTACTCAAAAGTGGCTGGCTATAGGGAATCTCCCCTATATATATATTATATACTAAATGGAGGTTTAAAGCTGGGGAAACCATCGAACTATCACTGATCACCAAAGAAGAGCTGGGTTTGCAGCCACAGGGAATCATCTCCGAAGATGGAGAGTAATATGCTTCTGGCTGCCTTCAATGTCCTCTATGCCTAATCTTTGTCAGTCCTGCATGTGTCCAAATTAATATAAGTTATAACTACAGAAAAAGATAGGAAAAGGATAGTTCAATATAGTCAACATGTCGAACTGCCAGAATCTAAGACCAGAAAATCTGAAAAGCAGCCAAACGATGTCTAAATTCTTCATTGCACGACCCTCTTCCTATGCTGGCCACATCTCATTTTTGTTGGTGGCAAGCAGGTGCCAAACATGTGTTGGCCTGACTCACAAATCATGGGGATGTACAATGTTTTTTCAATGTATGAAACCACAAAAGATCACAGGAATCATTAGAAGCCAACAACATATATAGAAAAATCATCAAAATCCCAAATCTTTGGGTCCTGGCACCATACAACTACCTTTAACCCCCCCCGGCCCGGACCTTCAGCCCGATCCCCAAGGGTTTGCCGAATCAAGGCCACCTGGCGTTGCGGGTGGCGGTGGCCATCGGTGGCCGCGGCGCGGAAGACGCGCCGCGGAGGCGCCGCGGAGGCGCCTGTGCTTCACTCAGAGGCCCACTTTGGAGCAGCAGCTGAGCTGAGGCCTGGAACTGGGGTGAGAAAAAATGGATGTGTTTCTCCATGATGTATATTTCAAAATAAGTAATATATATATATATATATAAATATATAATAATAAATATATTAATATATATATATCATATTTGTATTTGTATAGTCAGTTTGCATCATGTTTCATCCCGGGTATGGCTAGCAGCCTAGCAGCTAGTTCCTAGCTGATTCCATGTCATGGACGGTGATCATTACCCTCTGGTGGCCATTAACATTGCAACATAGCCAGGGAAAATGGCACAGTTTCTCCGATGTCTTAAGCTACCTTGATGGTTGAAACCCTATGAATAATATGATAAACCATCTATCAACTGGTGCAGGATTTCGTCCATTCACAGTATTATTCCTTCAAGGTGATGTTCATTGATTTTCCATAGAAAACTGTGACTCTCCGCGTCTTCACAGCCTTCACCCAGCGCCCAGCTGGGCCCATGGCCTCTGCCCCTCGCACATCTCCCAGAGCAGCACAGACCTGTAACAGGGCGGTGCAAATGTCCGGAGGAGCTTCACCTGGCGGATGAAACTGCCATGAAAGAAAACCATGAAAAGTTTGAAACATCCTGAAATGATCATTGATGGATGGTAAAAGTGCACTATATATATACATATGTATCATGTAAGCTACATGGAATTATATTGGTCAAACTTACACAAATGCAGGTTGTATAACATACATGGATGGTATGGACTGTCATGGGGTATGGATGTTCTTGATTCATGATCCTATCATCATCCCAGAAAGGACGCGTCTTGTGAGTAGCACGCACGTTGATCGAATAATGCTATCTCAAGTGTGCTTCATTACCTTCAGTCCAGCACACTCTTACAGACCCTAGAAAGCTTCAGGGTTTGTTGCAATTGCCAGATTCTATCACTGCTGCAAAATTTGGTCAGGATCACCACTCACGGCACAATGATTCTCCAGTACCTTGGCACATGGACGCCAGGAAATTCAACAACTCCAAGTGCCATCGGAAAATCCTGAAAATCCCCATGAACTCCTCCCCATTGGAACCAACCTATCACAACCGAACGACCTATCTCAACGCCATCCCAACGGCTTCCACGACAAAATCTCCTGAGGTCCCAACCGCTTTGGCCCTGAGATCGTCGCCAGCCTCAGACAGAACCGCTGCGACCTGGCGCCCACAAGATTTCACAAGTCCATGGTAAATGCCATGGTAAATGCCATGGTAGTTTCGAGCCAATAAAACAGTTTTGTCATCAAGGCTGTAAATCATGACTCTCATGACTCTCAGGCACTGCAGGTATCCATCATGTGGAGGTGTCCCTTTGGATGCCTGAACCATCATGTGGTCTTCATGGTTTTGTGGTGATTCATTTGTAGGCCCCAGCCTCCACATATCTGGCGACACGTCATTTCACCACTTGATACCATGGATTGACATTTTAGATTTGCAGATCAAAGAATAGTAATATGTACATTGACCCATAGGATCCATGTATGGTATATATGCTAACATTTGGGGTATATTGATGGGATCCATGTTACCATATATATATATAGCAGCACCATGGATCCTATGGGTGATGTAATATAATTCCACCAACATTGATCGCAAATGGCTCGGCCAAACTGAACCTGCTTGGTCCGGCTGATCTCAGGGTCCGCCAACAGCAGGACTTGTCTCTCCGCCACTTCAATTTCACCTGGCGCTGAGGCGCTGAGGCTCTGGCTCCCAGGCACACTGAAGAACTATAGTTTTGTTGCCCCAAAAAAGTCGGTCAATCTTCCCTATCCAATGTTTTCAGCATATTTTCCGCTATAAACTCACCTTCTTTTGAAGGTTAATTAACCACTATTCACCCACCCAAAAGTAAACACAATGACTGCACCCTGCAGATTGGCATCTACCTGTCACTTTGAAAATGGAATGGCACCACCATAGAGATTTTCCAGGAACCGAACACCTGTCAACACACTTGGAGCTTACAGAGTCTCCATTTATATCTGTACACCAATGAAAAGCAAAATGGTTGTAGGTCATTTCCCTTCACATAGAAGTCACCCCTTGCCCTGTCAACTTGGATACGCAAGGGGATATGTTTATATATGTTTCACCTGCTTTTGCCAAATGGTGGATTTCCAGACCCCAAAAACCACCTGCGCGTACGGCACTGTCGATGATGCCCAAGCGCAAGTCATCCAAGTTGCTACTGCGATGGGACGGGACCATGCGCAGAGTGGCTGGTTTGGTATACCTGTGGCTAAACTGCAGTTTTGTGATGGTTCATGATGTTTTATGTATTACTGAGTACTGTATATAGTCTTATGATGTCTATGATGTCTTGTGATGTTTCCTGATTTATCCCGTTTTATGGTGCAGACGGTGCAGATCATTCCGAGCTGCGTCAGTTCCCCCTTCGGGGATGAGTTCCCATCTGCACCTGGGTTGCTGGAGCGTATCCATCAGGTTTTCCGCACGTATACAGTTGCCCACCTCAGATTCGGATCTGGAGATCTGGAAAAACGCGCCGTGTTAAAGACAAGAATAGACCGCAACTAACCAACTGAACCTAAATTATATCATATTATATCATATATCATATATATATATATAACTACAGTAATATATTATTATATGATATTCATTAATATTCTATAATATTAGAGCTTACTATTTGGCAGGATGTGTACATCTGAAAAAACAAATGCGGTGCTCTTCCTGGGTTTAGCATCGCAAACGTTGGGATGATTGGTTTACCACAGTAAGGATGTAAGGGTATAGATGTCTCCGCCGGACATGAGCACATCAACATGTTTGTAGCTTCTTCATGATCTCAAGCAGTATTTTTTCAACCACGTGGCTATTCGTCAAAAACATCATCCCCCAAAAAATGAATGGTTACTACAAAACAAATGTATCTTTTAGTTAGATGATGTTTGATGATGCTTGATGGTATCATAGCTATCTTCTTGTAGAGCGTGCTTCATATTTTTATGGGCCCATTATACTATAATTGGATACCCTATGACTTGACCAATCAACCAGCCACCTGCCTCTGCATGGAGCGCAATGACCTCTACTGATGCCAAGGACGATGTGACTGCTGATTTCGGAGGGTACAATAATGCCAAGTTCGTTTATTAGTAACCACCCCAGAAGGTCTAAATCCATGAGAAGGTGTTCACCCCAAATAATGAGCAGCAAAACCAAAAAGGGAATCATGAGATTTGGAATAGGACTCATGAGATTTACTATGAGTGTGCACTTGCAAGTTTTTGTTCAGACAAGCGGCTGTGTGCTGGAAAAAAATGCAGCAACGAGCTGAATGGGACAGGTGTTAAAGAGAAAGAATTAGCAGCACCCTTGAGCAGCATGATTGGCAGCACTTGCATCAGCAGCACCAGAATCCACGAGATCAGAAACATCACAACCAAACCACTTTCTGAACCGAAAGTAGTATTGCCATTTGTCTTTTTGAAAGTGTGTGTTGATTCATTCGGGCTGCTTGTCAATATGAGCTTAACAATACCTCATGTTCAGACAAAACTCATTTGGGTGAAGTCGTTCTTTGATCAATGGTAGAGTATATAGATAATGTATCTAAAATTCTAGGTATAAAAAATGGAAGCACGTTATCATACGGTATCCTGAAGCTTTCCTGCAACTGCAACTGTGGGCATCAACATATTTATGTATACATATATATACTTATCGAATTCAAAATGCCCAAAAAGATAGCCTCTGGTAATCAAACGTGGCTTGCTGGAAAATCCCCGCATAGTTCGATGATTCTCCCAGCGAACTAAACAGGAACGCCTCGTGAAGCACTGCATCATCGACTGGAAAGTCGTTTGCCTTCATCATCGACAGCACGTCTTCAGCCTGTGAGAAGCTGAGAGGAAAGCACGACATGAAACGTTTGGTAGAAACACACATGTATAGTTGAATCCTGTATTACACAGAGACAGTACAGTATATACACAGATTATAGATATTATAATGTATATATATATATATATGATTATATATTACTATTCATATATAGTATTATATATATATATATTATACATATTATATACAGTACATAAATTTCTATTATACATGTATATTACTATGCATGTATGTATATATATATTTATATATAATACATATATATATATATATTTATACATTCTGTATATCATATAATATAACATGTACATATACCTAATTATATATATATATGAATATTATATAATATAGTTAATATGTATTACATGAGTAGATATGAGAATTAAATCATGGCAATTCACAGCACCTGATGGAAATTCCGCTTGTAATCGCTGCGGCCTTCTGCGGATTGCCACTGCGGAGCAGGCCCATGATCACCTGTGGACCCAACCTATGGGATTTTGGATCTACAGGGATGGTGTTTACATGTATTTTCATGTATTTTCCATTGTTTTCCACTATCCACGTGTTTGCAATGTTGGACAATTTGGTGTGTTGGCATGTGTTTGCAGAATGGTTCTGAAATGTCCAAGCAACTATAAGCAACTCAAGACTGGACATGTCCCGCTGGTTGTTGGAAGATCTGGGAGTTGTCTCAGGGTTCCACCCGAATGTTATCATGTTGTGTTCATGTTTTGACCGATTGAACACCACCACCCCACCCCCAACAACCATCTAACAGTGATGTTCAAAGTAAGCAAAATGGGACTTCGGCCAAGCCCTGTACTCTACGAGTTTGGGGAAGTCCTCCAACTATCACAGCTTCACTGAGGCCAGGCACCGGATAGTAGCACGTATCGGGCAGCCGGTACCTGCGCCCCGTTCATGGACCTTCCAGGTCGCCCAAAGTGACACATCTCTTGCCACTCTGCAGAACCACGCGTGTCACGTGTTACATCGTGTTACGAGTTAGGAATGTGGAAAGTTTAAATGAAAGTTTACTCAATGGTGTTCAGCCAATCAAATAGATCATCCAACATATTACAACTCTCAGCATTTTTGCTGAAAATTAGCAGATTATCCCAACATATCCCAAAAATAAGGATGTTTGACTGAATGCTCTTAGCAACCCGAAGAAAACATTAAAGAAAAACCATTGGAAACCTATCCCAATTGGTAAAAGAATTGCACATTAATAGGATTGAGATTACTAGGTTTAATTATACCTAGAGTAATCCCATTAATAGGATTAATAGTGATGTCTTAATTGGTAAAACATGGGTAAACCTATCTCAATCTTTTCTTGGAATTACTCTAGGTAAAGCCACTAAGTGGTTCCCAGTGACATCAATGGGGGGCACTGCGTCTCCTGCGATCGCCTCAACCACTCCTGCGATCGTCCCAAACATGTTGGTCGTTGGATGCTACCGGAAAATCAATCATACGAAAGAAATCAGAGTGAACACAGTGAACACATAGAAATCAGAGTGAACACATAATAACAATTACTGTAGTTACTACTAATGATGGATTTCTGTTATATGTGTTATGATTATTTGTCATCCAACACAGCTAGGTGGCTCCGGAATCACCATCGTCACATATCGTCACAGTCCTCCGCCTTCATGGTATCACACTCAGCATACCTGGGAGACTCTGGGTTGTGCCAAAGCCTTCCCTGATTGGCAGACCATGGTGTTTAAACCCAAGTATAGGGCTGTCGGAATTTCGGGCAAATCTTCCCTTCAAGTCTGGGAAAAAAATGGAAAAATGGGGGTTTCAGGGCGTATATGTTTGTATGTTGCTTGTTATGATTTTGTGTTGGGGTTCAATGTTTCATCTTCGCCTTTGATGTTTTTTCAGGTGGGGTTTTGGGGGTAATTTTGTTGCTAAAGTGATGTGTCAATGTTTGGATTGAAGGGGGGTAGGATTTGTTTAGGCTGTTGGGGTTTTTGTTTGTGTTTGGGTGGGTGATTACTTCATAATATGTGTTGTTAAGATATTATGAATTAATCATTTATGCTTTCCACTTTCCTATTCCATCCCACCAGTGTTCAATCACTCTCATTTGTGTTAAGCAAGGTTTGTTTGTATCATTTAGTTCATCCATTGCTATTGATAAAAGCGTTAGGTTGATAATCATAGCGTTGAATTCTCCATCTCGGTTGAGTTCCTTTCCACAATCAATGATGACTTTTTTATCAGTGAGGTTTTCATACATATTTTTCATTATATCAAATCTTACGAATGAATATATTATCATTCCATTTACTCCTTCTGCTTCTTTCATCCTATCAATTACTTTCTTCCAAAACTTTTCTCCTTCCTCATCATCTGGTGAAGGCATAGTATGGCACTTTACAAAGTCTCTAATCTCTTCATCTTCTTTTTCTATTTGTTTTCTTTCCCAATCATCGTCCTCACTATCACTACCAAAGTCAGCATATATATACCAATATTCCCTGTATCTATAACCTCAATTTTTGCTCTACTCATTTTCTCTTCCTATATATAGATATTTTTTTCTTTAAGTATTTCTCACTTTTTGTAGGTGCTCTTTTATTTCTTCTATGTTCAAATATTTCTCATAACCGTTGAACAGTTCTTCAACATATTCACGCAAGAAACTTTCCAAAATGTCTTTTATCTTGAACTCCCTGTTTCTAAACATAAAAGTTCGTTCAACATTAGGAAACCACCAGCATCTTCGTTGCTTACTGTAATTGATGAAATTAAGGTCGTGAAAGTTCTTTAGAATATGATAAGTGTATTTCCAATGGTTTTTGACATAAGACTTAATCGCTTGAGGATATATCTTATCTTTTTGAAATTCTACCTTCAGTTTATAGGTGTCCATTAAAGCGTCTATTTCTCTTTTCATTACTCTTACATTTGTTCGGTCGGTGTTGGATAAATAGATAGGTGATTTTTCCATCCTTGTTTTAAAGAAATGTATTTGTTTTTCAACTCTTGTTAGTTCTTTCTCTTCAACATGGTCAAAATGATAGTTGAATGTTATATATCTGCGTTCCTTATCATTCAACTCTTTACATTTTGAACAGTGAAGGTTGTAATCACATATCTCATCACAAATTCCAGCAGGAAAAATGTTGTTCAATAAAACCTTAATGTCAGTCATTTCTTTTTTACAACATCCACAGTTTTTATAGGTAAATAGCATCCTCTTACTATATATAGGTAATTTTTCTTTAAGTAGTTTTTGGGGGGCTCGTTCAGTTTTCGGGCTCGGGTTGGTTTTTATTTTCCCTTTCCTCCTCTTCCAGTTCTCTTATGACCATATCTATTTCACTCATTCCTTCGTTGGGGTCTTGTCCATTGGCGAGGTTTCTTAACCTCTCAAAATCCTTCACTTTATGTCTTTCATTGGGTGGGAGGGTTTTGAGATGTTCCTTCAACTCTGTCAGGTCAAAGTATGTGTCTTCCTCCTCATCCTCATTTTCCAAAAACATTTCCATTCTTTGCTTTTCCATTTCCATAAGTTTGTTTTCCATATATTGGAATTTCATTTGCTTCTTGTAGCACTTGCCACACACATTCACGAAGGTTTTGAGCAAGTAGTTCCAATTAGGTTGGTTTCTATCGTTCAGGGTTATAACATCTGTCATTATACGACATCCACAGTCAAATTTAGTCATCTTATTTAGTCTTACTATATATAGGTATTTTTTCTTTAAGTATATTTTTTATTGTTGATAATTTTAAAAATCTAATATTATAATATATGGCAAGGAGACTATCAAGAGATGACATCATAAGCAATGTCTATTATAATCTTGAAACGGGCTTCGGTTCAATCAATGAGACCCTTAAGAAAGCCAAGGAGCAAGACCAGACCATCAACAGGGTGGATGTGGAAAACTTTATGAGGAAACAGCCCAACAAACAGATTAGAAAATACAGGGGGTCAAACTCCTACACCGCACCCTTCGCAAGGCTTGAATATCAGATTGACATAATGGATATGAAACCCCTTACCAAAGAACCAGAGACGAAAATTCCCATCAAGAACGATGAACCGAGATATGGGTTGGTGGTCATTGACATCTTCAGCAAGTTGGCAAACGTCGTCCCTATGAAAGAAAAATCCGGACCAATCACATTGTCGGCGATGAAAGAGAGTTTCAACAAAATGGGTTTTCCAATGTCCGTTTATAGTGATAATGACCGTGCCTTCCAAGCAGGGGTAAAAGAGTTCTTTGAGAAAGAAGGCATCACTCACGTCGTCACCCTAACTCACGCCAATGTTGTGGAGCGTTTCATAAGGACAATGAAGAATATGATACACGACAGGGTGAGGTTTAATCGCGGTAGTTGGACTGTAATGTTGTCCAAAGCGTTAGATAAATACAACGACACCGTCCATTCATCCACCAAAATGAAACCCAAGGATGCCCACGACGACAAGAACCATATGGACGTCAGGGTGAATTTGACAAGGAGGGAAAAGAACACTCGCAAATATCCAGAGGTCAAAGTGAATGATATGGTCAAGGTCTTTGAGAAGAAAAAAGACAACTACACCGAGAGGAAGGAGTATAACTCAAAATGGAGCAATCAATCCTACAAAATTGTCAAGATAGAATACGATGATGTCGGAAACAGAACCTTCAAACTGGAAATTTGAGGCACGAGATTTTGAAAGTATAAAAAAATATCTATAATATTAATATATGACAGAGGTAGTCGTAAAAGAGATTGATAATGAAGAACCCAAGGAAGAAACAATACCAGAACCAATACAGGAAGAAGCACGGCAAAGCCCTGCTTCCTATCGGGAAGCACCGAAAGAAGAGGAGAAACCAGAAGAAACAATTGAACCACCCGTTGAAAAGAAACCGCAACCAGCGCCAAAGCCCAAAAGGGTAAGACCGTCAAGGGCGAAACCACCTTTTGACCCAGAAGCATTCAAAAACGACCTTGTAAAGCAACTGAAGGAAGAACTACAGAGTGCAATGACCGCCAGAGACACCTACAACAAAGCCAAAGAGGAAAAGAACAAAGCGACGAGAGAGAAATTGAAATCTTTAGCATCAAAAATTTTATAAAGTATTATATATAAAAATGAACATCAAGGAACAGAAAACGGAACTCAACAAAACTGACATCTACGAAAACGTCCGCAAGGACATCAACAGAAGACAAACCGTCCATTCAAACAAAAGTGCCAACTACAGGAGCGGAACGCCCGAAATGCCAGACAGAAGAAAAAAAGTGTATAGTAGTTATGACCACTACTACCACAACGACAGCAACACGGCAAGGATGCCAACTCACAACCATCATCTTTACCTAAAGCGTCTTCTTGAATATCACAACACCGAGCACGACTACAAGGTCTTACAAGTAAAGCAGAGGATGAAGGAAGAGAATGAGATGCTACAGAACGAAATGACAAGATTGAGGGAGGTGAGGAAAAATCACAGATTGGAAGATTACGGGGCGAACGTCCAGAATATGAAACAGAGAATTGATGAGTATAAGCAGTGGTTGAGAGGCGATACACAAGATTAATATAAAAATCTAAAGTATTAATATATAGCAATGACAGCAGAAGTAATCAACGCAAAACAGGGATTGACACGAATACCCACTTACGCAGAACTCATCAAGGAAATCGACAGGGAAAAGTTCAAAACCAATGACATCAGAAAAATCTTTGATAGGAACGCTTGGTATTTTCACGAAAGTCCGCAGGGTCAAGCACTGAACACAAACAACATCCACCCAGCAGACTTACAGCAAATGAACTTCAAAAAGATGGCAGAGGAAGCGACCGCAAGGAAGGAAGAAGAAACACCCAACCTTGACTTTGAAGATATGACCGACTTGAGGGACGACGCCATCAGCGACTTTGAGATGTCCTTTGACAGAGAGGCAGAGTTGAGGGAAGAGAACGAAAGGAGAGTAGCAGAACAAGCAAATTTAAGTCATTCACAAGACCACTATATGGCAAACAAAGGGGCATACGACGCCGTCGGAGCAACAGCATCGGCAGGGATACAAGAAGACGAAGAACCACCTTCAAGCAGTAGAAGCATCTTAAAGAACTTCCTTAAATCATCCAAACCAGTCATCAAAGCAGTCGCCACAGCAGGAGGAACAGCAAAGGGAGGGTCAATAGGAGGACTAATAGCATCAAAACTGACAGACGCCATCATACCCGACGAAGACGAGGAAGAGAAACCGTCCAAGATAAAACCAACACAAAAACTAATCAACAAACAAGTCAAAAAGGTATATCACCAAAAGAAGTTAAAGGAGGAAAAATCAAAGATGAACGTAGATGTAGTGCCCAACACCGCAGAAGCAATGGAAACAACAGCAATACCAACAGCAGAAAAGAGGAAACCCTTAAGCGTGAGACAGTCCAAAGCAAAGAGACAGAAACCAAAACCGCCAACGCAGGAGAAGAGAGAATTTCAGGAAGACCCATCCACAACCACCAAACCGCCCAAAGCAAGAAGAGTAAGAGGAAAGCAACCCCAACCACAAGCATTAGGAGCAACAATCAACATCCACAAAGACAACAAGACACCCAATGTAGATGAAGCAGAAACAGCACAGGAAGAAACAGGGGCGTCATCTTCATCAAAAGCACCAGTCAGGAAACCAACAATGAACAAAG